ACCAGGCTCCATCTGCGGAGCCTTTCGGTTTGATCGGGACACCGGCGGAAGGGATGCTGAATGATAATCTGTTTTTGGCACCGGAGAGTTACGGAAGGGCTATTGAGGATTGGTGGAACTTTACTTCTTCGTAGACAGATATGCTTCTAACTGAAGCTACGATTTCAATCTGTGTATTGGATCTTCATGGCTTTATTTCTAGCCTCGCCATTGTCTCCTGTATCTATAATTGGCATATCGAGACAAGCTTTGCATTAGCTGCTCTTCCGCTGATACAAGCGGTGTTCAGCTCTTGCCTAAACTCTCATGCACAGTAGGAAGCATACACATCATTTAGAGTGTATCATTTCTTCTCTAAAAGCTTGCCATACCTTTTAGCTTGTAAGCAACTGGCACTGAACTAAACAGTTCAGGACAGGTTTTGTTTATGCTGCATAATAAAGCTGGTGAATATGTTGGAATTCAATCACGAAGCCTGTGTATACTTCAGATAGCCTTCTCCACTTGCTTTTGCAGGCGCGGGGAACCGGCCTATGGCCTGTATGCTAGTTCATTGACAGCATTGGGTGTGAACTATCGGATGAGAGACTTAAAGCTTCTAGATACCTGAAGACAAGGAAACCAACATTGTTCTCTAGATACACATGCAGCTCTTGCAGCAGGAAGTTCTCGGTGACGCCAAGATTGATCTTATTGCTAAGTGAGCTACTGCAGGAACTGTATTTTATGCACCTGAAAGGAGGCTTACAGTCAATTTGGAGAGTTCACTTTGTCACATGGATTGTAATATATCATTCGGTTGTGTTCGGCCGAAGCTGCGCTGGAGATGACAGTTTCTTGCGCCCGAGATGAGAGGTAGGAGAATACTTCAGTTCGATTGAATTCCATGTTTAATCTATTCGAAGAAACGACCAAGCACTTTAAAACTCGCAAGAATGACACCACCACAAGAGGCTATATCGTGTAGATAAAGTCCGGCCTCTTGTCTCCGAGCTGGTCGATTTCTTCAGGAGTTAATCCCTCAACACGATGATCCCTATCACCACGTCGGCGCTTTCGATTTTCTCTCCTCAGTAGAAAATATTCGACCACTGACCCAATAAACAAAAAGAGTGTCAAGTACGCCAGAACCGTGCCATGACCGGGATAGTAATTCGGTGCATCAGCACTGCGATAAATATTAGAGGACATGATACCGTTTAGGTTTCCCCATCCGATCATGATTCCGATAGTAACACCACGTTTATAGATGCCTATTTTGATAACGTCAGTAACTGTATCGATACAAATACTGCAAAGGTTGAATCATGGGGACGTCGATAAACAGAAAGAATGACCGACCTTCTACGTTGTTGCTGACCCAGGCAATGGTATTGGCAATGCAGGGATAAATGCCCATGGCTCCAAGGAAGACTCCCGCATATTTAACACCGGGCGAATTCGTGCCTAGTAACATTGAGAAACCAACTATTCCCAAGATAGATGCGAGAATGTTATATATTCCTCTCTGACGCGTGCGATCAGCTATGTAGCCAACCGAGACTGTTACGATAGCAGCGCAAGCATAAGGAGGCACACTGAGAAGCTGCGCACGTGTAGAGGAGTAGCCTGATTTCTGTTAGTAAAGCAAATAACTGGACGAACCAGAACTTTTCGACATACCCTGGATAGTAGATAGTTAGTGATGACGTTACTTTGAAGCCCCTTGGACACTTGGCTAGCTTACTAGTTCTTTGATAATGGTTGGTACGAACAATGAAAAAGCATATAATGCTCCGTCAGCACCCATGTAAATAATAGCACCGAGCCAAGTCTTATGGTCTTTCAGGCTGTCCCACATATATGAGGATTTCCACTCGTGCTCCTTTGCAGTACTGGATTGCTGGTCTAGAGCCAGACGTCGCATTACGCGCATTCGGTCCACGTCAGACAGGAATTTAGCTTTGTCCGGAAAGTCGTACACCAGCCAGAAGGACAACACTCCAATGACGACGGTCGCGAGACCTTCTAGGATGAAGATCCACGCCCAGCCATCCTTTCCACCCACCCCATCCATCTTGGCAATGGCAGCCGCCAGAAGGCCGCCAAACGAGCCCGCTAATGCAGCAGCAGAAAAGAATATGGCCATCCGAATGCCGAATTCAGACCGTTTATACCAGCAGGAAAGATAGTAGCTAATGCCCGGGAACAGACCAGCTTCTGCTAATCCAAGGAACCATCGTGCGGCCATAAGACCGGAGAAGTTGTGTACAAGCCCCATTGCTGTCATGCAAATGCCCTGTATGATAACAACCTCTGATCAGAACCATTTCCCTTTTTGTTAAGCGCATTCAGTCACATTACCTACCCAGAGAACGATGATGGTTGGGATGAATATGCTGGGTAGTGTCCGTTTGAGTAGCACGTTAGTAAGGGGCTCAAAGATCGAATAAGAGATAAAGAAGATGGTTAGCGAAGCGTTGTATTGGCCATCGGTCATATGAAGTGCTTCCTGGAGACCATCGATTTTTGCATTTCCAATATTTGTGCGGTCAAGAAAAGATGCTAGATAGAGCAAGGACAGCCAAGGGATCAGTCGCATATCTAACTTCCTCAGCAAACGTCGATCCTAAAAAAGATCAGCCGACCTGCATGTTACTTGTATCAGTCAGTGGCATACTATTTTTGCCTTCTCTTCTTCAGATAAACCATCATCAGGATCAGCAATCATTTCCAGTTGCTCGATACCTGGCTTGGAGGTTTCTAGGTCGGAAAAATTAGTAGAAACCCCTCCACCCGCTGTCTCCTTCTCTGATGTCATGGTATCTAAACCCATTATTGTCAACCGGGTAACTTTGAATATTTTTCTTTTCTTTTTTTCTTGCTCATAATGAATGGTGGAAAAGGGATACAGGGAGCGATTTATAGTAGATCCCCTGACGGTCTGGTCGCAGGCGGTGACAGGGGATGATTGATGGCAACACCCAAGAACGTGGGGGATTTATTCAATTGCGGAGAATTCGGTGGATCAGTCGCATTCGGAAGGACCTTTGGCGATCTCGATCTTTGTTTTCTCTTGATTTTCTTCTCTCTTTTCCTTTTCCTTCCTTTGCATTCTCTTTGGCTTTTTTCTTTTCTTTCTTTCTCCCTTGTCCCTTACATTTAGCAAAAGTCAATTCTCGATTGACATCATAACTTGCATGGCAATGCTCATGTCAAGCAATCAAGTATTTGGTCCACCTGAGGAATTTTCTGGCCCCATAGCAGGGCTCTAACATAACCTCCTTGATGTGGCTTTCGAGATTGAGCAAGCACGGCTATTAATGACCATTGAGTGACCACAAAAGAGTGCACATCTCTTTATCTGTGAAATCAGAATGTAACAGTAACATTTATTTAAATTCCACTTCGATTTAAGATCACCTTCAAAGGACACGCGCAGGGATGTTTAATCATGGGGAAAGAAAGAAACTAACAGCTATGGTAAAGTCTATATTTCCCCGGCGTTCAGTATGGCTCCATAGCTCTAGTTGGTCCCACCAATGTCATCCAACGGATCGTCTGGTCCAGCCATCAAACGCCGACCCTAACATTTTAGTCTATGCTCTAAAATCCAATGAGCACTTGGACTAAATCTAAAAAATTAGAAATGGAGCAGGGGAATCGATATGTAAGCGAGATACACAGAAAAATCAATCTCACGAAGCTCGATGATAGGCTAGAATGAGTGCGCTGACCCTAGTAGTAGTTAGTAGTTCTGGACCCCCACGGTCTGACTCTTGTGTAAGCTTTTATCAATGAGGGGTCACAGGACCGCTGTCAAGTAAACTAATCCCGGTCAGCAGAAACCCCGACCATCTACTATTGCCAACTGTTCCCAAATCTCAACTGGCAATAATTGAAGAGCGCAAGTACGCAAGTCTTCGGGATCCCAATCCCACGGTCTTCCCCTTTTCAGTTGTCTTGGAGAAAGTTCAGTCTTGAGCCAGCAGGACGCGAAATCGGGACACCTGAGTTGGTTCGGTTTTTCGGCAATTGCAATGGCGCAGTGGAACCGGCGCGGAAATGTAAATGAACCTTAAGTTGTCATTAGCTTGGCACGGGAGCGGGGTAAAAGCTTTGTGGACCGGGCGGGACAAGAACTTGTATCCCCACTACTGTACGCCGGCCCGGGCTTAACCGTGAGCTTCAGTTAGTAACTACGAGACTCTCTAGAAGTATTGCAAGATCTAACGAATTATATGTTAAGTGAGGCTAGGAGATTCTTTCTAGGCCGAATCGATTATGCATAGGGGACTGGCTTATATGTATACATCACTAGGTTTCTTCATGCACCGGGAGCCGAGTGTGCTGTTAGGCTTCTGGACTGAATCACTATTTACCTCCTGACAGAACAGGTGTAAATGGGATCCTGTGCAGAATGCGAAGAGTATTGCTCCTATATAGCATCGTAGATTATATGACACCGCATCAGTTCCTATGAAAAATGAGGTCTTGAATCCCTGTCTCTATGGTGCGAAGGCCCTGCCTTGACTGCCTACATATAAAAGAAATCAGAGAGATCAGGCGCGAGGCCTAAACCGTGTTGTAGTCCATATGAAGGTTGATATTCTTTTACTCTCTTTCTCTTTCAAATTTCTTTATTTATTCATTATTTATCTAACTCTTTCGTTTTTCTCTATATTTCTATTTTAATATCGAATCATCGATCTATACAGTAGTCGGGGGTAACATCACGATGGACATTGGTGGATTGGTTGAAAACAGCCCTTTCTAGAGTCTCTTTTGCCTGCTCTCGTAATGTTCTTAACTTCTGTTTTCAGTACACGAATCAATTCGATGGGTACATAGGGGGCTGGGGTCTGTTTCGAGATCCTTGTCTTTGGCTTAACTTAATCTTCGCGTTATTTTTTGTCCGGGCAATTAACATCCATTTTCTCTTACTATCCCATCATTCTATCTTCTGCTTCCGCTATCAAACCTTGGCCTCCTCAACCTGTACCTATTGTTTGGGTTCCATAATGACAACCTTACTTCTTTCTCAAAATGCCGATTACCTCATTATCGGCGGTGGTACTGCCAGTTTGATGGTTGCGAACCGACTGTCGGAAAATAGCGAAACACAGGTGGTGGTATTGGAGAGCGGCCCAGATCGCACGACAGATGCCCGGGTGCAGGATCCCAATGCTCGGCCCACCTTGCGTGGCTCGGAGTTGGACTGGCAGTTGAAGATTGTGCCTCAGGTGAGGTCGATCAGGTTATAGCGCACAGTTTAACAGACCAAACGGACCTTCTCCTTGTCACCCAGACGGGTCTCAGCAATCGGGAGCAAGATCAACCCGCTGGAAAGACTCCTTTTCCCGCGGGGATCAATGCTTGGGCGGAGCTGGGCAACCCGATGTGAACATGGGAATCCTTGCTGCCGTATCTCCAGAAGCCGCACACCCTGTCAAATCCGGGCGAAATTTCCACAAAAGAGGTCCGATTGAAGTTACTTATCCGTCGCTCCGTGAGAAAAAGAATTCTCCTGTTATTGAGACCTGGGATGTAGCGCTCAAGGGGCAGAGATACGACTTTGCGAGCCATATTTCGGGCGGAGAGAAAACCGTTGGTACTCGTGCTTACACGGCTACTGTAGACCCCCATCTCTGGCTTGCGCAGTATTACGGATAGCCAATACGCCAGACCTACCCGATCGAACCTCCACATTTACACAGAGACAACAGTCCGCAAGATTGTCTTCTCCTCGCAGTCACCGCCCGCTGTTGCTACGGGAGTGGAGGTCGAATAGAACGGGGAAATCGTCAATGTCAACGTAAAGGAGGTTGTCATTCTTGCTGCGGGTGCTTTCCACAGCCCTAAATTGCTCGAACGATCGAGGGTGGGGCAAAAGGATCGATTGAATAGACTTGGCATTCCTGTGGTGAACGATCAGCCCGGAGTAGGTGAGAACCTATAGAATCATTTAATGGGCGTTCTGCCCGCCCCTCTCAAGGTCGAAGGAATTGCAACCTGCATAAAGGCGTTGGCCTTTACGCGTCTCGATGAGAAGGAACAGGTGTTCTCATCGAGCCACAAAACGGAGACCTCTGAACGTGTCATTAAATCTATTCTGCGTGGCCGCGATGAGGCATCTGCAAGTCTTCTCTTGAGCGTTATACCTGGCGGAATTGCTCTCCTGGGCGTCATCTTAAGCTTCCCACTCTTTCGTGGAAGTACTCAAATTGCATCCTCTGATCCTAACGCCAAGCCTATAATTGACACTCAGTTCTTTGCCAATGACATGGAGAGTGAGATCCTAGCGCGTCATATGCAGAGCCTGCACAAGTTGACCATACTTCCAGCTTTGTAAAGCGTCATTCAGCCTACCGAAGTTCTATGGGATATGGAAGTCACCAAAGAAATGGTGTACGAGTCGGCTGCTTTGACCACCCATCGCATATGTGGTACTGTCGCCATGCTTCCCCAGCAGGCTGGAGGCGTGGCGGATGAAGATCTTCGAGTTTATGGGACGAAGAATTTGCGGGCGGTGGACGCGAGTGCCATTCCGCTCACTCACGCGAACCTCATGACGACAGTGTATGCAGTCGCAGAACAGGCCGCTGACGTGATTCAATCCAGCTAAATTCAAGCCCAAATGCTACTAAAGTCGGGCATGGACATCCCCCAGATAAAATACAAAATATCTCAACACATCTCAGAGCAAAGAAAGAAAGGGCTCATTTTCTTTCGTCAGTACAGGGTTTTGATTCATGCTTCACGGGTATAGAAAAAAGCCCTAAAATGCCAGGTCTCCTCGATCAGGCACCTACAACTTGCTGTGCGACGCTTTGAGCAATCAGGCGTCGGAATATTCCACCAACTCATCGCTGCCTACGGCCTTCAGCGCTCAGAGTCCTTATATAGTTGATACCTGGCTCATGCGACACTTTTGAAACGTGCTTGGCAAAAGGGTGCATTCTTGGGACAGGGGAGCTATACAAGCCGAAGGTCTCAGATACATAGGATAAATAAGCGAGGGCGAGTCAGAAACGCTTCGTTCTTTTACCAGTCTGTGAAAAATAATCATTCTCACATAATTCGCGAGCACGAGGTCGCTGAATGCCATGATTGTCCTATACCCCAAGCTAAGCAACTGCGCTTCCTAAGTGCCGTTCGATTGCGCAGTACAAAATGATGAAAGATGCAGGTAAGGGGGCTGAGCACAAGGAAGATGAAGAACTCCCCCACTAGCAGGGCCGGGACCGAAGCCCCCAAGGCTACTAAATAAACTAACGGCGAGGCAGACACAACATCGTGGGAAACCATTCTTTATGCGTGATGTATTGATTAACAGAGACACTGGTGATGCGACGTTCGGTAATTTGGGAAACGGACGACAGTTGAGAGGTCCAATGAGTATCCTGCTAACGCTTAGAGAATCCTGTTTGCCAGCCCCTTGCAATATGAGCAAATAATATGTTGACTATAGCTTGTTCTAACAGCCGAAGCCACTACTAATAATGGTCCTAGGGTGGTGTTGGGTAGGGCAATCTTATATAACTCCCATTCGCGGACTGTTGTGAGATGATTGTCGATTACTCACGAAGACGCGTACCTAGCTCAGGGTCTCTTAAAGCGCCGTGGGCAAAGGCATCGTTGATTCTAAAGCAGCTCGATTGTTCTCAGTGGCAAATATTCGAGCTGCTAAAGAAACGTTGCGGGGATAGGCCGTACGACTAAACTCAAACTTGGCTTTCTACCCCAAATCTCTCCTCTTATCGACTCTGATCTCCCCTCACGGATACGGGCCGAATCCGCTGAGCTATCAGACGCCTCTTGAAATCCAACATTTGTCATGAGGGGCTTTTCTTTAGGGTGTGAAATATAAACCTATTACCCAATACAACTGGAACGTACTCCCCATATTGCTGGATGCCTTAATCCTTCAACGGATAATCACCTAGAAATGAGCCAAGACGATACTCTCAGTCAGATGGATGCCGAAAAGAAATCAGAAGAGATAATAACTAGAAAGCCAAGCGTCGCAGAAGGTACTGTAACATCTCACCAGGGAGCCAACCCTCCGGACTTCAACCAGCTCGCTATCAACAATGCAATTGAAGCAATCGGAATGGGCCGCTATCAATGGCAGCTGATGGTTTCTTGTGGATTTGGGTTCATTGCAGACCAGGCAAGCTTTTTCCATAATAGCGCTATTCACATCCTAATAGATTCGCAGATGCTGCTGGTCTCCATCAGTCTGGTTATGCCTCAAGCCTCGAAGGAATTCGGCCCTCGATACGGAACACTTCTTTCCGCCACACAATATGCAGGTTTAGGAGCCGGTGCTGTTGTCTTTGGGCTTATTGCTGATTTTACTGGCCGTCGTCTGGCGTGGCAGACATCTATCTTTGGCGTGTCTATCTTTACTGCCATCTGTGCCGCCTCACCCAACTGGGCTGCGTTGAATATTTTTGTCGTACTCGCTGCGTTTTTTGGCGGTGGGAATTGTAAGCACTCCGTTTCTGACCGAGTATGCTCATACTGATATGGAGATATAGTGGCAATTGACCTCACAGTACTTGCAGAGTCTCTACCTCGAAAGTGGGCGTTCCTTCTCACCTCGCTTGCATGCCTCTGGGGCCTTGGAAATGCTATCACTGGACTTATAGGTATTCATATTGGTTTCCCCCTTCTGAATGAGTTTTGTTAACTCATCATGGACAGCCTGGCCGCTTGTAGTGAACTTCTGTTGCCCAGCTGGCGCCACTCCGGAAACGTGCACCAAAGCCAATAATATGGGATGGCGATACTTGTACATCATTCTCGGTGGATTATGTCTCGTCATGTCAGTTCTGCGTACTTTCGCGCTGGGGATGAGCGAGTCACCCAAGTGGCTTGTATCACGGGGTGAACTGAACGAAGCAGTGGCGTCCATCAACACAATTAGCAAAGTCAACAAATCAACATACGTAATGATGGTTGATCAGTTACGTCCTCATGAGCAGGACGATTCTCAGAGTGCCATCAAGAAAGCTGCCTCTATGGTTGGCGCATTATTCCATGGCTCAAAACAAATTCGCTCCATGATATGCTTGATTCTCCTTTGGCTACTTATTGGCATTGCGTACAACACCCTTCCTTTTCCTGATGGTGAACCTTAACAGTAAATACTAATATGTTTAGATATCCCGTCTATACGGTGTTCCTCCCATACTACCTTGAAGCGCACGGAGCGACATTAGGCGATGGAAGCACGTATCAGACCTACCGCGACTGGTCCATCTCCTCGGTAGTCGGAATCTGGGGACCAATCCTAAGTGCCTTCCTTGTGCAGGTGCCTTTCCTCGGACGTCGACGCTCAATGACGCTGACGGCCTGCGCCTGTGCCGCCTTCGCGGGCGCCTTCACAACCGTCAAGAACGAGTCACAGAACCTGGCCTTTTCCTGCATGATTAACTTTTGGCTCAATGCTCTATATGGCATCATCTACGGGTGAGTTTTACTTAGCCTTACAGAACATGCCATCTGATATTAACATGGAGGAATAGGTATACGCCAGAAATCATGCCAGATGCATATAGGGGCATTGGCTGTGGCCTGACCCTCGCCTGTGGGCGGATTGCTTCTCTTTCGGCTCCATTCATCGCGACCTTCGGGGATGTCACGACGTCTGTGCCTATTTGGGTCTGTTGTGCGTTCTTTGTGGTTATTGGGTTTGTGTCACTGGCTTTGCCGTTCGAACCAGGAGATTCTTGATTGTTTAGCTGTATTTGTTATATATGAAGGAGAGCATGTGGCATGTGGCATGTTTGATGACTTTATCGTGTGCTGAGGTACCTGAATCTGAGTATCGGAGTCCGTATACATGTATCTATTGCTTCTAGGTTACAATTCCACTAAGTTTCAGTCAAATGCAACTAGAGAACACATTATGACACAGAGAAGTGACGTATGATCGTATCCTTTCAAATCTCTCATAGTGTACCTAGCCTGACGGTCGCTGTCACGATCTTACCAACACATAGCCTGGTCCTTGCAGTATCCTCTATAGAATCTCAGCTCCTGATACACATGCATAGGTCCTAAAAAAAGTGCAAGTCATACGTAAAGTCACAGTGAAATCGTCATCCACCGAACTCTACCCAGCCAAGCCCAAAGCCAAGCCCAAAACTTAGCCCTAACCAACCCCTCTCCACCCGGGAGCGGTCCGGATCCGACACCACCCCCTCATCAACACCAAGATAACAATGATACAAGATACAAGATGACAAAGGCATAAGAAGTCGAACACAATATATTAGTCCCTGGAAACCTTTATGATTAAACCGTATGAGCCAGACCCGATAACCCAGCACTCAACAATCTATCATCAAAACCAGAACCTGACCCTGTATCTGTTACCACCACCTACCAACCAATACCAAAAAATGAACCGCCTCTTCCCCTTCACCAAATCCACTAGCACCCCCGCCAAGGAGAAAATCCAAACAAAAGCCCTCCCATCCTCCTGGTACCGCTCGGAGGCGCTATACGCCCTCGAGCGCCGCGCAATCTTCTCCAAGAAATGGATGGTAGTAACCCACCGCACCAGATTCACAAAGACAGGTGATTACGTGCAATTCAACGCAGCCGGGTACAGTTATTTCATTATCAAAGATCGCACGGGCACAATTAGGGCTTTTCATAATGTATGTCGACATCGTGCGTATCCTGTTATTCAGACGGAAGGCGATTCCGGGACTGCTAGTATCATTTCTTGTAAATATCATGGTAAGTCCCCAATTATCTATTTGAGTGATTTGGTTAAGGAAGCGAACCGCTAAGAATGCATTATATAGGATGGTCCTACGGTCTGGATGGTAAGCTTGCCAAAGCACCCCGGTACCAGGACGTGGAAGGGTTCGAGAAAGAGAAAATGGGGCTCTACCCCATTCACGTCCATATTGATCATCTTGGTTTCGTGTGGGTGAACCTCGAGGCTGGATCCCGGCCGAGCGTATCCTGGGAAGAGGATTTCGAGGGCGTGGACCAGCAGCCTCGCTTGCAGGGGTTTGATTTATCGCAGTATCATTTCGATCATACGTGGAGTATGATGGGGGATTATAATTGGAAGACATTGGCGGATAATTATAATGAAGTATACCCCCCCCCCCCCCCCTTCCGTGTCTATCTCCAAATTATCCAGAGGTAAGGAAGAGAAAACGAGGAGACTGACCATGACATCGGATATGAATAGTGCTATCACTGCCCAACGGGCCATCCCGGCGTGAATGCCATCTCGGATCTGACCAAATACTACGTCGAGACTAAAGCGGGACATATCCAGCATTTCAACGCCGATAAGCAAGATACGCCTGGACTGGGGATCTTTAGTACTTTTTATTTCCCGAATGCGTCCATTACGGTTTCGTATGTTGTGATTTCTTTACTTTATTCCTTGGTGTTTGTTTGGTAGGGGGGTTTACTGAGAAGATCCTAGACCGTCGTTTTGGTACATGATGCGCTGTGTTCCTGTTTCGGCTACGCAGACTCGGATGGAGTATGATGTCTACAGACATAACGACGCCTCGAATGAGGACTTTACATATATCAATGAGTTTTTCAAGCAGGTCCTGCGAGAGGATAAAGATCTGTGTAATGCGGCGCAGAAGAATTTGAATGCGGGCGTGTTTGTGAACGGGGAATTGCATCCTCGGGCTGAGAAGGTTTGGGTTGAACACAATGTTTGAAACGGTTGTTGATGCTAATGGGGTAACTAGGGGCCGTTGTATTTCCAGAGAATGGTTCGAGAACTGGTATTTGATCATAGGAAGAGAGAAGAGGAAGCTGGGAGGGATATCTGGCCGGCTGTGCCGCAGTACGATTCTTCTGATAAGTTGCAGGAGGAGATTAGATTCTGTGAGGGATTGGAATGTTCAGGGGATAGTTCTTTGGAATGGTGAGTTGTAGTCGAGTGGAGAGCGCGTTGGAGTTATGGGATTTATGTGCAGTTGAAATCGACCTGTCCAGATTGACGCTTGGAGTACGTGTACGTATACGAATAATGGGTTTGAATATTTTTGAGATATACGAGGCTCCTTGTAAGGGTAGATTTTTTTTGGTTACTTCTACGTTCGGAGGTGGGCAATTGGAGAACCTCTTAGACTTTCATCGCGATAACGGCAGTTGCTGTCTCATTCCTCCATGAAGAGAAGGAGAAAGATGAGAACCGCTCAAGTCCCGACTTGTCACTGGAGAGATGGCGATGAATCGGAAGAGGTGAGAAAAAAATGGAAGGAGGGGAAACAGAAGGGGGGTGGTTTTTATACTCTGGGGGCATGAGCTGGAGCCTGAGTGCCTCACGCTATTTTACCGAGCCTAATTTTTGGGGCACTCTTTTCAATAGTTATCTTGACATGGCTCAGAACACACGGAACGCTTTGCTAGCTAAACAATTTCTCACCACCGAGGACTCTTTCCAAATCCACCAAAATCTCCCTCTTCGTCTCCTCATCTGCCCAACTCATCACAACCGCATTTCGAACGAGCTTGCCCATCTCTGGCTCCGTAAAACCACAATACTTGTATACCTTCATCATATTCCCATCAATCCAAACATCATGCATATAAGTCGGATCATCGCTATTGATACAAAACTGGACACCCTCATCCCACAACTTCCTAATCTTAGGGAAAAGCACCTCCGTAGCCTGTCTGCGATGATACGCATGCGGACAAAGAGTGAGACCGATGTTCTTCTCTTTCAACGCAGCCATCAACTCTGGAGAATCGATAGCGTTAAGGCCATGATCAATGCGATCCGTTCCAGCACCCGCACCGACATCAAAAACACCCTCGCGCATATGCTCTACCACATCCTTCTGGTCAACATCACAGTGCATGGTCACATGTAAACCAGCTTCCTTGGCCAACAAAAATCCCTCCTCAAAAAGTCCTGGAGGCCGATCATACTCATTACTCGCCAGCCCGACCGCATGAAATAACCCCTTCCCCTTTCCATCCTTCGTTCGAGCCCAAGGCAACGCAGAGCGCAGAGCCTCCAGTCCTTCCTCGACCGGATGGTCACGCAAGAAGCAGAAGATCCAGTTGCTTTTCACTCCGAGTTCCTTTGCTCCATCGTATTGGGCGCGGAGAAACCCATTTAAGACGGCCTCAACGGGAATGCCTCGTTTAGTATGAGCCTGGGTATCGAAGAACGGCTCCACATAGCGCACGTTCATGTCTTTTGCCTTTTTGAAATATGTCATGCCTAGCTCGTAGAAATCATCTTCTGTGCAGAGGACTTGGCAGCCCTCGTAATAGGTTTCTAGGAACGTGGGAGCGCCGTTGTCGCCGTTGAGCTCGCGACGGTGATTATATGTTATCCTGTAGGAGCCGAGAAGCGCTTCATAGGTGGGGTATCGCAAAGGGATGTTGTTTTTGTGAGCGAGCTTCCATCGGAGGAATGGTGTTAGGGTGCCTTCAATGTGGACGTGGAGTTCGACTTTGGGGAGGGAGGTGATGAAGGGGGTTATTTGCAGGCCATTCATGCTTTGTATCTAACTTTGATGGGGGGTGCAGTGGTATGTTTAGGGCTTAAGTTCTCTCGGTCATATTCCGAGTATGTTATAAGGTAAGTCGTATCTCAGCTCTTGAAGTCATTGGGCAACCTGTGTTTCTTTAATACCCATTTCGAGTTATTCATTCGGCGGCATTATCCGACAGTCAGCCGTTCTTCTGATAAGAATGGTGTGAAGGATCGGAGGCTGTAGCAAATAACATTCAAGTCTTAGATTCCCCGCATGTTGCATATCTCTGCGGAGATCTTCCGATGAGTGCAAATTAGTGTTAATTGTTAGGCGTAGGACTACTGGTTGATAGCCCTAATTAGGCTGGTTAGCTGGGATCCAGCTACCAAGTAGTTTTCTAAATTTGCTTTTTATTCTAGACTAAGATAGCTTGAAAAGTAGTAATAAATTTAAACTCTTAATAATAGTTCTAATTATAGTATAATATGCTGGAAACATAATAAGTCTAAAATGACAACTTACTAAGGTTGAGCACTTTCATATTATCTGAGAATATCAACTAGAATATCAAGTGCTAAACTCCAGAAAGTGGCTGTGGAGGTCGTATAAGAACAAGATAATATAGTACAAGCGAGAAAGAATCAGCGACGGGATACACAACAGAGAATTCCCGCTCGCCCGAGGAAGTACAATGACCCAATAAACCGAAATAGTGACAAGCCCGCCGTAATCCACAAGATAACTTCAAAGAACCAGGTCGTCCTAGTCGTTGACGTATTCGTCAAACATATCTTATCCACACCCGTGGCGGTAATTATCAACGACAGGAGCAAGTTGCTAAAGACCCAAAGACACACCAATCCAGTTCGGAAATTCTTATATGAGTCGTCTAAGGTTTTCCCTCCGTCCTCTTCGGGTTCAACGTGTGGTGCTAAGGCGCGTTTCACGGTAGCCTCGAACTGGCTGTCAATATCGGCTTGCGGTTTATCAAGCTCTTCAATAAAATTCTTCTTCTCGTTGTCCTTCTGAGTCGTTGCAGACGGTAAGGCATCTACTTTGTCAGATCCCTTTGTGCCCCAGGAGACATCGTGCCAATTGCAAAACGCGTAGACCATGAGCACATTAATGCTTGTCGTCATGCCGAGGAAATACGCCCATGAACTGGTGAGGATATGCCAAGGATCAAGGTAGAGGATACTTGCAATAATATAAATCCCGTATGTGGATACTAGCGCAATAAGCACGATCCCACCGCCCGAGGAACTGAAGAAGGACTTTATGAAGGCAGAAACACCCTCGTCGAAGGTGAAGTCTAGCATACCGCCGGTAAAGACATTAACGACTAGGTAGAACGAGAGGATGAGAACATAGAGCTGCACGAGAGAGAAATAAAGGAAGGACACCGTGTAGAGGGTGACAACACTATTACTCTGTAAGCTGCTGATAATCATATTATAAGAAGGAGAACTAACCCTTTTGGTCGGTTACCTAGGGCTAGCATGAACTGTAGCATCAGTACCCAGAGGTACCCGTATTTAAGAAAGGTGTTGACTATCGGGGAAGCATCATTACCCCAGGGCCAGCCTTTTTCCTTGTTGTGGCTGCTCGGGGTACCGACTAGATCCATGATCACCGAGCTTGTTAGCCAGTATGACGCTGTCTGAAACGTTAGGATCCGGTCCTATCTAATAAGCAAACTGCGGGTGTTGAGACGCACCGAGAGAAAACCAGGTCATGATAAGCTGGCAGATATTGTAAAGGATCTGAATATGCAAGAAAAATAATCGAATGAGACTATGGCCACTGCGATAGATACGCCCAAAATGCATAATCGCGTATAGGCTTGCCGCAAACGATCCATTTAGCCAGCGTCGTCGCTGACTGACGAACTCAGCAGCTCCCTCAGGGACATCAGTCTCGCCCTTCGCTGCCTTCACATAGCTTAGATGCCATTTAAATCCGGCCTTGGCTACTAGTTCAAAGCACAAGATGCGGTCCTCGGCTAAAAACATATTCTTTTTGAAGATATTCATACCTTCAATTCCCTTCTTACCAAGGCGTTTCGATAATGTATGATCACCATGAAAATATTGCTCTAATGGACGGCCCATAATAGCGCGATATCGGTAGGCAGAGAAAGCACCAGGCAGAACGCTGACATAGCCAAAAGCACTTTCTAATGGCTTGTCCAGGATATTGGAGATTTTATATTCAAAATTCTGGGCCGCAACAAGGGGGTTTATAACTTTGCTCCAGCGTGGGCCAAGCATTGCATGGATCTCACCACACGCTCCACCGAGTGTTTTGTCATTATAGAATGCCTCCCACAGCGATAGGAGAGACTTTGGGCCAGGTTTTGTGCCTGCGTCTAGAAGAACAATAACTTCAGGATTTAGTATGCGGCTGAAGGCGTTGAGAAGCCAGCGATGCGAGTTAATCTTTTTACTGTTCTTCTGTTTTAGACAGAATATAAACTGAACCGGCGGGAGGTTGCTTGATGATTCGTTATCGTGAGGTCGAACTAATTGCTGAGTAGCAGTGACTGACAATTGGGTCGTGTATTCGAACTACTGTTGTCAGTGTCTGGATGTAACAAATTGACCAGTCCTGATCAGCGGAGTTATCACCAACTCACCACATGTGCGACGGTCTCTCGGCCATCTACATCTTTCTTCATAATACCGTCCTGATAGACCCCAATTGTGGCCAACACATCCAGGGTATTCTTATCGCAAGGGTCAATGCCATCGAAGATCAAACTGACAACAATCTTCTGCCACGCTGGGCCTCCCTTATTCCAAAACTCAGATCTTTTTAACTTAACAATATCCCGAATATTCTGCATTACTCCATGTAGAGTACGTGCAGTCAGAACCTTATCTTCGTTATAATAAGTAACAGCAATCAGTAACTCCGTATGCCGATTATACATAGCAGGCCGAAGATTGTATCCGTTGCGCAGGGTAAACTCGTCGGGGTCACACGTCGCCGCCGTATCTAATTAAGATCATCAATCAGCTGAACCACTCTTTCAATTTCTAGGGTAAACCCACATCGCAAGTGGGTGAATTCCTCCGAAAAACCCTCTTCAGCATCACGATACTCCGGCTGAATAGCGTTCTGAATCGCGCTCGGAACCGGATAGTCGACACTCAGCACAGCTCCCTTCACCAGGTTGATCTTCCTCGTTCCGTACCGCTCCAGCCCTGCGCGGGTCTTCTTCACACTCGACTGAGCCGGTTCATATTCTGGGGCGCCAAAGATCGACGGACCGGGATCATGCAGCGTATAGCGCTTCTGCGAATCCGATTCAGCTACCGAGTCGGCGAACGGCGAGCTGTAATGGCTGGAGGTGTTCCGCTGCAGAAGCGATACCTCTTGCTCGTTCTGTTCTGCCGGGTAGAAGGAGTGTTGCTGGTTTTGTTAGAATATGACGAAGATATTTCCAACGATACTCACCTCCTGGTATGGGTAGGGGGGACAGTGGCTGCTCTCGCTGTCGGATGATGTGTTGGCTTGAATACTGGGGCGTCTGCTGCCCATCTTTATGCTTGGGGAGGAAGCGCTGCAGTGGACCAAATCCCGTTTAAAAAGGTGAAGATAATCTTAGCTATCAAGAAAGGAAGGTAAAAATAGACTAGACCCGTCGGGGGATGAAGGTAGAAAGCCACGATGGGCAACGGTTTCTTAAATCAATTATTCAGGCTGTGATTCTACTCGGTATTTAGAGTGTGGACCTGCTAAATACACAAGGTCTAAAAATAACGTCGTCTACGATAACTGCGGTCTCTAGAAGCCCGGCAGGTCAGTGTTAGAGCAACAGCCGCGGAACTAGCGCCTCCAGGCAACAGCCTCTGAAGCAGTTGGAAATAATTATAGCGAGAGTTCAGAATTTTCATTTACCATGAATCTAGGGAACAGCATCGTAGAAATTCTCATCCATTCAACTGGGGACATGTCACTTACATAACTGGTAGCTGGCACCTATTTTGGTAACTATAGAAGTAAGGCAAGGTATATTTGAAAATGGTACATGGAACATGAATAACACATCCCGTTATCAATATAGCCTTCGGATGCTAAAGTTCTTTCTATACGATGATTTAGCCATTTTACTGCATAAGGACTCGGACTATGGTCGGCGTATAGACTTCATCGAAAATGCTATGTGCTAGTTAATTTAGGGCTAATTCAATATACCGTACATGTAGCTTCTAGCACCAATAGCTCTGTCCATATCTGGCCTGAAACTTGATCAAAGAATCGCATCATCACCTTTTCTAGATTTTTCATTTTCGTAAAGTCAAGATAACCCAATAGAAATAAGGTGTTAAAAACCTAGATCGCACTACTACGTACCACAAAGACGCGTCGACGTCCCCTCATTGTGGGGAGATCCACAGTGGGGATTTTATCCGCCACAGCGCCACAGCACTTCCACCAAAAATAAAGAAGCACTTTGGGGATTCTGGCTGCCCGGGATGAGTCCGTGGTTGCCGTTTCTGAGACACTAATATTAGCTCGGCCTAAAGTCGCTTATCGGCAAGCCGGACAAACTCGGACTTAAGATGCTGAGGTGGGTTTTATCGAAGGCAGACACTGGGCCTATACCGGGCCATTGCTTACCCATAGCCGACAGTGATAGGTATGTTGCTGCGAATGGTGAAGCAGAAATATGACAATAGACTATACATTGAACTATCGCGTCGGTAAATCAACGATACATAGCACCTATCCTCAGTCCACGAATTGGAAGTGAATATTACTGCAGTTCTATTCGCTCACATTGAATGACGAAGTTGAACCGCAACAGAGACTATACCCGGCATCTAAACGAGGTGGGGAGAGACTACGAATCATGCCATAGCAGTCACTCTGTCTCATACTTGCATAATATACGGTCTATCTGGACTGGATTTACTCCCTGTACTTCCGTGCCTTTTGTGAACCCTGCGCTCTATTCATAGTTTTCGGTTTTAGGCATGATTCATGAATTATCACTCGGGTCCGAGCATATAAATAGCAGATCAAGACCATGTCCTGAGCCTCAATGAACATCACCAGAAGACGACTTCTCCCCAGCGTACCATCGCTCATCGTTCAAGTAACTAAACACAATACTACATCTTACCAAGTACAGCGCAATAATTCTCTTCAAAATGTCCCCCACCACCGCCACTGCTGCGGCGGCGGCGGCAGCAGCAGCATCATCATCATCATGCCACGCCAAGCTCTACAAAATCCCAACCCGAGATGCTGCATGCGCCATGCCCATGAACAGTACCTACCACGCCCTAATGACGGACTGCTGCGGCTCCGCCAGCGTTATCTCCTACTCGGACTGCGACTACTACTGCCTCGCGCAGAATCAAACCATTGGCGACCTCGCACAGTGTCTGATTAAGGGCTCTGCGGCGGGACAGGTGTGGTGTAATACAAATGCGAATGCAACGGCGACGGGAACTGCGAGTGCGTCTGCCAGCGCAATGGAAGATGGAAAGCTTGACCTGAATGGATCGAATGGGGTGGGGACTGTACGTTTGGATATCATGGATATATTATTGCTGGTGCTTGTGGCGTTTGGTGGAATTGCGCAGCCTTTTGTTTGAGGGTTATTTGGCTGAGCCTTCGATCATGAAATAATCTAGACAGACTGTCAGAAAAGCGATCAACGTGGATAAAAGGTTATAGCTCATGTATATCCGATGGACAGGAGCATACGGCGTTCTTTCCTCTTGTTGTCTCTTCAAATGTTTGATGCTCATGAATGCCGGGTTGCCAGTTGAGAACCATACTGCCTACACTTGTTATAGGGGAGTGGGCTGGTTATGTTTTTATTGTCATGTATCATACATGTTCTTTCGGTCTGCTTTATTAACTGAGCTGTAGATATATAAGCATCTAGTCTATCATGGGTTTGAGGATCGGTTTGGAAAATCACTTCATTCCAGCCGCTGGTCCCTGGAGGGTGCGAATATGTAGATAATGACTTGGGTTCGCGTTTATCTACCTCTCAAATAGCCGAGGGGCATTTTAGACAGTCTCTATTACCTCTAAGTTAAAACTAAGCCGATCCCTAGAGGTTAGTTTGCAAGAGGAGACTGGAAAAGCTACATATTCCAAGACAAGTGCGGTTTTCCAGAATGCGGTAAAGTATACGATTACGAAGGCAGGCTTGACTTCATGTTTAATCAACTTTAAATCCTTGCATTATAATAAGGAGCGACTATATACTGGAGCATGTGCCGCCCTGTGACACATAAACCTATGCCGCAGAGCTCTGAGGAAGGCCGCCATCAACCGCCCTGGGGTCTCCATCCGAAGTGCCTTCCACTTCCACTGCTCCTTCGGCCGTGTAAACATTGGTGTAGTATGGATAGTGCACGGCCGAGAGGTTGACAGCCACGGTGATCCAGGCAAAGACTCCATCTTCGATGTTGTCTCCAAGGAATGCGTAGTTGAGCATGGGGTCAGAGTTACTGTTCTCCGTCTCCTGGCTGACGACCCGATCCACCGAGTTAAGTGTGATGGGAATGTTGTTGGTACTGTACGGATAGGTTGATTCGACTTGGTCGATGAGGTCCTGGTCCCAGAATATTTGAGCGACATGTCCTACTGTCCCACCGGCAATGGTGTTGTTTGGCAGACGTTTCGCACCAAAATGGGCAATGTTATGGTAATGCGTAGTGCGTCCATCATAGTGGCCCGGGAAGAGAGTATCGAAGGTGACAACACCGTCTATGTCAGTTTCCTGAATGCCACGAAGAAATGTGCGGTTCCGATTGCTCAGGTCATTGGAGTTGCCATTACCGTCTGCAACTAGGCCAGAGTAAACTCCAGTGGCATTGCAGCCCCAGAGTTCAGCATAGAGGCGCGGGATAGGCTTGCACGTTTCGACGTCAATATACTGCTGTTCGAGAATAACCGGGACTCCGGGCTGCCCTTCGCGAATCTCAGACCGAACTCGCTCGCCCGGGATCCAGTATGGACCGGTTTCGCCCTCGGCAGTTGGGCCGAGAATGCAAGCCTTTTGAGTTGTGTCCTTGAAGATTTCAGTAGGAGGCATCGACGGCGACACGGGATGGGTTGCCTGATGTGATTTGTTCAGCACGGCATCGGTGTCGCGGGTGATCAACTGTCGGCGGTGCAACTGGACTGTTGCCATACGGCGCGCTTCAGAACGAGCTTGAAGACCACTGGCTTCTAGCTGGCGGGCACAATTCGCCAGTCCATGCCCGACGTCTCTCTTGTATGCCCTCACAGGTGCTGAGTCGCGCTCCTCGTGATGCCCGGGGTGAGCAAGGGCTAGGATGGCGCTTCCAAAGACAGTGAGATGAATTGCGTTCTTGAGCTGCATGGTAGAAAGATAGAGAATGGTAAAATTCAACTAAGAAAAGCGATTGCCTCTGGCTTTCCAGCGTTGTTGGTCTTCATTGAAGGAAATAACAGGAGTCTTTATATCTTCCCCTCAACGCCTAGACAGGTCCAACCCCTAACTCACAAGCATTGGATAAGTGTTTAGGCACTCTCGTTACCGATGGGCTTTCTCATCTTGTCACTGTAGATCATTACTCTAGGGTTCTCTGTGGCCATCATCTGGGAAAGGAAAATGCCGGGTGTGCATGCAAATACATCTGGCATCACAGGTACTTAGAGCCTTGGCCAGAAATGAATAGTAGCATACTGAGTAGTCGGACGAAGATACCAAGTCGAGAAAGGATGTACCTTCCACAGACTCTCCACAGCTCACTATAGAAGACTGCATGTCTACTCTCAAACTTAGCAAATCGGGAGCCAAAGATTGCCCACGAAAGTGGATTTGCGCTGATCGAGACGCTTGGCGCCAAGGGGCGACGGTGGGAGGAATTTGCAGGAGCCCGGAAGACGGCAAATGAAATGATGAAGATAGTAATCAGAACATGCTCGGTCAAGATATGAGATCTTGGCGTATTTCATTCAGCCTTCTAAAGCTTGTTAATTCGCACTGTCTCGGCTGTAGCTGAGATTTCGGTCTCCGAAGAAGATCAGATCTCCGGGACTGAAGCGCGAGTCGTCTCTAGCTAGCAGTTTTCACTTGTCGGTTCAGAGACAGTCGTCCTCGCCACCGTTACCACGGCCAAGGTCGAACCAGCAGGGGTAGGATATTAGAGAGTATCCTCCTTCTTGTCAAATGTGTTGGAGGTCGTAGTAAGAATTGGGTGACTAATATTATAAACTTATCTTATTCACACTTTCAGTATGGAACGTCATGCATTTCTCTCCCTGTATTCATTATGTGCTTTGAAATGACTATGGATTTAATCTTACAATCAACCCACCATTCCGAGACGATAGGATGGAAGGCTTACTTTTGGACCAGAACGGCCCAGCATGCTTTCACTCCCTGGTGTTCGACAAGCGGATGCGAACTGGCCGTGGTTGTCGAGATGCTTGAACGGACCGCGACGGGCCGTCGCACTCCGTGCCATATACTAGTAAGTTGAATGATATGACATTAACGGGGAATACAACTCCGCGAACAATAGCGGAACTCCAAACCCTTGATTCTTCCCAATCTACACCATTGAAGGATGTAAAACACATCCCATCCTGCGGCGGGGTTTAGCTGTACATGGACAGATATCATACTAACAGTTTCTATCAAAAAGGAGTCTGAAAGCACTGATCTAGAATTAAGATCCTTATATCATTTACAGCCATCACGCGACCATGCCACCGGCCACTGTGACGGAAGACCCCCTTCACCACTCGCAGGCCAACTGGAAACCCGAGGGGCCAGGAACACTCCCATCTATCCCGCCGGATTCAACCTCATCGTGGCGGCAAGACGTGCACTTTCTAGGCGACAAAGATGGCAAAGTTGAGCTTCGCAGCCCTCCAACGTTCGGTAATATCAGCGACACCCGCACACACCTGAAGCAGCACCTGGTCGCCGCATTCAGGGTTTTCGCCAGACAGGGCTTCGACGAGGGTGTCGCAGGTCACATCTCCCTACGCGACCCGGGCAACCCATCCCGATTCTGGATCAATCCGCTCTCAATACACTTCTCCCAGATCCGCGTCAGCGATCTTGTTCTCGTCGGTGAGACTGGCGAGGTCCTCCCGGATGGCGCCCAGAATCCCATCAATGGACCGGCATTCGCCATCCACCGCGCCATCCACCACGCCCGACCGGACCTCAATGCCGCGTGCCACGCGCACAGCGTCTACGGGAAGGCCTTCAGCTGCTTCGGTCGGCCGATCGAGATGCTCTACCAAGACGCGCTGCGCTTCTATAACGACCTCGCGGTGTATCCACGCTACGGCGGTACCGTGCTCACGGCCGAGGAGGGCGACCGGATCGCGGCAGCTCTGGGGCCGACCTGCCGTAGTGTGATTCTACAGAACCATGGCATGATTACCTGTGGGCGGACGGTTGACGAGGCGGCGTACTTGTTTATTACGTTGGATCGGTGCTGCCACGCGCAGCTGCTTGCGAATGCAGCTGTGTGTCCTGGATTTGAGAAACGGTATATTCCCGACGAGCAGGCGGAGTTTGGCCATAGGAGGAGTGGTAACGCAAATAAGATGTGGTTAGCCTTTCAGCCGTATTATGACCAGGTGGTGAAGGAGGAGCCGGATTTGTTGCTGTAATACAAGCTCCTTCTGCTAGCCCATCATATATGTAAGAAGGCGTATAGGTACAGGTTTACGAGTTCCATCTTCATTGATGTATTAGAAATTTGTATTATTCATATCAAATGCCGCCAGGGGCATGTTCTCGTCCATAAACCCGAACAACAAGTCCTGTCCGGGAATGAAAATATCCGGGAAGGGTTGCATCGGTCCAAGATCATCATCCGTCGGGGAGTCGTCGGGAAGCTGACAACCACTGTCGGGGTTTCGGTGAGACATCGATGCCTGGATCTCTGACGGGGCTAACGTAAAGAGCATCGCGTCAGTGGGGATTTATCTACAGCTATAAATAATATAGGCACTCACGTGGTGATTCCGGCACGCCCTTGGCGGCCATTAGCTTGCGAATAATAAGCGCCGTATTGGCAGCCCCCGAGTTCGGGACTGCCAATACATCCAGGCACTTCAGGCTTGCGCTGAGTAGGAAGGACGATTCCGCGTGTGCATGGCTGTCGCTCCCGGCCGAGAGCGATGCAGTGTTGAGCACGTGGACTGTACACGCGACGTACACAGCATAGCTGAGCAAATAGCTGGACTTGCGCAACGGGTAGATGGACTGATAGCTGAGGGCAAGGCTAGTGATATGCCGTGCAGCTGTTGTGCACCGCTTCCAGGAGAAAGCAGGAGTGCCGATAGTGTCGACAGAATTGTGATGGCTGGTGGGCGCTGTGATAAACGGCCGGTGTAAGAGGACAATCAGCGAGTGGTAGGTTGTCAGAATAATAATGCGGTTTGGCGCAACTATGACTGGGGGCTCCAAGGGGTCCTTCGCCCAGGGTTCATAAGCCAGGTGAGCTGGCAGCCCGCGGTACCAGGCTGTGAGGGCATCATCAAGGGCCTCTATCTGATGGATTGTCTTTGAGGCGGTGGCCCCTACATAATAGATCTTGTCAATGATCTGGGTCATAATTTGGGAAAGCAGACAGAGCTGCTGGAAGGTAGTCACTGAATATGCCAACGGTGTTGTAGAAGATGCTGCATTGTTGGTAATTGTATCTACGCTCGGGTCATTGTAGGGCTCCCACGGCTCCAGCTCCTCGAACGTATCCATAAAGTCCTGCGACACATGGACATCCTGGAGTCTGATTGTAGGTGGCCGCCCAAGGTACAGGCTTTGCAGCTTCTCACAGACGAACGCGCCCCAGAAAACCCGCCGCCGGATCTCAATCTCCTCGACGTTATGCTTGTTAGGCTCTTGCAAATCAAAATACAGGCCGAGGTCGTAAACCATACGCATGGCGTAACCGGTATATAACCAACCCTGAGATGTCAGTCCTCTCGCAATCAACGTCGACCCGAGCATGACCATCGCGATAACAGTCGATATACTCGATTGGGTCATCAACCCCTCTCCTAGCAAGAGCTCGTGGCAACGGTCGAAGAATCGCCGTCCCGCTGTTTCCGGGTCTAACGGGTTACTGCGCACCTCGGGCCGTTCTGAAAATTTGGACGCACACGCAAAGACAGCGTATAGCAAGAGGTCAGAGCAGTATGCCCCCCCGTGTTCGAGTTCTCGCATAAAGGTAGGTCGATACGTGAGAAGGAAGGTGTGATGCTGTCTGCTCCAGTGAAGATCGAGGAGATGAAGCGCCAGGTCTGCTGGTATCCCCCTGATGAAGGTCAACCGACGCAGACGGTGCTCACGCTGCCTCTCCATTGCAGCGTTGGCAATCAGCTGGTACCGTAGCGACTCTGTAGATGTTGCGGGCTGCTGGGGACTGGTTATCGGGCGACTGACATGGACTACGGAGGTTGAGCTGAAGATGCCATCGCTGGTTGCGTGGCTTTCCGTTGTCAGAGACAGTGCTCTATCGGTTTCATGCTCAACACCGTCCTCGCCATGGTCGGTATCCGCGCCATTTGTCGCATCACCGCCATCCTCCCTCATTATTGTGGCATGACCGCCCGGCAGCTGATGTTCCATGTCATGCTCCGTGCGATAGGCAGGCCGCCCCTGCGGTGATCGCGCTGTTGATGCGTCGCTTCGGTCTAATAGTGATATGCAGCCGTTACGCACGATCACCGAGTCCAGCAGAGCACGCCTTTCGGCATCATCGGCGCTCTTCAACCGGTTCAGCGTATCTTCCAGCGCCGCCTTTTCGCTCTGCAGGGAATCGATAAGAGCAGCGGACGGGCGCTGCTTGGGTGGTCCATTGTGGTAGACACACAACCTCTTGCTCTTCTGGCACGTGGAGCAGGCTGGCTTGGAGCCGTCGCATCGGATCTTGCGTCCGCGGCAGAACTCACATGCACGACCCATGTTGCGGAGAAGTGTGCGTTCTTTCGGGGGATTAAATGGTACCTTGCGGTCAGGGAACGGCATTGTGGTCATGAAATACAGTCAACGAGGACGGTTACAAGCATACCTGGGGAATGTGGGGAGCTTAGGGCTGTTCTACCCCGCATTGTCTGCTAATGAACGCCCGCGTGCAGTATCGACTATCGAGGTTCCGGATTTACATTAAGCCACAACTCTCTAACATATACTAGTTAGTCTAAGCCATAATTTGATATTAATTTTGAATTAAAGATAGAGATTATAGCTAGATTAAAGATCTCATATCTTCCTCCTTGTAATAAAGTTATATAGAGGGGTACGGGGATTACAGCACCTAGAATTATTAGTGTTAGGGCCCCCGGTGGCTAAAGTTAGCGGTAGCAATCATAAAAAGAGAAACCGGTAAATATATCCAAAAGCAAACCCGTCAATAACCCAATATGGTAAACTAATATAAGTAATTAGTAGGTAATATAACGGACCTTTTTACTATGTAAATCAGTTTAATCAACTAGAATATAGTACTGTAGTACGAGTCTGTCACTCCGTCACCGTTAGACTAACTGTTTTGAAGTCAATACAGCAGAAGCCTTTATAGCTCATGTCAAAATATATATAGAATTTGCAAATCTAAATCCAGTATCAATACATGGTGATAACTATCTCTCCATCTCCTCTCGGTAAGGCTTCTGCGCAGAGGACAAAACACCCACAGCCGCCGACGCAATCTCTTCATTCATGGCTTGGAATTTGGTGTCGTGCATGACCTCCGAGACAGGTACACCAGCTTTCACATCCTCAATCATAAGGTTCTCACGATGGGTGATCTTCTCAGCCAGTTCCACGGTAGTTTGGACATACTCCGCTGGGATAAACACAGTCCCACAGTTATCGGCAATCACATAATCATCCTGGCAAACGGTGACGCCGTCGACCTGAACCGCCGTACCGGCTCCAATCTGTACCATCCTCTTACGCCCACTGATCATCGTTACATTCCGGCCGTAAACGGGATATCCAATGTCGCGGCTACCATCAATGTCCCGACACACGCCGTCAATGATTGTCCCACGGATACCCTTTACTTTCGAGGCATTGGCGATAATATCGCCCCAGCAGGAAACGCCCTCTAGACCGCCGGCGATAATGAGGATGCGGTCGTCGGTCGTGACTGCGTCTATGACCGGCGCGAATGGGTGGGCTGTCGCGCTGGTGTCTGTCTTAGGGCCAACTTTCACTGTGCTAGCGCGGCCAACGATCTTTGGGCAATTCCAGAGAGGCCGGAGGCCGTAGGTGGCTCCTTTGAGTCGAAGAAAGTCCAGGGCATCAGAGACTGCATTGGTGTCAAGAAGTGAGAGCCGGGTTAAAATTCTGGATTCGGTCATGTTGAGTTCGTTGAAGCGCAACCTCTTCTGAAGGGAATGACAAGAGAGAACTGGGTTTCTTGCTCAAGTTGGAACCCGATTGATGCGACATTTTGTCTCTGATCCTAATCCTATTTATAGGCTTCTCATTGCTTTCATCGGCTATTGGCATACCCGTGCCATTCTCGAGTTTTGTCTGATCCGTCTGCGTATCAGCGAAAAGCCATCTCACCACACCAACCGGGCCTTACCTATTAGCGGGAGGTGGTATCCCGCTGTCCACAGAGGCATTTGCTAGGCTCCGTGGGGCTCCGTAGGCGGCAGAGCGGCGTGTGACCCCCCGTGAGAAACGGACATAGAATGGCCGCGCGGGGAAGCGCTAGGGTTTCGCACTCCGTCCAGCTGGCTTATGAGCTAACTTAGAAAGTTGGCTAAAAGCTGGTCAAGCTTGGCCTTTTACGATGACCCCTTGGGCTTCCTACATTGTCCGGAATAAATAGCAGCAACAGAACCACCCTCAGCTACGATGTGACCATCCATGCATTTTCCGAGTGCCAGAATCTGCAAGTCAAATCAACGCAACCATGCGCACAGTGTACCTAGGACACGCACGTGAAGACGACTTGGTCGACGAGAAGGCTCCCAGCGCTGAGAACGTCGAGGACTGTACCGTCATCACCACCATTGACGGCATCCAGGTCCTTGGTCTTCGCTCCGAGGATGCAGACTTCTATCGCAACTTCTCGGACAGAAGGAAGAAGCTACTACGAAAGGCATGAACCAATGACCGCGCTGATAAGAACGGAACTAACAATGCTTGTATCGCAGGTTGATATCAGGCTGGTGCCGATGCTGTGCATCCTCTATTTGATCTCACATCTAGACAGAGCCAATATCGGCAATGCAAAGATCCTGGGGCTAACGGAAGAATTGAGCTTGAGCGGTATGCAGTATAATATTGCTCTTAGCCTTTTTTTCATTCCCTACGTTCTACTAGGTGAGTAGCTGTTAGGGCATGTCATCTCCCTGTCACTAATCAATCTTAGAGGTTCCGAGCAATATTTTGCTGAAGCATTTCACTAGGCCCTCGGTCTATTTGGGTACCCTGATTGTCACCTGGGGAATTATCATGACATTGACTGGCGTCGTCCGAAATTTCGGCGGGCTATTGACAATGCGAATATTGCTAGGAATCTTCGAGTATGTCCAATTAGGCACCGACCTTTCTAATTTTTCTTTTAAAAAAAAGATCTCGTCTTCTGACTCAAACCCAGGGCCGGGTTCTTTCCTGGTTCAGTCTACCTGTGTTCGCGCTGGTATATGCCCAGAGACCTCGCCACCCGGGTTGCCGCATTCTTCTGTGCAAGTGCTCTCTCCGGCGCCTTTTCCGGTCTTCTTGCGGCTGGTCTTAGCAAGATGGATGGCGTTGGTGGATATTCGGGCTGGCGTTGGATATTTATAATTGAGGGTTTGGCTACTGTTGTCTTGGGGGGGTTGACATTCTTTTTGCTAGTGGACTCCCCGCAACTATCTGCCAAATGGCTTGATCAGGAAGAAATCCGGTACCTAGTGATACAGGAATTCATCAAGGAAGGAGGGCAGTTCAAGGAGGAGAATACGAAGACATCGTGGAAAGACGTCGGGGCCATGATGCTGAACTGGAGGATATATCTGCTGTCCTATATTATGCTGTGCCAGTCTGCCTGCAACTACGGTCTGTTCGCGATAACTTAGGGTTGAGACTTCTTGTTGATCCATTCTCTGCCAGGAACGAAATTCACTCTTCCGACCATTACAAAGGCAATGGGCTTCACCAGTACCAACGCGCAGCTGATGACCGTTCCGCCGTATATTGCCGGCGCCATATCCGCAGTGCTGTTCTCCAAACTGTCAGACCGATATTACTGGCGCATGCCATTCGTTGCAGCACCCCTGCTCCTCATCATCACAGGGTATGCGATAATAATGGGTCTCAAGGGCCGGCTGGAAGCCAACATCGGGCCTGGGTATTTTGCAATCATCGTGGCTTGTATGGGTATCTACCCAACCTACCCAGCCACAGCATCATGGGCAATGAACAACCTAGCACCCTCAAAGCGTCGCGCGATCGGTAGTGCGTTCAACATCTGCATGGGTAATACCGGAGGTATTATCGGTAGCTACATGTATCTTGATAAGGAGGCCCCGACCTATCCTACGGGTTTTGGGCTGTCGTTGGCTTTTGGTGGATCGGCTCTTCTGGTAGCTGTTATTCTCGAGCTGTCCTTTATGTATTCCAACAAGCGCAAGGCTAGGTTGACTGAGATGGAGATCCGTGAGACGTATACTGATGAGCAGTTGCTGGCAATGGGTGATAAGTCTCCGTTCTTCAAATACACGCTGTGAGCTTCGTTGTAGTTCGGCTGGAGCCGATGGATACCTTCGCTGTCAGGCTTGGTATTAACTAGTTAGCCAAGTCCCTTTTCTGTATGAATCGGTTGTGTACCTTCCCTTACCCGATTTCATTTTTTTTATAGGCGTATGTTTGGGTTGCTCTAATTGCATTATCCACACGATAATATCAACTGTAGGATATATAAAAGCCACAGAACTTTCTGCTCACTCGCTGGTCCATTGGAGAATTTCGATTTTGACCTGGTGATTACGGCTGAGGAAATGGGTAGTTAAAAGCCTGATCCGAGAATCGTCGAGTATATGCTGCGGGAATGTAAGCAAAGGTTCGATATCAAGAGGAAGGGATTATCCAGACAGCACAGAGCCAATTTCATGATTATCATGTGGCGAGGAGCATGGGTATCCGCTCAAGCTGGATAGTGAGGCCCGGGTCGATGATGGGAAATCTAGATGAACATGTTTATGACTGGAAGTTCAACATATTAGAGGAGATGGCAGATGCGTTGGAAGTGGAACTACAGGTCTAAAAGGAAGTACCGTCCAAGAGTAAGCACGATCTTGCTGCTACTTGTTCTTGTCGAGATTAGACAATTGAACCTTACGTCCCTTCCAAAGGAAACCCTAACATAATGTACATATTGGCAGAGGCAAATGTGGCTCCTTCAGCGCATGTGGGTCCAGACAGGCCGGTACAAATATATCGTCGTGTATCTCGTGTGTGCTATAGTTTGCTTCCATAGTGTATAATGTTTTGGTGTCTAATCCCCTCCCGGCAAAATGAATGATGCGCGCTTCACTCGAGGTTGTTTCACTTCCACCCCACAAAGGAGCGATTGGCTGAGGGAGATACTACACCGGTGCTTTCCTGCTTCAGCTTATCAGTCATATGTAGAGCTACGCTCAAACATGACGTCAAATTTCGCCAGCCGGAGTAGGCCCGGATAATAACCCTAGCCTAGCCACCACATATAAATATGTCACAAGTCTCAGATAAGATTTTGGGAAATAATCACTTCGATTATAGAATTCTATCTCTTTCATCATGCAGCCTATTGTCAGTGAGAGCGTCCTTATTAACGGAAGCCGAATTGCTTATGGGATATACGGCACTGGACAGCCGGTGGTCCTCATTCATGGACACCCTCATCACTCATCTGACGCAATGTGGTCCCGCAGCTCACAACAGCTGGCTTCAAGGTCTACGTGTTCGACCATCTGGATGAAGGCACGGATCCGGTCCGGTCTGCATTGCCGGTCGCACAACTGCGAAAGATAGATAGTATTCTCTGCCTTTCCAGCTATATTTCGTACTTTTATAGCGATCAACAAGATATCATTTTCAAGGCTCTGGGGATGTCGGTTCATTATCCACGGCATACGGTAGAATGGTATCTTTTAACTGGACAGAAGCCCATCGCACAAAGACAAGTATTGATCAAGAACTGGTAAAGGGAGCAAGTGATATGTCAGTCGGATATCTGAGCCATATTCCAGATCACCATGCCTGGATGCTACAAAAGCTTGGCCGAAGAAGGACGAGTGCCTTCGAACCATCTGATATCGGGAAAGTTACCGCCCCAAGAAAAATGAGCTTTGAGATCGAAAGTATACTGTTCAGTCAGAGTGTGAGCGCGTGGAGCGCTGCAATTGAGGTCAGTGCTGTTACCGGGCGGGAAGGGATCGTGGAGGCCAAAATGATCGAGCAGATTAAGTAAACTCTCAAGGGTGGGGTGGAAAGACTAGTATTACTTGGGTAGCAATGATCAGGTATACTATCATTGCTGTTTATTTCTGTGATCTCGAGCGCTTGTGTGTTTCTCTGGCTCTGTCGAGGTCGAAGCCGCTGAAGATCAATAGATCTGAGAAAAGCAATCCAGACAGTTGAGGGGAAGATGTCAGATTATCAAATGAACATCGTTAGATTTAATTTCCACTGTGAAGGCTAAATTCAGTTTCGAACATCGTCATGCTTAAGCCACTGTCACTTGGAGACATCTAATTAACCATATTAAATTTTAGATCACATTTCGTTGTGGTACCATTTCACTACCCACGGCTTTGTCCTGGAATCAGTATCTGGGAGGGTAGAGATTGGATATACTCACATGCTACTCAACTTGTCTATGTCACATCTCTAACCATATTACGCTTAGTTATAGAGGACTGTGATGTGTAGAAATACGAAAGTCTATATGACACTAATTACCTGCATTCCAATGGGTTAATTTACCGACATCTCAGGCTTATCAGCTGCACATCAGATAACTCATGATAAGGACTCGAGAGGCATTCCCCCTCCCTTTATTCCTTTGGAGCAGTAGCTCTATAAAATGCAATCTCCCCACCTGGCTTTTTGCACATTATCATAAAACAAAAAATATTTCAAAATACTAGAGCGGGGAATAACTAAAAGGCTCATCATGGCTTCGACAGATCGAATCCGAGACGACAGCGATCACGTTGATAACGCCCAGGTCATTGCCTCCAGAGCATTGCGCAAAGTCGATATGCGACTCATTCCTCTCTTGTTCATTACATATATGTTCAATTTCATGGATAAAACCATTCTGTCAAGTGCGTCTGTCTTCGGCCTCATTGACGACACAGTAAGCACCCTATCTATACCCTACCGACCACAAAGCCCAAACTAACCACACCCAGCACCTCGTCGGACAACAATACAGCTGGGTATCCAGCATCTTCTACTTCGGTTACTTTTTCTGGGAAGTCCCCACAAACTATCTCATCCCCCGACTCCCCGTCGCAAAGTACATGGCAGCCAACACCCTCTTTTGGGGTGCTGTGGTTGCCCTAACCGCAGCCTGCGTCAACTACGGCGGCCTGCTGGCAGTCCGATTCCTACTAGGCATCGCAGAAGCAACAATCACCCCTGCGTTCATGTTCATCACGACAACATGGTACACACGCGACGAGATCCCCTTCCGAACCGGCATCTGGTTCTCAGGCAACTCCATCGGGGGTCTTGTCGCCAGTCTTCTAGCCTACGGCATAGGACATATCGAGCACCCTCTCCGTCCATGGATGTGGATGTTCATCATCCTGGGCGTTGCCACCTTCCTATGGGGATTCGTACTGCTCGCCTTCCTACCAGATAGCATATCAAAGGCGACGTTCCTTACCCCCCAGGAACGAGAGTTCATGGCCCACCGCGCGCTGATAGCCGGAACAGGACGCACCGAGAAAACAAACTGGAAATGGGAGCAGGCAGTCGAGTGCATCCAAGATCCGAAAACATGGCATCTCTTCGCCATCGCCATTCTAACTCAGATTCCGAATGGGGGTACCCAGAACTTTGGAAACCTTGTCATTAAATCCTTCGGTTTTACGTCGCTTGAATCCACCCTCATTAATATCCCCTCGAGTGTGGTCAGCGCTTCCACGATCACGATTACAGGCTGGATAGCTGGTCGCTATAGACAGATGAATTGCATCTTGATCGTCTGCATTGTAACCTTATCGATTATAGGAAGTGCCTTGATTTATGCCCGCGCTCATCATGTCCCGCTGGGTGCCCAGCTGTTTGGATATTTCCTCCTCGCGACGGGGCCGGGTGCCTTGCCCCTGGCTATGTCCCTCGTTCAGGCGAACTACAGGGGCGTCACGAAGAAAATGACAATGACGGCCATGATATTCGTGGCATATTGTGCAGGAAATATCGCAGGTCCACAGTTGTTTAGGGCGAGTGAGGCGCCGACGTATCAGACTTCTTTTAAAGCTATCTTGATCTGCTATATCATCTCTGGTGGTTTGGCTATCTCGCTGAGGGTTTATTTGCAGCTGATTAATAAGAGGAGGGATCGCGAGGAGGGAGTACAGGGAAATGCGGGTTTGTCGGGGGCTGTTGGGGGGAAAGTGGTTGAGGAGCGTCGACGGGGTAACAATGATGTGTCGGAGCTGGTCAGGTCGGTTGATTTGCGGCCAGAGGATTATGACGATGTGACTGATTGGAAGACTGTGGGGTTTCGATATCGTCTGTAGTGCGTATGATGGAGTCTTATCTGTGACCTGTGTACTCGATATTGTTTACGATGGGCTACAATTCCTAGAGACTTGCCGATTATATGACAGGGCCAGCCTATTCAATCGACTTGAAGGATCTAGTGAACCCATAACACAGCACCGTGGCCTTAGGAGGTGGACATACTTGCCCAGGGTTTTGGCAGTGGTGGATATCCTCCATACAATCAGCCGAGTGGAAGTACCCTTCAATAATCCACGAATATCAAGCCCTTAAGCTTTCGCGGTAGAGAGTGATCTTTTGAAGGTCTGCCGTTCTTGGATTTGGTCACTTCAAGATGTACACCGAGTGACAATGGTTGGCAGTGGGTAATGGAGGTCCGTACCAGATGGATGTCTTTGGGCAGAAAATCAATTTTGAATGTTCTACAATAAAGCCTACAAGATAACTTGCTGGCGACAAACTTGGGTATAGACCAGGACATGCTCTATTCCGCCGAAAGTAATAAGTACCATTAAGTTCCTCCAATGCGAGATCCGAACGATCAAGACAGGCAACGAACACTAGGATTGAAGATATGAGAATCCAGAACGCCAAGGATATGTAGTTGATAGGAAAGAATATGCACAGTGACAATTCGCAATGAGGTTGAGAGCACCAGGCGTCGACAACCTCCCTGCAAATCCTCTATATACCACAAGAAATCTAACGAATCCGGTCCAGCTTGGCGCGGTTCATAGCAATCTGGTCGTCGACGAAATCGCTCTATAACAGAATTAGTTCCTATTCTAAAAACATGGCCGAAAAAGTAAAGGCTCACCTTTTGCATGATACGCTCCAGATGACGGTTCTGCTCATCCAGCTCGCGACCCGTCGCTTTAGAAAGCCCGTGCAACCGGCCTGCAGCTCCAGAAAGCAAGTCCAGATTCTGCTCGATCTCGTCCTCCATCGCCTCATCCTCGCTATCAGCCTCAAACTGATATTTAGCACGCTCGGTAGCGTTCGTACGCACTCGTCCGTTATGCTTGCCGGCTTCACGATCGATCTCTCTGAATGTGCGCTCCATACGCTGGTTGGTGACGAAAGCCTCCTTGCGAGTGCCTTCACGGGTATCACGCTCTTCCCGGTGAGTGTTCAAGATTTTCTCATCACGGTCGCGGCGACGACGGGCGCTGGTAAATGGGTTTGAAACATGGACGGCGAACATGCTCTTGTTCAGCGTCTTCAACTCCTTCGCCTTCTCCTCGGCAATCCGACCTTCTATCGTGGCAATATCCAAGCTCTTCTCGGTGTCGTGGATCCGCTCTCCTTGCGCACCCAAACGAGCAAGAGTCTCCCGACCTGTCTCCTCGGCCTGTGCCGCAATACGAAGGGCATTCCGGGTGGATGCCACATCGCCCTGCTTGATAAACCGGATGTCCTGCTTGATGGTCTGAATTTCCTCTTCCTCCTCTTCCTCTGCGGTAAGATGGCGTTCCTGGTAGGTCGAAGTGGTGTATGCATTGCTACCACCGCCGTATGAGGGGTTGCCCTCGGAGTACGGGGGCGGTGGTGCGCCACCCTGTGGCTGCTGTTGTTGCGCTCTTTCCCTAGCTCCTCCGAACAGTGCATCCCTACCAGCGTCACCGGGATCATTGGGATCGGCGCTGCCTAATCCTCCATAGCCACCAGGGCCATACCGCGACGCGGCCGGGGCCGGACCCCCACCACCAAATCGATCACCTCCATATCCGCCTTGGTTCACAAACTTGTTGGGAGCATAACCTCCCTGGAGCTTGTTATCGCCAGGAACAGTTCCGCCTGCGGGGTTGTTGTGAGCAGGTGGCTGTTCGCCCGCTGGTAAAGGAGCCACTCCGGCATTAATCTTGGCTTTAGTGTAAGGGTCGGTAGGGATGGGCTTTGCATAAGGGTTGGCGGGAGGCGCGGGGCTCTTGTTCTTCGACCTAGAGCCGAAGAGTGCCCGACGGTTAGAGGAATCGTCGTCGTCCTTCTTGCGTCCGAATACCATCTTGTAGTAGAACCTAAATTCAGGGCAAATGGGTATAAAGAGCACACAAAAAGAAGGAAATAGTAAGCACAGGAGGACAGACGATTAGCCACAGAGTGGAATAGACCCAAATAAGAGAGAGGGGAGGAAGTGAGACAGGAGAAAGGAAAGGTAAAACTGGCACAATTAAAGGAGACCCTCCTGAGGAATTATTGGATGGAGAGTCGAGACCCCGTGGCGACAAGTATTACCGGTACCACTTAATTAAAGGGTCCCTGGATAATCAGGCTATCTCGTAACAATACTTGTATTGTACAAGTACATTCATACAAACCCCCATGTGGCAGTGCTGGGCGGTGTAGTCACTAGGCCGGGCTGGGTTTAGCGTGTACCGTCAATGCCTCAAAAGGCGGCCGCCGAAAACATTCAAGGTTGGCTTCTTCGCCTTCCTCTCCCAATCACACGTCCTCAAGGGCTTCCCCAGCAGCCATGGCGCCGTATCCTGGGTCTGATGCTGACTATTTTAAGGACAAGGCGCGTAGGGATCTGTTGACTCTGCTTGAAGGCGTGAGTAAGGCTCCGGGTCTCTCAAGGCACCAACAAATCTCTCGGGCTTAGCTGAAATTGGTGCAGGTGCGTGGGAAGAAGAACCTTGTTGTCAGTCAGGATCTGGCCGGTCCAGTCGGGCTCTTTGTCAAGTTCTCTCTACTCCAAGAGTACGGTGTAGACCGAGTGTTCCTCCTGGAGAATGGCAATGTGGACTCATCTCAACGCAATGTCGTATTCCTAGTTCATGCTGAAAAGACACGCCAGGTGCGGACCGTCGCAGGTATGTCGTTTTCTGCTTACCACCGCTTCGTAGTTTTGTTTCGGCCTGCTCGTTTGATGAATCGCGAGGCACAGGCGTCACACATGGGACAAACAGTAGATTACGCAGATGCCTTCCTACTCTACGTAGTCAGTCAAAAGATCCCTAAATTAAGAATCTTGTTATTCTATATCAGCTCATCCATAAGGCTTTCTTTCTCAATTTCTCCGACTGAATGCCATCAGAATGAGCTGACATCTCTTAGACCAGATTAAACGCCTACAGCGCAATGGAAATGTTGAGCATGAATTCTCTATATTCTGGGTCCCAAGACGTACCCTTGTAAGCAATGCAATCCTGGAAGATGCAGGAATTATCGGGGATGTGAACATCGCAGAACTTGCCGTGTACTTCCTGCCTTTGGAGCAAGATGTCTTGTCATTAGAGCTAGAGGACTCATTCAGTGATTTGTACCTGGTACGCATCAGCCTTACCCTGCGAAAGCATGCATGTTGATTGTTGCAGCACAAAGATCCAGGCTGTGTTTACCTGGCCGCCAAGGCCCTTATGGGTATTCAACAGAGACATGGTTATTTCCCCCGTATCATCGGCAAGGGTGACAATGCACGACGATTAGCAGATCTTTTGCTGCGCATGAGAAAGGAGCTTGATGCTGAAGAGAGCTCTGGCCTAACTGACCTCAGCGCCAGAGGGCTACTCCCAAGCTCCGATACTGAAAGCCTGATCATCATTGACCGTGAAGTCGACTTCGGCTCTGCCCTGCTCACTCAGCTCACATATGAAGGCTTGATCGATGAGACCGTAGGAATCAAGCACAACCAGGCAGATGTGGACACAGCCATCGTCGGCCCAACACCAGTCCCCCAAGCACAAGAATCTTCCAAAGCTCCACAGCAAACGTCTAAGCAGGGACAAAAGCGAAAAGTCCAGTTAGATGCCTCCGATCAACTCTTCAGTCAGCTGCGTGACGCCAACTTCGCCATCGTCGGCGATATTCTGAACAGAGTAGCCCGTCGTCTCGAAAGTGACTACGAAAGCCGCCACACAGCGAAGACCACAACAGAACTCCGCGAATTCGTCAACAAACTGCCAACATACCAACTGGAGCATCAAAGTCTCCGCGTCCACACCAATCTCGCCGAGGAGATCATGCGAAACACCCGCTCAGATATCTTCCGCAAGATTCTAGAAGTCCAACAAAACAACGCCGCAGGCGCCGACCCAACCTACCAACACGACTCCGTCGAAGAGCTCATTGCTCGCGACGTCCCCCTCAAAACCGTCCTCCGCCTCCTCTGCCTGGAATCCTGCATGGCAGGCGGTCTCCGCCCACGGGACCTCGAAAACTTCAAGCGACAGATCGTCCACGCATACGGCCACCAACACCTACTCACGTTCTCCGCTCTCGAGAAAATGGAACTCCTTCAACCCCGTTCCTCCGCTACAGCAATGCTCCTCCCGACAACGGGCACTCAACCAGGCTCCAAAACAAACTACGGCTATCTACGAAAGAACCTTCGTCTCGTAGTCGAAGAAGTCAGCGAGAAGGATCCCAACGACATCGCCTACGTATACAGCGGTTTCGCCCCCCTCAGTGTCCGTCTTGTCCAATGCGTCCTGCAAAAGCCATACGTCCTCTCCCTCATCCGAGGCGGATCCGTTGCAGCCTCCGCCTCGCCGAGCCCAGCCAGTACCGCATCACCGGGCTGGCTCGGCTTTGAGGATGTGGTGAAGAGCGCTCGCGGCGCAACGTTCAGTATAGTCCAAAAGGGCGATGATAAGGCGATCCGTGCCCGACAAACGCTTAGCGGTAACAATGCTACCAAGACAGTCTATGTATTCTTTTTGGGTGGTATTACGTTCACGGAAATCGCTGCATTGCGGTTTATTGCTGAGCAGGAGGCACCCCGGAGGAAGATCGTCATCTGTACCACGAGCATTATTAATGGGGATAAGATGATGGAGGCTGCGATTGAGAAGCAAGATTTCACAAAGACGGAATAAGTGGTCCTGAGATATGAGGACTTTACGAGTAACTCTCATGCATATTTTTATAATCGTCATGACTTAAGTTAATAATTATGCGTGAGAATGGTATGCTAAGCAATTCATACTGAAATCTTGGATAGTTTATACTATTTTTATCTATAGTATCTACATAAGTCAATACTTGAACCCGGAATTCACACCCATCAACCGTCCTTGGTACCGTTCCATCACTTCTCCTAGCTTGACCATGACACCTGCTGCTAATGTTCTGACCTGTTCTCTAGGTTCGTCTCCCTTGACTGCAGGTGTACGGTCGAAAACCTCGCCTGCCCACTCACGAAGCTCGATTACCTGCGATGCGAACTCGGTGACGAGCCGTTCCTCACCGGTGGAGCCCGATGCGACATTCAGATCTACTATCGCGAGGAAGAGAGCTAGAAGGGCAGAGAGGATTGTCGGGTCGTCAGAAACGGGACGCGTGTGAAGCGAGAGGAGGAAGGTCAATGCGTCCTCTGTGACGGTAGGGAGGTATGGAGTATGAGGCCCCATGGTGGAAAGCGTGAGGGTAAGGGTCTGGATGAACAATGTGAGAAGATTAGGAGTAAGGAAGGGGTTGTATGAAGGTGCTGTTGATCTGTATCGTTGTTATAATGAGCCACTGCTCGACATCTCACTAATTAGGTAGTACTCACGAAGAGAACTGCAGCATCATGATCTCAAATCGACTCTTTAGTGGATGGAAGAACCCTTCCGCCAGCACTTTGTAGAGATCCTTAGCTGTAGATTTCTGACGTTGGGCCTCTCGCTGCTTGCGTTGCTTCTCGACCTCCATTCGAGAAGAGAATGTCCGGACTTTAAGAGCGTTCGGGCCAGAAAGCGAATCTGCAGCATTAGCTGCCAGTGGTTGAAGGGATGTCTGTGCTAGCTTCTTTGTTAGACTAGCTATTGGGGATTCATTGCTCGAGTATAACGCTTCCAAATTGGCCGGTAACTTCTTCGATGGGAACGAGGCGTCTGGTAGTGTCGGAAGGCCCAGTGTCTTAGCGTCATTCTCGCCATTCCCAGCTATTTCACGAGCACTCAGACCTAGGCCTGTTAGAACTGCAGATCGTTGGACTTGAGACAGGTCTCCGTCAAAGAACATTGCAGTGAGCCATCGACCCATCTTCAAAGGTTGGGACACGACCAAGGCAATGATACTCTGTAGCCGATACTCATGGAATTTCGGGATTTTGCCTTGCTCTTGTAGACCAACTATGACAAGGGCTAGTTCTTCGGTATTCTCGGCTAGTTCGGTCCCAAAGCCGGTTTTTCGTCTGATTAATGAGGGAGCAGTGCTTATTGCTAGTTCAAAGCGTTCTATGTTTTCCGTGTCTCTTAGGTAGATTATGAGATCACGGATATAGCTAAAACGTATTAGTCATATTTATACGAGAGAATATTCTTGTCCAACTCACACTGGTGTTGTTGGTTTGTTGCGTTGGACCAAGGTTGGGTCCTCGTCTGAATCGTATAGATCTTCATCGGGTTTCTCGTAGGGAATGAGGTCCTCATCTTCTTCAGTGTCTTCATTTTCGGACTCTATTTCTTCGATAGCCACTATCTTCGCTGTCTGTCGAGCTGGTAGTTTCCGAGTAGCCGTTGCCGAAGTAGATGAACTTTTGGCAGGTTGTTGTGGTATGGATGCTGAGTCAGTTGGCACAATTGATGCGAAAGACCCAATACTGTCTTGAGTATTGACCAAGTTGAAGTACCACAAGGCCTCGTCGCCCTCCATTTCTTCGAGGTCAAATTTCATTGCTTTCCCCGGCTGTTCAATGAGCTGCGAAATTGACATCCCAATGATCATTCCAAGAAACCGGGCTTTAGAGGATGACGCGGCCAAACGGTTGGAAACCGTGTTGAGAAACGCACTCGAACGTCCCATTTCCATGATGGCGTTTGAATCAAGTCGCTTAAGGTAACCTGCTGCCAGCAGTAGGACTTGGGTATTCGCTGGGGCATGTCAGTATCTGAAACTTAACAACAATCGCAACGATGTGAGTGTACCTTCTTGGCTCACAATTGGCGCATGCTTAATATAGAACTTGTCACTAGACTGTTCCAGGCTGTTTTTGAGCAACGTCGTCATTGACTCTATACCACCCCATGTTACTAAAGGCTATAAGACAGTGCTGAGTTGGGCTTACCCTTCTGATCTGCAAAGCTAGCCAACAATGCCCGGCGTAACCCGATAGTCTGTATGGAGCCACCCTGGCCCTTTGACAGCCAATCCAGAAGCTGAGTTTGTATATGTTGGCGCTCACCTATGATGCTAGAGCACAATCCTGCAACACCGTTAACACGCTGGTGCAGGATAACCTCATTGCTTGGATCGGTCAGTGCTAAGAAATATTTCTTTTCAAGGTCGCGGAATGTGGCTTCCAACACCGCAAGCTGTTCCATCGGCCGAAGTGTAGCGAAAAGAGAATTATATCGTTCTCGCAGAGTCTCGCTATTGAGCAAGTTGGTATATAACTCGCGAGCCAGGTGATCTGGGTACAAAAGTTAGCATAAGAAATGGCATATGAATAGTGCACAGTACCTGTATAACCAAGGCTCAATGCTCGTCCAGTTAGAGAGGCAACCGCTTTCCAAGCATCCTGGTTATCCAAATCAATTTTTGACACCATATGACAGATGTTATTACCTAACCAAGAGGTATATTGGGGGCCATCTCCAACCCATAAGATCATATTCAGGCTATCAAAATCCCCAGCTAACGTGAAAGCCTCCGCTGTAGCCGAGAGAACCTTGCTAGCAGCAATAAGAGACAAGAATTCTCTCCATGCAACCTGCTTCTGAGTTGCATTGCTGTAGAGTGTCTCAAGATCCGTGTATATACGCAATGTAAGATCTTTGGGCTTCAAGAGAGCAGAAAGGATTGCCAGAATATCTTGAATCTGAATTTGAGAGCCTGATGCTTTCGCCTGCTGGGAGGATGACCGCGCTGCAGCTATAAGTGAGCGAAGTTGAGTCACCAAGCAACTAATACCGGAGACGCTGCTAAAGCATCTCAGTAGAGCGGCCCGTAGTTTATTGTCTTCCGACGTTGACACCTTTGACCTTGCATTCAATGAGGCCCAATGATCAGGGACCGTAACGGTGCCTAAGGCATTGAGTATTTGAGCTGTTGTCGGACTGGGAACTCTAATATCAAAGACTCTTGGAGTTATACATTTGTTTGATGGATCCAGTACTTTAAGAATGCCAGAAAGTCCTGCACGATCGGGTTTCGACTTCAGCACTGTCAATATATAATCCGCGGATGTCGGATCTGCATCAGTGTCGGCTTTCGAAGTGGCTTCATGCCTCTCTAACTCGTTGACAGGCCTCTCCTTGGCAATTGATAGGGGCGTGTCCTGGTCATGAGTAACGGTCTTAACTTCTGTCAGTAAACCGTCCATTTTTTGGAGTAACTGACGTTGGAGGAAAGTAGAATGATTAGCAAAGGTTGGAGGAAATTGTATAAGCGGAGGGGTCACGTGCAGCGGAGTGTATCTGGAACAATCAATCAGTCAATCGATCAACAACTTCCCATCTTCACTACCTGCACTTTTTTCCACCAGATTTAGGTTGTCTTATTTGACTCCTGAGAATTTAGGTGACTCTTGGAGAGAAGTTTTGAATTTATCATCGACTCTTTTGAAACACTCATTTCAGTGGAGTGTACAGCTCGAACCTCTGGCGTCATTAACTACGGATGCGGTGAAACCAACAAATCACGGAGACGTCCATTGTAGCCTTAGATTGAATAGAGCATACCCCGTGTCCAATATGGCTTCCGCAGACTCCCCTCTTAGGTGGTAAGAAGCCCTTTCTGCTCACTTTAGTTATCAATAATCTCGCTCACCCCACGCAGGAAACACCTCCACAAGGTATTAAGCAAGCCGGGACCTTTCAGCGATGAAGACTGGGTGCCTGGTCCCGAGACCATTAGTGCTTTGAAGACATCAAAAATTCTGTATGTTCTAAAGGGATTAAGCAAATTATCGACCACTAACGTAGTCCAGAGTTATGTATGTATACACGCGGACCCTCCTGTTATTGATGGGTATGGTTACTAAGTGAAACGATCTTAGCGGGGCTGGAGGTCTAGGATGCGAGATCCTGAAGAATCTTGCTTTGTCCGGTTTCAAGGATATTCATGTTATTGATATGGGCAAGTCTTTCCCCTATCACTTCGTCCCGTGTACCGCAGCTAACTTTAACAGATACCATTGACATATCCAATCTAAATCGCCAGTTTTTGTTCCGTCAATCTGACATCGGCAAACCTAAAGCCGAGGTTGCGGCTGCTTTCGTAGAGAGACGAGTCAAAGGTGTCAAAATTACCCCTTATGTAGGGAAGATTCAAGATAAGGATGAGGATTACTACATGCAGTTCAAGATAGTCGTTTGCGGTCTCGATAGCATAGAAGCGAGACGATGGATCAATGCTACCCTTATTGGCATGGTTGATGCTGAAAACCCTGAGAGCCTGAAGCCTCTTATCGATGGAGGAACTGAAGGTACTAAACTATATCTCCCAGTGCTATCACAGAAGGCTAACAAGGACCAGGCTTCAAAGGACAGGCACGTGTTATCCTACCAACCCTGTCTTCGTGCATTGAGTGCCAGCTTGACATGCATGCTCCCCGCCCTGCGGTACCGCTATGCACAATTGCGACCATCCCTCGACAGCCCCAGCATTGTATCGAGTGGGCGCACCAGATCGCCTGGCAGGAAAAGCGCAAGGACGACCCTTTCGATAGTGACGATCTGGACCACATTGGCTGGGTGTACAATGCGGCTCTTGAGCGAGCAAAGCAATTCCATATCCACGGAGTCACATTCCAGATGACCCAGGGTGTAGTTAAGAACATCATTCCTGCAATCGCCTCCACAAACGCTGTCATTGCTGCTGCGACAACATCTGAGGCATTAAAGATTGCCACCTCGTGCAACCCGTACCTTGATAACTATATGATGTATGCAGGTGAAGAAGGTGTGTACACCTATACATTCGAGGCTGAAAAGAAACCGGATTGCCCTGTCTGTGGCAATCTCGCGCGTAATATGACTGTCGATCCGGACATGACGCTGCAAGAGTACATCGACACCCTTGGGGACCGGCCGGAAGCTCAGCTCAAGAAGCCTAGCATGAGAACGGAAGAAAAGACGCTCTACCAGCGTTTCCCGCCCCAACTGGAGGAACAGACCAGGGCCAATCTGAAACGCAAGCTCAGAGATTTGGTAGAAGACGGGCAAGAAATTGCGGTCAGCGATCCCGCGTATACTATTGATTTCCGCTACCGCTTGTTGTTCAAATAAGAATAACAGCAACGTTTTACTCTTCATATGAGATATGAGTCGTTACGATAAATACAAAGACTTTCTCTTACTAGATCAAGGCTTCAATATCAATTGTGCTTTTTCTATGTGACAAAAATCGCCCTATCCAGACTCCCAACAAAAGAAGGTCTTGACCAACTTTTCATAAACTGTACAAACTCGCAAAATAGCAACGAAAACCAACGCCGACCATGCATTAAGAATTTTTAACATGAAATGCGGGAATATAGCGTAGAACTCGTTTACCGCATGAGATCCGCCAATCCCCGCTTCCATCTGGCGCATTTGAGCTTCAGGACCTTCACGCTTTCTAAGAACAGAACATCACTATCGAATTGGCCAGTACTTTCGATGTTGAAGATGAAATGGTCGCGCACGCGACCGAGCTTCACCTTGCCCTGGAACTCCTCATGTCTGAGACATTCCCTGCTAACGGTATCCTTGAAGGCATCACGAACAACAGCCTTCGTCTCGCCCTCGTGGCCCTCGTATCCGCTTCCCTGCTTCGCGGCCTCTTCCCGGGTAACAGGCTCCAAACCGATCACGCCCTTAGGGAAGCACTTAGCGAACTTCTTGGCGTCTTCTCCAAGAATGGGGCGCAGAATCTGGATATCGGGAAGTAAACGGTATGAGGCGGTAGCAACAGGCGAGAACTTAGCGTGGTCGGCTCCAATGCCCTTGATACAGTGCATTTCCAGGTCGATCTTCTGACCCGGGCGAAGCTTAGCGATCAGGATGTCTGGGTTGACCGGCTGGATAGCATCCTCGCCAGTAAAGAATTGCTCCTGACGTCCGACAGGGTGAAAAGTAATGTCTCTGGCGTAAACATGCGCATTCTTATACAGCTTGCGGGGGTCATTCTCAGTGGGGTCAGCGTTGGGGTTCTTGGTGCATTCGATGTCTAGTCGCAAGACGATGGTGTTATAATCGGACGGATCGCTACCCTCAGGATCATCCTCCGTAGCCTTCTTAAACCAACGCATCCAGTTTATACCATCCACGGAACCCTTCAGTGGAATCAGACCCAATCGCTGAGCGAGCACTTCATCCTGGATGACGGAGGTGTTGTTGTGAACGAAGACGAACTCGATGGCAACACTGGGAACTTCAGCCATGACAATACGGCGGAAGGCATTTGCGATCGATGCATCAACGCCAATGAGAGAGAAGGAAGATTCGAATCTTTCGTTGCGATGGAACTCAACATTGAATTCCTGTAGAGCAAAATAAAGTAAGCGCACACAGAATTTAAAGGCACGCAAGTGCGTAAAATGCGAAGAGTACACAAGGACTGTACATTTCTGAATTTCTCCAAGTTCCACTCATGCGACTCGCCCGGCCAGTGACCCGGGAAGTCTGTGGAGGGAATGTTGGAGACCGTTTCCAGGTTGATGTCGACGAGCTAGGGCAAGAATTAGCATGGTAAGCAAAGGAAAATTGGTGCTCATATGATAAGTTACCCTCCGGCGATCAAGCTCCGCCTGCGAAGGAACGAGAGGCGCCATGATGAGTGAGCGATTTGCGAGTATCAAGTCGTTGATGATATGGAGGGAAAAATGGAAAAAAGTTCTTTAGACAACCGGCAGTATGTCTGCAAGTCGAAGGCGGAGAGTATGCCTCACTATATTGCACCTGGGAAGGTAGAGCACACTATGGAAGGGTGGCTCGTGATTTTCCGATTTACGTTGAAATGAGAGCTAGCGTGGGTGCAGAATAAGCGGGAACTGAAGGCCAACCAGAGACGGCCTGATGACCATAAGCTCCTCTTCACGTGACCACCCAAATTGTAATTCAGCGCAACCTCCAAGCATCAACCCGTGTAGACCACTCCGCAGAGTCCCTCCATCAATTGCGTCCGGACTGAGGACCGACAGCCTCCAATTCCTCCTCGTCCTTCTCGCCTTTCTTCCGAATGGCTGCTTCCTTTACTCGCCTGGCGGGCAGCGCGCCCAAAAGGCTTTGTCTCCGCCCCTCCAACTTCACCAAATACAATGCCATCCCCAGATCCCGCTCGATAGCGACGACGCTTCCTCGTCGGCAAGCGGAACCGACCAGCTACCAGGCTACCAGACTCATCCCCACTGATCCCACCTTCACAAGTCTGGCTAACAAGGACGGTCCCCAAGAACCCGATGTTGCCGCGGGTCTCGAATCCGAGAGTGAAGGGGTCGGCCGCAAAATCCGTCACTACACAGTCAACTTCGGTCCTCAGCATCCTGCTGCTCACGGTGTGCTTCGACTGATTCTGGAGATCAATGGTGAAGAGATCGTTCGCGCGGATCCTCACGTCGGATTGCTTCACCGTGGTACTGAGAAGTTGATCGAATACAAGACCTACATGCAGGCTCTGCCTTACTTCGACCGACTGGACTATGTCTCCATGATGACGAATGAACAATGCTACTCACTCGCTGTCGAGAAGCTGCTGAACGTTGAAGTTCCTGAGAGAGCCAAGTATATTCGTACACTGTTCGGAGAGATGACCCGTGTTTTGAACCACCTCATGTCCGTTCTTTCTCACGCTATGGACGTTGGTGCTCTTACGCCATTCCTGTGGGGTTTCGAGGAGCGTGAAAAGCTCATGGTAAGCAACATTAAGTTCACCGCAAGCAGATGACAAGGTGGTTGATGGTCAATCCCTCACATAGGAATTTTACGAGCGTGTCTCCGGTGCCCGTCTCCACGCTGCCTACGTCCGCCCCGGCGGTGTGTCCCAGGATATCCCCCTCGGCCTTCTCGATGATATCTACCAGTGGGCTACCCAGTTCGGTGACCGTATCGACGAGACCGAGGAGCTGCTCACCGATAACCGTATCTGGAAGGCGAGAACTCAGGGCGTTGGTGTTGTCAGCGCCGCTGATGCACTGAGCATGAGCTTCACTGGTGTCATGCTCCGTGGCTCTGGTGTGCCATGGGATATCCGCAAGTCCCAGCCATATGACGCCTACGACAAGGTTGAATTCGACGTCCCCGTCGGTGTCAACGGTGACTGTTACGATCGTTACCTCTGCCGTATGGAGGAGTTCCGCCAGTCCCTCCGCATTATCCACCAGTGCCTGAACCAGATGCCCGCTGGTCCTGTCAAGGTCGAGGACTACAAGCTCTCGCCTCCCCCTCGCGCCGCCATGAAGGAGAACATGGAGGCCCTGATCCACCACTTCCTCCTCTTCAGCAAGGGTTACGCCGTTCCCCCTGGTGAGACCTACTCTGCCATTGAGGCCCCCAAGGGTGAGATGGGCGTGTTCCTGGTCAGTGACGGCAGTGAGAGACCTTACCGTTGCAAGATCCGTGCTCCTGGTTTTGCCCACTTGGGTGGTTTCGATCAGGTCGCTCGCGGTCACTTGCTGGCAGACGCTGTCGCCATTATTGGTAAGCCTCCATCAATCTAGAACCCCCGCAGCTTTTTAGGAAACGCTCCGCTAATCTTCAAATCCAGGTACAATGGATCTGGTGTTCGGTGAAGTCGACCGGTAGACAAATAAATACAAGAGGGATCTCCAAAGCTTCTGTAAAACGACTCTAACTTGATTCTTCCAAAGTATAGAAAAAGAAGCAAAGATAAAGCTCTTTTAAAAAATAACCTTCCATCTACCTCTTGGTTTTTCTCCGTGCTCAACTCATCGCGGTGGTGCTGTTGTTGGATCATCATCATCACCTCGCTGTACCAATTCCGTTTTTAATGGCGTTGTCTGTTTCCTATGTTTGTCGACTCTACCTGAATCCCGATCTCTATCTCTTTCCTTGCCATCATCCACCCTGTGTATAGTGACCGAATTTCAAGTTACAATATCATGTGTTAACTAAATGTGGGGTTTGCCATTGTAAATGGTTTAGATTGGTATGTGTAACGTATTACTTTCTTATCAAAAGTGATGCCAATGTAACGTGGTGGAACATAGAAAGATATTTCATCGGTGCGGGGAAATATATATCGGATATCCATAACCCCACAAAGTTTCTTAATGATAAACTGACCGATGGAAAAAATAGGGAAAATAAAGCATCCGACTTCACCACAGAGATGAATTTATGCGAGTATAATATGTAAGTGATAATATATGCTACTTCAAGTTAACTACAAACCCGCTCCTGAAACGCCCATGAAACATGCGCCTATGCAAATGCAACTTGAGAATGGAGATAATAACAATTAACGGCCGGTGCATGAGGATGAATGTATATTAGATCGGCAATCGGCAGCCCTTCGGATAGTCTTGGGTGATTGTAAAAGGCCAGCTGTCCGAAGGGTAGATTGATCCGGAACATGCAAGAGCCGGCTTGAATGGAGACCATCGCTTGAGAAAACAAAAGCATGGTGCTCAATACTGACACTGAGTTGCCCTCGACAATGCCCTCATCCACGATTATACGTTGTCATCATCGTAGAAGAAGTTGATGTCGCGGGGCCGGCGTCGGTTGTACGAGACGAAGTCGCTGTCGCCCGGTGGTCGTTCGTCGCGTGTATTTGCGGTCAGCATGCTTTGAATGCTCATGCAGACACTCTCAACTGTTTGTACAGGTGACCAGCCGGCTGAACTGAGGAGGTCTAGACATATGATTCCGTTGCTGTATATGTGCGGGTGGATCGGGATCGGGCGAGGGGTCTCAGATGTGCTAGGCAATTCGATGAACTGGACTTCCGGCGGCTCTGTGTGATGGAGCGTTGCTTAGTATGATTGAACCAAAAAAAAAAAGAAAAAAAAAAAAAAAAAAAAAAAGTAACACAAGATATGGAATGTAACACTAGGGCGTAAGTTCAAACATACCTATTGGATACTTCGACGAAAACGTGAATTTTAGTCGATAGATCTGATTCTGATAAAGCGGATTTTCGTCCAAGACTCGAATATCCATCTGCCACTCTTCAAGATTCTCCGATTTGGCTATTGATATACCAGGTGGCAGATGCTCCTTTAGCTAAAGTAAATCCCACAGTTAATTCCCCCTGTGCATAATCGACACTTGGCGTGACGGAATATAGCAAAGACATGACGCTGCTTTGACTGGGCCGTAGCCCGTCTCCCAAAACGGCAGACAAAATTAGGGTATGAGGGATAGAAGGGGACGTAGGTACCTTGAGGAGCTCCTGTGATTGCGCCAAGTTAGTCTGCGAAATGCTGATTCAACGAGGGGTAAATTACCTTACTCAAGCGTTTACCCGCAAACATGGTGAGAGATATGTTTTTCGGAGGACTGATATATTGCTTCTAGTAATGCGGAATAGGTAATTGTCGTGAAGCTTTTTCTTCGCACGCTGGTTACTCCCATAGGTAGCAAAATCCTTGAGCCGCAAAGATGTATGACGTCTGACTCTTAACGTGGGGCGATTTACCGCCGCGGAAATGTTGCAACGACGAGAGGAAGGTTGAGGGAGGGGAAAGAAGAGGTGAACAAACACAGGAGAGGATCAAAAGTTGTCGAGACGTAATAGATATTGCCCGGAGAGCGTGAAGAAAAAGAATGAACCGGCCGAGATCATATAAGAGATTCAACGACCGCCTACGGGGCGTACCTTTATACACCCCCCCCAGTCGATCACCTGCCTGGGGCTCACTTCCCCGACACCCGTCATCTGATTGGCCCACGCACCGAACGGTCAATGGTGGCCTGGCACGTGATGCCTATCCACCTGATAAGGTCATCCCCAAAATGACTACGAGGACAAGTGCTAGTGTATCTGATGTTGAATACTGGAAGAAGAGTGAAAACTGTTGATGGTATGGATACGAAGGTAGAAAGAGATAGTCCAGTTAAAAGATAAAAGGAGTTGGAAGAACAAGTACTGAAAGTTCTCAAGAATAACAATAGTTACTGTATACAACCATTCGAATTATGGATGGGGAATCATGAGGTTAATATTCACAAAGCAACTCAGATGATGCGTCTTGACCTCAAAACTGGTCAGAAAAGGATGAACGAGCTCTCACTTTGAACGCCATAGCATAACAGAAATCAAGCATGGGCATTTTTCTCTCGAGCCTCACGTTCGAGCCTCTCGCGTTCTTCGGTGTCCTTCTGCTCACGAACCTTGGCAAGAACAACTTCGCGGAAGATAGCTCCGCGTGCGACCTTGCTCAGACTCCGCTTCTTTGTTGTACCAGCCTCACCCTCACCATTAGCTGGCGACTCGGCTGGGGCGGTTCCAGATTTGCCAGAGTCCTCAGCAGACGCTGCCATGTCAGCAGGACTAGGAATGTCATCCTCATCCTCTTCCTGCATCTTAAGTGCCTCGATGCGGTTGGCCAGTTTAATGATCTCAATGCCTCTCCTGAGGCGAGACCTGGCGATGTAGGCGCGGATTTCAGGCAGCAAGTCACGGTCGCTGGCAGATTCGCCCTTCAACCAGGAATGTTTGAGGGCTTCCTCGGATGTGACACGCTTTGATGGATCCGGCTGGAGCATCGTAAGGATGAAATCCTTGGCATCCTGTGAGACGTCACGCCAGTAGCGTTCATGGAAGATAATGCGGCCACTACGGCATTCTTCGATTAGATCGGTCAGGCTCTCGGACCGGAAGGGCGAATAGCCACACAGTAGGGTGTATGTGATGACACCTAGAGACCACATATCGACAGCCTTGCCGTGGCCTTGCTTGAGCATAACTTCGGGGGCGGCATAACCGAAAGATCCAGCCATGCTAGTCAATACTTCACTCGGACTGTCCAGCATCTTGGCAATGCCAAAATCGGCTAGAACCAAAGGCGAGGATGGGTCACGGGTGAGGTAAAGCAAGTTTTCCGGTTTCAAGTCTAAGTAATTCAGACTCAGCGTTAGCGCATGACACAGTATTATACCATGGAAGAGGGTGGAAGGTGTAAAACGAACCTCGGTGGACAATATTCCGTTCATGCAGATAATTGACTGCGTCCAGCACTTGCCGAATAGTTTGAGATGCATCCTTCTCTGTAAACTTTCCGTAGTCGCAAATTCTATCAAACAGTTCACCGCCGGTGGCTAGTTGAGTGACAATGTAGAATTTGTCCTTTGGCACCGTTAGACTATTGACACTGGTATCGCGCGGTAAAAGGAACCCACCTTAGATTCGAACCAATCGACAAAATGAACAATATTTGGGTGGTCAAGGGCTTGCAACATCTCCAACTCATCGTAAACCATCTGCTCGTTGCCCCGGACATTTTTCTTCAGGATGATTTTCACAGCGACTTTCCCACGGCTGCAATCTGCCTCACGAACAATACCGTACGTTCCAGCACCAAGTGTTCTCCCAAATTTGTACAGTTGTCTAAAGCAAGCCCTCACTGGTTACTAGCTGTCCAATGGTATGTCAAGGAATCATAAACCGCAAGGGAAATGCCGTACTTTTTCTCATAACTCTCGGGCTGTCCCGACAGCTTGTTGAGCATATTAGTGACTGTAAAGCAAAACCATGGTCAGCGCATTTGTCACAATAACCTTCAAACGTCAAGGCAACACGGTCGGTAGTCCAGGGGCGAGTCAAAAAAAAAAAAAAAAAAAAAAAAACCCGGGCGATGTGGTATGTTCAGACCATGTAACCACGAGGAGATAAACCATAGCCAAAGGCTGGCGCCATTGCTCCACAGAGCTACCACAACAGTTGACGAGAGCATTTCACAGACTTGGGCAGGCATGGAGCACGCCACCGGTTGATGTAGAAAGAGAAATAGGCTTCAACAACGGGCGGGGCAATCAAGAAGAAAGAGCAACATTTCGACTCCGTCCAATTGACAAAACAAGATACGAAAGCGATGAGAAAACGAAGAGACTCACAACTCATTGTGCCTGAATGGAATGACCGCTCTAAGTCACTAAAAATTAAATGTGCGGCGAGCTAACGCAGTAGGCTTGATGCCGATGAGACCCCGCACGCGAGGAGGGATTGGCGGGGCGGAGAGGAAATCGTAGTTCAGAGAGTCGAGAGAGGCAGGCTATTATGATTATCGTTCAGGTATAGACTGAAGAAAGATATCACAGTCAGTGAGGGAGGGGGGAAAGAATGCTGCTGTAGGGGAATGTTGATGAGATGGTGCCAGCGACGCAGATCCTCAGATGAGCCGTTGAACTGAGAAGGCCGTCTCCATACTTGATTAGGGGGCGGGGTGAGACTGGAGTAAACAAACGGTACTGTACCTACTTGAACGGTCGCGGTAAGTATATGGCGGAAGTTACCTTCCACCGTAAGGATATTGAAAAGAAAGGAGAGGGAAAAAAATTCAATTGAACAAAAGATTTGAGTCGGCCTCAGGCGTGGACCAATATAAAAGATGAAGGTTATGAAACACCAGCCCGAGAGTAAACCAGAGGAGGGAAAGTGAAGGTGGGCATTGGGTAACGTAAGTTCACAGTCTGGCCCCTCCGATAGAGTTTAGTTGAACCCCCGTGGCTGTGCTCGGAACGGATTTGGGACAGCGGATTGGCCCACTTCCGTTGTCCATTAATTTTGCATGTGGGAAAAAGGACCTCCGACAGGCAACAGCCACAGTTTTTTTTCAGCCTTGTCCCACGTACAGAGTAGTAAGAAAAGTATTTTACCAGGCTTCCTTTTTTTTGCTCCCTCTTGATCCTCCTTCCTTTCCCCACAAATCTCAACAATATCAAAAGCCAATTGGGCAATAAAAATACGCAGCCAGGAAATGCACTATTATTGACAAGACCCATGGAGGGGCTCTTCTCTAGAGCAAAATTAGAACAACTAGGGAATTCTAGGTACTTCGTTTTCGTATCATGCGTGTCAACTCTAGTGGCTGAGTCTTTAATTTAATCTGACAGCCCTGCCGTTTTGGACTGAGACCTGGCTGGAGGTTACCATTTAAACACTAGCCTAATCTAGATGACCATGTACTAGTAGTCATCCAAACTGGTGTCTTGGCCATCTTGACCAATTCAGTAGTTGTTACAGCCTATCAATCTTCCAGGGACCAAATATAGCTCCGAACTTTCCTCTTCCCGATCTTTCTCTTTCCCCCAAACTCATGGGTAGTTACAGTTCCCACTTGAATGTCTACCAAATTTGAACCAGAGACATTTTGATCTAGAAACATCCATGCCTACGTGCCTATCATGTTCACACGCATGTAAGGGGGAGGGCTTTCTATGATAGCTCCTTGTGAAGCTCAAGCGATAGTTGTCGGGTGGATGCATAACCCGAGCTGTTGGAGGTTCAGCATAGCTTCCCACTGTTGCGCAGAGATCTCATGCTCAGAAAATGCCCCAATGAAGTATGCGTGCTCAGCTACAGACTTTTAAGTCATCTTATGAAGCTATTCTTATATGAAAGTTGAATGCATTACCACATGGACAACTAGGAAATTTATTATGCAGGTTTGAATAGACTAAATATAAGTATATTCACTTCCTCACTCGGTAGGTAGAAGATAGTAAAGTGGACCGTCAGTTTATATACTTAGAGAATTTCAGATTTCTATACGGTATATGTTCTGGGGGGCTAAAATCCAAATAACTATTCATCTTGGAAGTATCTTATAAGATGGCAGATACTGTGCCCAATCATATTCTCCCCTTTTGGTCCTATATAGCAAAGAGAACGAAAGACAATCAGACACACAGACATATACCGGACGGAAAAAAGACAAAGACTTGTTAGGTGACGACAGGAGAGGCAAACTTCCCGCAGCAAATCAATCCTGATCGTCATGCACGGAAGATCGGCAGACCAATTGACCATTCCTATTGAAGATATTGGAGTCTGTAGGTCTTAAGTAAGCACTTGAACTTCAAAAAAGCCAAGAGATGAAGATGAAGAGGTCTCATACCCAAGGTTGTATTCTTTGTGACAGTATGACCCCATACGGCCATTTTATCCCCGCCTATCTTGCAGTCGCAAGTAAGAAGTGAGGGTTTCTTTGGGTCCGTCTCCAATTGACACGAGATACAAGTGTCGAATGCAGCTCCACTATCGCCAGTATGTTAGTGAGAGTTTCTTCTCCCCCTTTTGCAATCAATCCCCAACAAACACGGTGTACATACTCGACCTTGAACTCGAGCCGATGATCTTGATTGTACGTATAACAATGATTCAAGTCCAAAGAACTGTCTTGATACTTCCCATCCCAGTCGGGACACGTTGCCGAGATTGTATGGGACGTAGAATTGTCCAAATGCCAAGATTTGCAGTTTACAGTAAAGTTGACCATTTTGACGTCAGGCTCGGCGGCAGCCAAAGCTGACAAGATAGAAAAAGTAGCCACTGAAATCCAATGCATAATCATCAAGTACGAACGCTTCTGTACGAAGTAGATTGCGAGAATACCTCATAGTTCGTAAACTGGCCATAGCCAAGCTATTCATGCTCCCTCGGACTATGGATGTAGGTACTGCGGTAAGATCAAGATGACTTAACTTTCTTTGAGCATCTTCTCTTGTGTTTCAAAACCTGAACGGGACAAACATTATAATTTGATAGAATTCAATCTTATACATCCGATCTTTCATTGATGAAGGCACCTGAGCCTTATTGAGATTATGTGACCGAGAATCACCCCATTCGACTTCCTACAATGGCCCTCCACTAATGCTATTTCTGCTTGACAGGTTATACCATTTCTCTTGATAGAATGAGATGACATAGATGAAACACCATATAAAGAATGAGTGTTTCATTTCGGCTTTGGTAGCTTGACAAAGGGACGTAACTCTTAGCAAAGGAAGTGCGGTTTCACAGCCGATAATTGGTAATCATTTGGTAGATGTTAAACCTCATGTCCTATAAAGGCTGCAAAATGTAATCCAGATCTAGATACTATTCGTCAAGCGTTGAACTATCCAACCAGTTGAAGTTTCGCCATATCCTGCTCAATAAAGTATATCCCCAATATTCTTCATGGCAAATTTAGTCCATCTCCCCGTCGAGATCCTTCTGCATATTCAGAGATATTTCAGCAAATCAACACTTAATTATTTCAGCCAAGTATGTCGGCACTTCTACTCCATTTCCAACTCTACACTTTACAAGAAGAACACAGCCAGGGCATTATGGCAAGCAACAGAAACAGGGAACGCCGAAACTCTGCACAAGCTGCTAGGATATTGTCCGCGGACCAACGAGTCTGATCTGCAATATGCCATATGGAGCCCCCTTGGTCACACACCGATGTCAGCAGCGGTATACGGTGGAAGTGCAGAAGTAGTCCAGACCCTCATAGACAGCGGCTTCGACCCGACTGATAAAGACAGGAATGGCTATACACCTCTCTCCTGGGCAGCATTGTATGGCCATACTGATATTATTGCAATCTTGCTGAAGACCGGCATTGACCCGGATCTAAAAGACATGTATGGCCGAACTCCTTTGAGTTGGGCCGCTGAGTATTGTCATATAGATGCTGTGAAGATATTTTTAGATTACGGTGCGGATCCTGAGTGTCAGGATGATGATATTTACATTGTTGAAGCTAGGGCAAGACAAGAAGGGCTTTACCTAGTGCCTCTCTTCTTGATGAACCATGAACGGTTGTATAAAAGACCCATCCCTCGGAAGCCTATAGAATGGGCTAAGAGAAATGATTGTGCAGCTGTTGTTGAGCTCCTACAGCATACAAAGGAATCTGAAGAGACTCCCTACATATTTGATTTGATTGTGTACTCCTGGCGCTAGCTCATACTTGTTGGTTTCGTGGATATAGGGCCTGATCCAAAGTTACACGCTTCCCATAATTGTACTTTACTTTTGAATGCAGTTAAAAGTTAAAATATGGAAAAATATGATATATACAGCTATAATTACCCCCGGTCTTCTATCTGGGTTTCCCAAGCCATTCTGCCCTTGAGCAAATTGCACTTTATTGAGGACTTTCTAAGTATAGAATAGTTTCATATTTGATTTTTTTTCTAGCAATTCTTTATTTTCAATATCCGTTAAATCGATAGCCCTTACCGGCTACGCATCGCATTCATGGTATACAAACGTTACAAATCCACCGTTGTACTACCAACACAGCCGGTTAATGAAGAACTGATCACAACCAAGTGTTGATGAATGAGTATAACATCCACTATGCATGTCTCGCAGAGGAGGAACTGCTGGTTTCATACCATTTTATCAAAGAAATGGTAATAAAGGCTACTGTAATCACATCAGTCACCTGTATGAGGAAACAAAAGAAAGTATGTCCGGAGTCACAATGATGCGCTGGGAAGGAGTAATGGTTATGTAGGAATGACTAAAAGCGATATGATATATTTCTTGCAGTTTATGATGATGAGCGCTTCATGCTCGAAAGGAGGCACAAAATGTATCAGTTTTGAAAGCAACTCAAAGGATCATGGAAGAACAGACCTCCTTGGAAAGCAAATGTAGCTAATCAACGTTGTAGATCCAAACAACGACCCACCATGTGTTTATGTCCTGGAGAGATATAAGTAGCCCAGTTGAGGGTCCTGCACAGAGCCCTGCAAGTTTAAATTTTAGATCTTCATAGTTATATCAAGTTTTTCATGAAGACAATATGTATCAACGATTGTTGATTTTCTGCTTTGCACTTGCAACTTTAGTGCCTGCCAATCACTTTCTCGACACATGTAGGAAGGTTGGATTAACTGTCAATGGCCGCACTTTAGTTGCAGACTGCAGATATAAGAACCAGAAAGACGATGAAAAGGCGTATAAGTCAGCATTAGATTTGAACCGTTGCCTTAAGCTCAACGACTGGGGTGATATAACAGCTGAAGCTGAGTATGTATATTAGCACAGGATGATGGTACTTCGAACTGACTGGAAGCAGTGGAAATTTCTTGCCCAGCGTGAGGGAATGTCGCCTTGACAAACTTGCCACATTGACCTGTGTATACTTTGGCGAGGAAGGTCAGAAGAATTGTCTTTTCAATCTAAGTAAGTGCTCTTATTACCCTCAAATAGTAGCCATATCTAATTCGAACTTCCAGATAATGTCGTGTTCAACAAAGATGGTATTTTGGGTTGCTTCAATTACACCGGTGTGCCCATTGAAGACGCCCAAGCTTGGGAATGATTCAGGGATCAGACCAGTACGTCCAGGCTGTGTATGATCCTGGTTTTGTTGTTTCCAGAAAATTGCACACCGGATGTATAGGGTGATTTGTTGAGAATACCAATAAGTTGGCTTGGCGGAACTTGTGGATACATTGCTTAAAGCTATAGAAATGGAGTATGGGAAAATAAGAAAATATACTCACATCTGTTGAATCTAGGTCCTTGATATTCAAGTATGGGTCCTACATAACTATATATGACCTGTAATAACACACCAATCACATGTCATGTAGGAAGTGACGGATGGATTTTCCTGTGAACCTCTGGTTCGAGACATAGTGGACTATGTCCTGGAGGCAATGTACATACAGTCGATATCCGAAAACAGTTAAGCAACTGCTCTGACACTGGAGGCGAGTCAACCACATTCACTCAGTGTGACAATTGGTCAGCCCATTCCCCATGTAAATCACAAGGGATACGAAAATGAGAATATAGAGTAAGATGTGCCTTGTCTGGGTTGTCCAGGAAGATTTTATGGCCAAATATAACATAAGTGGAGCTTATACATCCGGTCAGTGTCACTGGGAGAAGACAAGCAGCCTGATGAGCCATTATCGAAGAGAATTAACAAGGCTCGAAGAAACCTGCTAGTCGCATAGCAGCAAAGAAGGAAAGAAAAAGAAACAAATATATACACACATAACGCTCCTTAGCTAAATGATTTCTTCAAATGATGTCCAGCGAATGGGTACTAAGTTGAAGGATATTATTATACCTACTCCTAGAGCTCTCTGCTTCTCTCATTCTGCGAATATTCACGTAGTTGCAACGAGATTAGTCTTGAATTGGACATGATTTTGGCCTGAATCGGTAAATTGTCTCCCTATGAGCAAACTCGGAAGTTCTCTAATGAATGAGGTCAATATAAGGGAGGATGTTAAGGACGGGCTCATGGGATGATGAGCTCTACTAGAGGACATTCTGACTGTAACCTGCCCTGAAAATTAGTGAGTACTTAGTCTGGTAGAAAGGCGGTGAGGAATGACAGTATTCCCGTAGCATACCACCCTCCCTCCACCCATGCAACAACTTCATACTTCGACCAAAAAAAAAAAAACTGTTGCTGTTTCAAGGATGACCGCCATTCAACCCGTAGCGGACCCTCTCACCGTCCTGCCTCCTGAGATCGTTCTGCGAATTTTGGATTTCACCCCAATCTCTGCTCTCGCATCCCTCACCGCAGTCTCCAAGGCCTGGCACGAATTTATCGACGTCACACATCAAGAAGCCATCTACACCTCCGAATCCAAAACCGTCCAACCGCCTGGAGGTGCCCGTGATTTCTCATTCCTTTCCGACAATACTAGCTTCACCAAGCTGTTCGAAGGCACAGCGTCATGGAAGGACCTTTGTAAGCGCCAGACGCTGCTCGCCCGTAACTGGGCCGAGTCCCAACCAGTTTGCCGGGAGGCGGTAGTGCAAATCGGCAACGATCCTGTCTGGCGATTTCGCCCGGACTTCAAGCGTCGGTTCTTCGTTTCGACATCCCATGCGGGTGGGCTAAATGTCACTGATATGGATACGGGCCAGATTCTGTGGCGTCTTCCTTCAACGTTAGATAGTGACGAGGATGCGGTTCGTCCATACGCACATCTGGAGTATCAAGACGGGATGGCTGTCTTTGATCGCGAAGGGGATGCAGTCGAGGTCTGGCAGGCGGGTCTGGAAGGCGCAGCACGTGGAGAGTTCCGGCGCATCGCGGTTTTGAATCACGATTGTCAGACAAGAGGCTTTCAGCTGTCTTACTGGACACTCTGTGTAGTGTCTAGCCAGGGACGGGGTTTTGTGTATGACATGACGCAACGACCCCCCAAGTTGACCACGCGTGTTGATATCGAGCATGGCGCCATCGGCCATTTAGACCAAAGCAAAGATGCCGTGATTTACTCCATGGGGAGGGAAGGCTATCATGCTTATGATAAAACGTCTGGCGCGTTTTTGGGTTCGTTGCAGCCGTCGCATTGTACGGACAAGTATCATATTAGCCCACCGGCTGTTACTTCTATCTCGGAGAGCGCGGCCCTAGCGGGAGCCATGCGACACTTTCCGCCAAATCGAACATTTCCTCTGGGGGCACCTCGCAAAGATAGCCTGACGCCCCTCAAGATTGCCAAAGGTCCCCTCCCACCGCCCAGTGACCCTGGGCATGTTAGGCATGGCGAGGACGATTGGGGAGCTGGCATGTTGCACGGCAACGTTTTCGTCGGCTTCTCCCGCGCTGGCCGTGTCTTCGTTTGCTCCGACTGGCGCAAAGCTCTGCACGGCCCAGGTAGTCTCGCGGCGCACAGTTCCCTAATTGAATGCGAGTCGGATGGGTCGGGCTTTGACTTGGGTGGTTGGCTATCTGTGCGCAACCACCGCCTGATGTTCGAGATTGAAGACCGGATCTATGTAGTGGCGCTTGACGACGATAATAGAATTCAAGACAGCGACTGTCCCGCTCGCGCTTCATATTCGCTGCTCACTAGCTCCGCGCCGCAGCTTGCTGTGCCGGTTAGTTTCATGGCGTTGTATGATGACGCGATTATGACCACTTTCACGGTATGTTCCACCACAGTGGCTAATATGGAAACAGAAGCTAGAAAGCTAACATTAAAACCTGCAGACACTCGGTTGGCGCCATCCCCTTCCAGGCGATGCGGCTCCACAGGAACATGAAGCTCACACCCGTCTCTTCCCAACTAAAGCCATCCGCGTTGTCAGCTTAGCCCCGGACCTTTCTAACGACGAGTCTTCCTCGGCCGATTCAGCCCAAGGTACAACGGCGATAGGCTCTTCAGCACCAGAGGCTTGGCGCTCGCCAACACAAACTGGGCTGTTGCAGTTAATTAGTATGCTGGGTAACGAGCTTGATGACTTTGATGATGAGCTGGAGGTAATGGAAACCGGGGATGATGATGAGGGGTGGGAGGATGAGACTGAGAGTGAAGACCATGAGCAGGAGCATACGGCTTCACGTGCACATGACTCAGCCTAGACTTAAAGCCTGCTTAATGAAGGAGACTTGCGTCTAAAGGGTTTCGTGGAAACTTTCTTCTCTGCGATTTCTTAGCAGGTCTTGACCCTGGTGGTGTATCCAGAACAAGCTGCTGACGAGGGCCATGGTACGTGGACTGTGCCCGTGTGTCAATATGATAACGAAGGCAACGAGGCGTATCAAGGAGACCTTTTCGATCCCAGGGACGCTGTTGATCAGCACTGCACGCAAGGTGGAGACCAACTCTTCGAGGGAAGGACAAAGGTATGAAACCTGGCTTGTTCGGGTGCGAGACTACAGGTACAATGAAAATCACGTCGTTTTCCACTCTGTGGACAATACGGAGCAGGATCCCATCCAGGACGACATCGAATGACTATCATAATGAAATCAAATGATACCTGGACCTTTTTGCCGATCAAGCTTCCAACTCTATCTCTAGTGGAGAATCAATACAAGCAACAAATACAATAAAAGCAGCATCCAACAGATGGAAGACTACGATCAAGGAATCACAGGATACATTTGAAGCGCAGTACTCACCATTGAACTTCGTAGCAGAAGCTCAACCGGTCGGATCAAATGGTGGTTTAACAATTCCTCAGGACAATGGCACGAAGGATAGTGCTAGTAAGTACAATATAAAGGTTTGGGCTTGGTAGAGCGACAAGATCAGTCGTACAATCTGCTCAAAAACATAAGGAAACATTAATCATATTGTTATTTACGCTAACAAGCCTAGGACTTGAGCACTTGAACAGGTCCAGCATTTGTCGACATCCATAGTGCGAGTAGAACGAGCACCGGACCATGCTATAGGTATTCCGGAGTAGCCGATGTGTAAGGAACGAGTTTACCTCTTCGGAGTTATTGGCGCAGATTGCGATCGCCAACGCGTCAGCTTCAGACAAACACTCGCCCGGGCTCGGGCGTTCAGACCTAAACCCCTTAGCTAATAGCGAGGTGCACATTTTCTTCGAGCTATACAGCAACCCTGGCTTTAACCATGAAAAGTTAGACCATCATGAGGTACGCAAAGGCCAGCCAGCCTAGTGTGTCAAGGACAAGCTTAGACACAGTAAGCAGTCTTTAACGAGCTGATAGGGACACGTGAAACTGACACTAGTATGCTGTGTTCGACATTGAACAAAGCCTCTGACAAGCAGTCCTCCAAATAGATGGCTACTTTTTACATTTCACTGCCCTGTTGCTTCTGCGGTCTAAACAGTAGGCAGTCTTCACCACTAATCAGCAGCAGCACAGTATATATTAGTAGTCTACAGACATCGTCTTAAACTGGTATCCAGGATCACATATAGGAGCTACTTCTAGGTTTCCCTCTATAGACTTTATCATATCACCAAGCTTAGGAGACCCAATATATCTGAATCTTTGTTAAATGGGGATCGCTTTTTAACTGATCATTTTGCCCATAGCACAAGTTCTCGCATGGCTCTTAAAAACAAATCAACGTGATATCTTGTTCGCTGTTCATAGTTTGTATTGTTCCAACGTATACTTTGACTTGGTATGTTTGAGAAAAACGACTCGTATCCTACCCAGAACCCGCTCAGACCAAAGCCGGGACGGGCTCTTCGGATTCCACGGTCAATCCTAGTCCCTAAAGCCCTCCCGCAATTTCAGCTTGCACATCAATGAAGGCTTCTCCCACAAGGTGTACGCCTTCTGGTCAGACCATCGTGTACTTTCTTCGCATAGCTCCAAGTCAAAGTTCCAAAGCACTCGAGCGAGTATCACACGCATTTCTGCATAAGCGAGGTTTCTGCCGATACAATTGCGTGGACCAGTAGAAAATGGCTGCACAACACCCCGGTTATCCGAGAAAAATGGTGAACTTGGATCACTCTTAGCTTCCGGTAGCCACCGCTCGGGAATGAAAAGATCTGGAGCGTGAAAATTGGTTGATGACCAGTAGGCTGCGGACTGGTGAACCGAAACTTTGATCTATATCAAGTCAGTCCCTGTTGTTCGTCACGTCCTAGTTTTCTCGGCTGATCTTACCCCCGCAGGGATATCATATCCAGAAATACAGGTTGGAACCAAGGTCATCCGCTGTAAGCCTGTCGGCACGGGTGGGTATAATCGGAATGCTTCATCAAAACAAGCCAGCATGTATGGAAGCTCGGCACTGACTTTTTGAGCGCTTATCTCGGATTCGCTCTTCATCACAGAGCGCACTTCGTCCGTTAGCTTGGCTAACGTTTCAGGATTGCGTAATATCCAGTATGTCGCTCCTGATAATAGAGTCGCCGTAGTTTCACTGCCCGCAATAATAAGGATATTGGAATTGGCCTCCAGCTCCAAGTCATTCAGGCTGCCCTTTTCGCCGCGATTACGCAACATCGAGTCCATAAAGTCACCGCGGTCGTAAGCAGAGGAGTTTTGGAGCCGCTTCTGAACCGTTATTTTTGAGTGCTCTAATTGCTTCTTGCGTGCCTCCATTATTCCTTCGGGCATAAGGCTGAGAACACCCTTGAATGCCAAGGGATATGCGTCTTTCAATCGTATAAAGGGAATTGCCTTGATTGACTGGAAAATGGTGGACACCCAGTGGTGATACTCCGAGTTATCTAATCCACCAAAGGGTTCTCCAAAGGCTAGGTCACCGATGATGTCAAACGTTGTGAGGTTATACCATTTGACCATGTCGGCTGGTAGGTTCGACTCGGCAACCCCTTTAAGTCTCTCTATCAGCTTGTCGACGTAACTGTTCATCAGAGGCTCTTGGGCCTGAAGCCCTTTGGCAGAAAATGCATGAGATAGAGCTTTGCGATAGCGACTGTGGTCGGTGTCGTTCGACGAGATTATGTCGAGCGTATTGCTATCTGATATCAAAACTTTAGGGAGTTGCTGATGGCCGTGACCGTATATATCTTTCCATGCCTCTGCTGTTATGAAGGACACTTCATCACGACCAAATCTAACCACAGGACCATACACAGCATGGTGCTGACGCATATCGATGTCAAATCTCCCGCGGATAGCGGAAGCATGTCGCATAATGGGGAAGATAATCCATGACTTTGGTCCTGGGATTCGTCGAAGGGGGTGAAGATAGACGTACCATATGGCAGCTAACACGGCATAAAGCAAAAAGGCAATCACGGGCCACAGGACGATATTAAACGCCATGACGACAACCAGCCAGGTGGCTTAATCAAGGATGCAGAGGGTGTGTAATGATGGCAGGCCCAATATATATATATATATATAGCCTTTCAACGGTACTTGAAGCCTTTTTTTAGACTAATGTGGAGGTTGCCGTACACATTGAAAAAGGGGGGCAAAGCGGCGTATACGTTGTGGTGATAGGAGAATGTTCAGTCACCATGCATAATATCCATGCCTAAACGGGCCAGTTGAGGCATAGAATGGGGTAATACAACATCCCTATGCATTGAAAAGCTATGCTCGGTTTAAGATAGCCGGACGGATCATGTACTTAATTCAATCCGATAGAGTAGAAACGATCGGCTTCGTTCAATTCCGTTCTCCGAGGATTCACATCTAGTCATGAAAATGACGATCATGCTCTTGGGTCTCCACCCACAGTCTTTTTCTTTCGTTCTTTCTTTCTTCCTTTCTTTCTTTTTTTTTTCTTTGGTGATTGCTGAGGAGAAACCTATGGCCGACTAAATCGAGCTCCCCAAAAACCTGGAGATATTACCAAGTTTACCAACAGCATGCCCTATGATATCGTAGTACTTGGCCCAGTGCATCATCCCGATGGTGATTATAGGCTAACTAGCTACTAAACACCATCTTTGAGATAAATAGATGAGAGTGGGTTACCACTAGAGAGTAGTCCCACATCACTGACTCGCTCGAGGGATTTCCTTCTCCGCTCCTTCAACTACTGCGCGATAAGTTGATAACCTCGTATACACAGTTGATATCATGTATTAGACATGCAGGCCTCACGTCCTAGGTCTGTCGGCTCCATTGACAAGAAACGAGCTCGCGATGGACGCGCTCAACAGAAGCTCCGCGCAGACCGGTCAAATCGTACCCACTCGCTCGAGCAACAATGTAAAGCGTGCGAAAAAGAGATACAGGAGCTCCGGACCGAAAGCGAAGCTCTATGATCAGCCCAACAGCGCATCTGAGAGATAGTATGTACATCTGAGCTAAACAACAAGGAAACACTGGCGAACCGCAACGGCCGGGAACCGAAATCCGTGGAGGTCTGCCCGACTATATCACACGTCTGTTTGCACCATGCGGCTCATTGTCTAACAGTGTTGGAATATCTATCGGGTTTCCTTAGGTATCCTCTAAATGACATGGTAATCCCTGTTGAAACCAACGTTCAGCCGTCCAATGGGACACCGCTCTCGCCTGATCCAATTGAACGGACATATCCCCACACGCTGAGGCTTGAGTTTAAACTCTTTCAACGATACGGCGCACGTTTGGGGTGATCCTGAGGTGCTTCGCATCGGGTTCAACTAAGAATGACCCGAATGCCGACAATATCCCCCGATGAGGGAAAAGTTAAGCTATCCGGTATTTCGGGTTGATGTTATCGCGAGGCCCACACTCAGTATATTTGATCCCCGCACAGGAATGTACTTTAGCTGAACAACTTCTACTCCTTGCAAAGATTATTGTCTATTAACCCTTGATAACGCCATAATGCTCGAAGCAGACCTGTGCTGGCCTCTGTGGGGGGAGAGCTCAGTGGATGGCGCCTTCGAACTCGACGCACAGGAAGGCGATCTAGCCCAGGCAGTTGTCACCAAAGTCGAGCGTCCTTTTCTCTTTGGTTACCGCCCAGCCAAACCCAATGGACGGGGAGTGCTAATTCTCGGAGGTGGTGGCTACGTTCAGCTCATGGTTGGCCGGGAAGGTATCGCGGCTGCAAAATGGCTAACCAGCCTTGGGTTCTATGCCTTTGTTCTGGTCCACCGGTTTCCAACCGCAACTACTGGTGCCGAGGCGCCTTTAAATGATGCCAGACGCGCGTTCAAGCTGATGGCGGAATCCGGGCTCATCCCGCAGGGACAAGGCATCTGCGGCCTCTCGTCCGGTGGTCATCTCGGAGCTGCGCTTTTGGCCCAATATCCTAGCGCATGGACATCGCCCGATCCAGCGGTCCCTCAAGCTCAATTTGCTATTATAGGATATGGGCCAATTTCGACAAATGCGGCCGGCCGTACTATCGTTGCGGATAAGCCACCCCTTCTGCCTCTGGAGAAGCAGGCTCTGTACGACTCATTACAGCCAGATGTCCAGCTCAATTCTCCCGCGCCACCTACTTTCATTGTTTATTCTAATAATGACCCGGTCGTCCCTGTTGTCAACGCCTATCGTCTTGCCGAGGGCATAACCAAGAGTGGAGGATCTGTTGAGCTTCATGTCTTTGCCGATGCGCCTCATGGTTTCGCCTTGGACACAGAAAATCTACCTGTTTCTAACTGGCCCTCAATGTGTGAAGCATGGCTGAGACAACATAGTTGGATAGAATAGGGTTCTTTTGATATATGGCCCCTCAGAGGTTCTTGGTAATTAGACTTCGGGGAAGGGGTTTGAGACAAGGAAGTCGATGAAGACCGAGAGTTTATGTCTGAGGGTTTATACTTACAGGGACTGGCTCCTTTTTTTTTTTTTTTTTTTCTGTATAAAGGAAACGATATTAGCATTCATTGATTGATCCATCGATGTATCATTCTAGTGCTTTTCGAAGTGCATTCTCTGTGTTCTATATGTGCATATTCTACGGTGACTTGCCTTTCGGGGTTACTTCCTGGAGCAGTGACTGCTACTGGAACTACGACTGGTGAGCCTCGAGCAAGATGTTGACTGTGGTGTTGAGCACCTCAAGTGGAGGAATGGTAACATCAGTAATACATCAAGTGTAACTAGTGATCCTATGGGTATTATTCGCAGGGATGCTGTCAGAGTCATTTACGTGGTTGTTGACTGGAAGAACGGGCAGGAGTTATGGGTGGGGAGGTAGTTTGCATGGAAAGATGTGTCCTAGTCGAGATAATAATTTACATATACATCCTAGAATACGTCTAAATATTCTTATCTAGTCTTGATTGAAAACTATAAGTTCAATGATCTCTATAGCGACGAGCCTGAGTCACAGAAACGTCATACTTCTGGGTAGAGTAACTGGATAGAATATAAAGTAGCCGATAGAAAGATCTAATTTTTGTTCACGACCAATATTAGGATTCAACCACCGGTAGCCTCCAAAACCTCCGTAAATCTTCTTTCAACTTCAAACAAGGCCATCCGAGATGGAACTCTGCGGCCGACAACAGGTCCAAGAGAACCTTTGTCTCCCTCGGGTCATGGAATAGTTCGCCGCATAACCCAATAGCCAAGCCTGCAGTAGATCGGGTAGTATGGAATTCAGGATTTGTTAGAGCAACCCCACATATGACTCGAACACACACCCGTATCCTGTCATCATTATCTTGCATGCGACGGAATCGCCCAATTCGAAGTGCCGAGGCGTCTGGATCAGATGCCAAGAGGAGAATGCGACATAGTTCCAGATACAGGCGGGCCGCGACATGGCAGTCGTTACAATACCAAATCTTCGGGAAGCAACTAGACGGTGGATTCTCTGCTTCGCTATAGATCGGTATGAAGGAACTCGGCCTGCTGTCTTCCCAGTCTTGGACATACTGCATCAGGTCGTTCCAGCGATCCTTAGTCCTGAACATGACATCGCCATACGCAAAGTCGGTTATCTTGGCCGCGTGAGCAATGATCCGGTATGTCCACATTGCTTCAGAAGCCGGACCCAGTGATGTGTCGATATTGCAGTGGTCAGTAAAAGACCCCACAGGTCGTTGTGTCAGATTCGCGACGAAGATCTCTTGTCGCAAGACCACGATCAAGGCGGCATCTGTGAAGCTTGATGTGCAAATGTTTCCTTCTTTAATTCGAACAAGGATATGAGCAGACAGGGTGTGCGAGTCGACAATTTCTCTAGGAGAAGGCTCTGTCCGCAACCTCTTAGCACATATCTTTTTATGGTTGCAGGATTTTCAGGACGTGGCACACACCTGTCATTTCTTCAGAGAGACGAAGGATTACAGCAGACGCAAAAAGAGACTCATCTAGTGTTTTTTCAGAGTTATCAAGGGCGGATATCAATGACTCAAGGCAGTATTGCTGGTATTCATCTGCAATCAATCGCTCACGCTCTGAATGCGAGCGCTGATGCCTAGCAGCCACCGTCAGAACAGCATACATGAGGATAGGATTACTAGACGCAGAGCTGGCGATGTATGTATAAAAATGCCGGCTCGGGTCGCAGTAGTCAAACTACGGTAAAATCGCAGGAGAATACGGTTAGCCATGCCTTAGAACTTACGATGCAAAAGCCAGGGAGCACCTACCCAAGGAGAGAGGGACGTCATAAAATATTTAAAAAGAGATGCCTCGTATTCGCTTTTCAGCGGTGAGAGGAGAAATTGAGATCCGACGGTGCATGATGTCGGTACAGGAACGGGCCCCTGTGAAGGGGAATTTTGCGACGACCGCTGATGGTCGTTATGACCCTCTGGCTTGCTGTTTGATGGACCATTACCGTCAATTTCCGTATTATTCTCGCTAACCAACGTTATATTACTTGGTGGACGGCTGGGCTGGAGTTGATAGTCCTCCGAATCGTTCTCTACAGAGGCGTACTCAACAATGCGGAACATGCCATCCTTACGGCTTGTGCATGCCTTATTTGCCCGCCGGCAGCCATGGCAAGAATTACCATCTGAGCCTCCTTTGCCTTTATCGCGTTAGCCGTCTCGTGATTTGAGCTACTATAAGGTAGCTTACATCGTATATGACGAGTCCGACACCGGTCACTGAGGATGTATCAGCGCAATTTTCCATGCACTCAAATCCGTATGCTATGGACTAGCTGAGAACGAAATCTACACACCAAGCTTTATGACGGCCCAATCGGGTTCTACTGGCGCTTTGAACTGGTGAACGATTGTTACCACTCATAGAAGACCAGCTAAAGTCGTGGAATAAGTGCTATACAGTGGAAGAAATGGAAATTGATAAGCGTTTTGATTGAAGAACAAAGTGGGGCATCTTCGGGTAAAAATATACCGGGTCATGTGATTGGTCCGTACCGGCATTTGTCTTCTCTGTTCAGTCTCTAGTAATACAATTGACTGATCACCGATTGCAGTTACCTGTATCTCGACTCGATAGTGGCATGTATTCCGTTCTTTTAGCCCGCAGGATCTATTTCAATCTTTTTAGTTGATTTTCTCATTCTCGATGCTATATAGAATTGTCAGTTTTATACTGTCAAACTAGCAGTGAGGGTCTTCTGTGTAAGAATCTGTACTAACCCGCCCAAGACATTCACAAGTAGCGTGATGCTTCCAAAGTTTGTATGTGCCAGTAGCCCCATCTATGTTTGGATCTCTTCAAGGCCAAGACCCTGAGTACCCGGCGCATACCGCATACACCGGAGAATAGTCCCCGATTCCTGAATTGGGTCATTACTAGTATGTTATACGTTGAAAGTTTATCTCTATCATACAAAAGGCCTACATGGTCCTTTCTGATAGCTTATTTGCAAGTCCAGCCTTGTTGACATTCGGGTATTTCTCGTCTTGGTAGTTGCATGCATTACTGTGGAAAAGAGTCGATGTTTTTAGTCATTTTGTGGGTGTATTCTCAACCCAGGAGTACCGGTAGGAAATATAACTCCTTAATCAGCTCATTTCCGTCCTGCAATAGTTCGTTATATGTCTTTTTGTTTTACGACATGAACAACCACAGCATCTCATTCCCTTCAATATACTGTTTTCTCATCCTAGAGTAGGTATAGCCCCATTTCCACTCAAAGAGTTTAGCATACAGGTTAGATAGAGTAGACCTCTCACATGATCATACATAAAAAAGAACCAGGTTTCTCCTTGCTCGGGTACAAACACACCCGCCGCACATCTATAGGATGCCTGCGAGGGATGGCAGTTCGGCACGGATATCCTCCGTCCAGCCTTCCGGCAAGAGCTAATGCCGGTATTTAGATTGTTTATGGCTTAGTATCCTTTCTGTATTGGGGGATCTGTGAAGATCGACAGAGCATGAATGATGAAGCGGCGGCCAAGAGACCTCTAAGTGGGTCAAGCTCCAGGGGCTTTGGAGCCAAGAGTGCTTAAGGCCGCTGACATAAGCGCATTTATATGCTCACAGCAGGTATGATACAGGTCCGGGGACCAATATTTAAATATTGGTAGCACCCACTTAATCATGAATTTTCGAATATGTATCCTTTGTACACTGCCCATCCACCGAGTACTTTACACGGATAACTCAGCTCCATGGCGGAGTTTAAGATCATTATCGCCGGTGGAGGCATTGCCGGCCTCACCTTGGCCAACATGCTAGAGAAGTTCGATATCGATTATGTTCTACTCGAAGCACACTCTGAAATAGCTCCACCAGTCGGTGCTAGTATCGGTCTGTTTCCCAATGGCCTGCGCATCCTAGATCAGCTTGGATGTTACGAGCGAATCACCAACTTGTCCGTACAACATCTCGAAGTGGCATATATGCGGGATAAAAAAGGTGACGTGCTCTGCGGTTTGCATCAAATGTTCAAGCACCTGGAAAAAAGGTATGTAGAGACCTATTTGTCTGATGGGGTCACGTTTCTATCTAACCCAGGCACAGACATGGATATGGCCTGCTTTTCTTTGATCGGCAGAAACTTTTAGAAATTCTACACGACACGATCAAGCACAAAGATAGGGTATTGCTTAACAAAAAAGTCAGTGAGATAGACCTCATTGAGGGAGGTGTCAATGTCACCACTGCAGATGGCTCGGTCTACACCGGTACGCTCGTTGTCGGCGCAGATGGCATCCACAGTAAGGTGCGAACGCTTATGAGAGACTGGGGCAACGAGCTCCAGCCAGGATATTTTCCCGCTAAAGAGGAGGATAACGTTCCTTGCTACTACCGTTGCAGCTTTGGTATTGCTCAGCATGTTCCTGGGTGGGTCGAAGGCGAGCAAAATATTGTGATGGGTAAGGGTCAGTCGCAGCTTGTTGTGTCGGGGCCAGAAGGCCGGGTCTATTGGTTTCTGTTTGATAAACTGCCAGAAGCCAAGTATGGAAAGGATATACCCAGGTATACCAAGGAAGACGAGGCTGAATTCGTCAAGCAAAATTACAACCTTCCCATCACAAGAAGTGTCACCTTCGGCCACGTCTTTGACAAGCGACTATCGTCGACATTGACACCTCTGCACGAGATGGTTTACCAAAAGTGGTTTTTCAAGCGGATCATTACTTTGGGAGACTCAGCACACAAGGTAAGTACCATGGGTTTTGTATAATCGAAGGGACCGGTACTCTTGCCCCATCTATATGGCTGACTATTTCTCTTCGTTTATATTATAGCCCAATCCTATTGGCGGCCAAGGCGCTAATGGAGCAATGGAATCTTGCGCCGAGTTTCTCAATGCTATATTGCGAAAGAAACAAAGCCACGGCGGTAGCTTGGCTAGCTTGTCCGACCAAGACATAGAGGACATCATGCGCGAAACACAGTCCAACAGGCATGATCGTGCTCAATTGATCGTCCGCAATGCCCATGAGATGCAAGCACTCAATGCTTACGAGAACCCGCTGGTCTCTACAATAGCGAACAACCTTATCCTACCCTTTGCAGGGGATGAGTTGGTCCTCAGCCAGATGGGACAGGCTTACGCCGGAGCCGCCACCGTAGAGAAGCTCCATGTCCCACATCGGTCGAGGGTCGTTCCTTTTGATGATGAGCTGCCAGCCAAACCCATTGATCAAAGCATGTCTAGGCCCATCCGTTGGGGTTTCATAGGAAGCATGGGGCTCGTTCTTCTTGTCACAACGAAGGCATTTCGGTTGCCTTTTTCGAGTCTCGGCGGTTGGGGAGAATCTGGCTCGATTATCATCTCATGGCTAGGTGGCAACCCTGGTCAGGAATTTTTGAACAAGCTGGTATCCGTTTTATCTTTCCCCATCCTGGACAAAGACCCGTCGGCGAGGCTGCACCTTATCCATTTCCTCCCTCAGCTCATCTCGCCAATCCTGATATATACTATCGAGGCTTACCGCCTAGGGAACCAGGGATCGCTTTTAGCCCTACCAACCATCTTCAATGCCGGCATGCAAGTCCAGGGAATTGGACGGATAGCTCCCTTTCATGCTATTTTAAGCTCTCTCTATACACACGAGAGCATTCCAGGCCGCGCAGTTCCCAGAGAGATAGCCTACTCTTTAATCCCAGCGCTCACTTTGGGCTTCGTACTGCCAACGGTCATGGTCTTCGCGTCAACCCCTAATCTTGAAGCCTGGCAACACTGGGTTGCGCTCTGGCAATTCGCACCGCCCTTGGTAAACGTCTTGACAGTGGCCTTCTCAGCTGGCTTCAAGCGGTGGCGACTTAGTCGCGAGGACCCACGAGAGGAGGGAGGAGCATTTGAACATTATGAGAAAGATGATGTGCCAGTCCTCAAGCAAGTGTACACGTATGCATTTGCCGTACAGTCAACAGTACACGTTGCAACAATGGCATATGCGTGGTCCCATCCCAATATCTCAATAGGGAAGGCCTTCTTTGGTTTGCCAAACCCCTTCCGGGCCGAGTGGAACCTCCCAACCATTTCGGCGCAGATAGCTACATTTTTCCGATACGACGCTGTGACGGCATTGGCGGGTTATGTAGGTGGTAATCTTTACTCCATCTGGGACCTTCGTCGCCTTGGATACATTCAAACACGCAGTGCGGTCAAGGCCGCCCTTGCAGTTATAGCGGGCCAGTTCATAGTCGGCCCAGGTGCTACCTGGGCTGCCTTGTGGTCCTGGAGAGAGGATGCTATTGCTGGTCTAGCGAGGTAATCAGACATCTGGGAAATACGGGTGGCTCAGAATGTGCCACAAGTCGTTGACCAATCTCCCGAGATCTGTGGATAGACCTTTATATGTAATTAGAAATTCCATGTAGCTTTTTCTTTCTCTTTTTCTTTTTCCCTTTTTTTTCATTTTTTTCATTTTTTTATTTTTTTATTTTATTTTTTTTTGTGTGTTTTTGCGCTATGTTTGGGTCCATAGCATTGTAATATCGGGTGGATCTACGTGGCAAAAAGTAAATGGAGATGCACGATTATACCTGTGATACAAAGATAGCAATGAAGGGCGTGTTCGATGAAGGTGTCCAGCTCCCAAGGCGGAGCCAAAGTCAGACTCTCGCCTTCCGCATTGCACTTTGCGCAAGGCGTTGTAATTCTATACTGAGGCCCTTCACGAACTGGACCTGCATCTTGAAAGAACTAGGAGCCTGCGGCCATAGCTGTGCCAACATGCGGTCCCGAGCCATGTCCATTAATTCAAGACTAGCATGACAGGCCTTATCACGAGGGTGGAGGAGGATATCACAAAAGAGGTGGATCATCGCGGCGGTAACATAAGGAAGGCAGAAACTAGAAAGAAATATGATAAGCGCCCTGTCTGGATACCTATAGCCATTGTCGACCGGGGTGTGGACTAACAGAAGGTTATAGCGGTGAATCGGAAGCTCAGAATGCGATACTATCTTTAACAGTGATCGGCTTGCCTCCACACTTAGGGCCAGACTGGAGCTGAGGCCACGTGTGTCCTGGGTCCATAATATGCAGCGACCACTTATTTGATGGATTGTTGCCATACAATAATGATATTGTAGTTGAAAGATAGACGATGGCATATCCTCACCACCCGTTGGACGATGCGTAAGGGATGGTCGTACATTCATGGGGATTGAGAGCTTCCAGTCTTCTAAAAGCTGATCAAGATCACGAATGGTGGACAGGAGTTCAGCATCCGTTTTGTTTCGAGCTACGACAGAGTAAAGTCTGCGATAGATCTGCGATTGGATGGTCGCCATGCGCGCGAATGGGATGAAGAGAGGTGAACACCCTAACACCCCTATATTCTGAGCATGTGTGGTAGCGGTTTCACAAAGTGTGAGATCACAGTGTGCATCGTCAAGACTAGGAGGAAGACCCGTCCGCAGGCTGTACTCTTGGTTAAATATGTAGCAGAGCCAGAACAAATTCCGGATATGCAATCGCAGGTCTAAAGATCTGCGGCCGACCTCACCAACATCAACGGTTTTAGGGAAGATATGCCCGCCAAAGTGGAAGACAAATCGGGTTGCAGTTGCAAACAATAGTTCCACACCCAACTGGTCGCCTAGGACAGATTGACTGTAGAGGCACTGTGGTGACTCTGATTAGGTGCACCCTTAAACCGTGAACAAGGCGAGACTTACCAGCATAAGTAATGCCTGTAGCCCTTCTACTGTTATGGAGTCCCGAAAGAACCCTGGTATTAAATCATAAGCAGCGTAGGCATAATAATCCGAGTCGTCAGTCTCATGATTTTCTGCAGAATTAAAGAACATAGCAGTAACTGCCATGAATGCAAAGATACATGCTTTGGCGCTATCATTGCTATAATTTAAAGGAGATTGCTCTCGATAAGCCGCCCGAACTGTGTCCTCGAAAAAATGCGGGTTAATGAAGGGGAATATCTGAGAAAAGACCGACGACTTATACTCCTCGAAGCGTTTAAGAAGAAGGCGTTCACTTGGCAGGTGTATGGTACGAGTGGCCGTGGGACGAAGCGACGAGATCCGCCTCAGGGGTTGATATTGGTTCAGATTCACGTCTTCGCCTGTCTGTGCCTTGATCCACTGTCGACCCCCCGAGGAAAAGAAGGGCAAGCCATTGAACACACAGATATTCCTCAAGGCCAGTCCTGGAAAGTGCAGGTTAGGATCGGGAGTCTCTGTGTGTGCAACCTCCGGATTCCGCGCCAAATCTATGATCATATCAATACGCTTTGAGAATCGAATACGGTTAAGTGGGCGTGTCCTGAGTCTAGTAATCCACCATACCTGGACTGCTATGAGAAGCACCCGCGGGTGAGGGAATAACAGGACTAGCTGAGAGTCAAACCATAACAACTATTAAGAGGGAGGCATTGCCTTACTTTGGAATGAGATGCTGTTGCTGCCTCAGCTGAGCTCCATTACGGGTATATAGACAAGGAAGGTCCTGGTGATAACACCAGTTACATTTGGGGGTTGCTCTGTCGCATTGAATCTTCAATTCACGAATATTTAACACCAGTGTGAGTAGTGTATTAATGGTGCGTGAATATGACCAGAATAATGGGTACGATTACCTTTCTCTTGGAGCAAGCGTCGCAGGCAAGACATTTGCGACGTCGGCGGATAACCCGGTTAGTAGACTTTCTAGTGGCCTCACGGTCTGACATGGGAGCAGGCAGCACTAAGTGGAGATGGAATCTATGTAAAGCCACCGGTGGGCACAATGGGTCCTAACTCAAGGTAAATCCCCCTGAGTTGTCCAAATAGTGATTTTGCTGGAGGTTAAGAGGAGGAATGCCCGATGCAATGCTGCTGGATGGCCATATCTTAGCGTAATCCACAAGCGAGCCGGTCACCTCACGTGTTTTCTGCGCGTCTTAATAAATCGAAGCCATTCAACATTCAAGTAGAGTACCGAACTACTCAAATATATAAATAGCCAAAAAGGATAGGAGAATTAGCTTTTATCACTTGCAGCTCCGAAAGAGCTAGGAATTCTGTAGTATTTGCGGGGCCGCTTTAAATCCTATGGAAATGGGTATTGTAATCACAATTATAGAGTTGTACGATAGCAACAAAACTCGAAGTTGGTGTTTAAATGATCGTCTCCTGCTGTTCTAGATATGGAACAGGAGCATAGGCGCTCTTATATTTCTAGTTCGTAAGTTAATTTAGCCTTAGAAGGCCCGAGTTTAGGGGGTTGGAACTTTAGTATATACGCCAATTATGGAATAACTCGAATTTGCCGTGTTTTCTGATGAGATGCATTGACGCTGATCACTTAAATTCGCGGCAGTTGTGTTCCTTATTAAATAGAATGCGATGTAGCTCTAGGCATATGGAGCAGCGTCTGCCGTCTGTTGACCATGAACTTGGAACAGCTTGACTCGTCCTCGAGATGACGATAAACACGGTCAGTCTTTGGCATGACCCCTCGCTAAATATCAAGGCAATTGCTGACCTTGTGCGCCTCTCTATTTCCAGTGTAGGTTGTGAATTGTGTCATAAACTATAATTGCGGTAGTTCGTCACTATCCTAGCCCGCTATAATATTATAATCGATAGGTTTCTGTATTTATAGACGTAAGTCAGAAAGAATTCTTTAGTCATTTTTCTTCGGTGGAAGGCAGCCATCAATATCAACTAGCACTTACAGTCAGTCCAGCTTATGCTACATTCGAGAATGTGTGTAAAGCTTGGGTGTTTAATATAGGTACGAGCTTGTATAGAGTCATGATTGTGGCGCTATGAAGATTTTGTGGATTAATCAAGGCATTAACAGGAGAAAACAGATGACTATAATCTATGGACTGAAAATGAATGATAGACGCAGGCAGTGACCGCGGTGGAATCACAATGCTGAATATCATTCTTAGCCTGCACTGCATTATGGTAAGCTTTGAACTGCTTCATTGGGTCAATGGCTTCGTCCATGAGAGTGAACACAGCAATATTGGCTCAATACCCGTTTATTTCCTTGCATCTTCTGCGAATCGATATGATCCAATACAGTTCCCAATACTCATACAAGATCTCTTTTATCAATCACACCTATCAGCACTAATAGCCAAGCCACACGTCAAGACATTGCCAGCATCCAAACTGTCATTCCCGGCTCCAGAATCAAACCCTCACGACTCCAAATAAAGCTCATCCAAAACAGAGCTGCAATAAGCCTTATAGTACTCTCCTCCTTTCCATCCCCGCGCTGCACAACGCAGTCCTACTGTCTTCCATCCTTCACTGCGTAGTCGCTCGATTCTCTCCTGCTTAGTTTCTTTGCCCGGGGACCGTTTTGGAAAGTCAACCTTCTCCCAGCATCCATCACCACCTTTAATAGGACTGAAACTCCAGAAAGATGCGGATCGCTTGATAGACTTGGCCATTTTGCGGGTATGCTGCTTCTCTTCGACTTCATCGATCAGCATATGAATTGAGTTAATGCTCGAATCGATTTGAGACTGCAGGGATCGAATCCTACTATTGTAGCGCCTGATGGAATCACTGTACTGTGGGGTCGAAGGTGCAGGCTTTCTTTCGTTTAAATCAATGAGTAGGTCATCAGTGCATAGTCGGGTATCTCTATTGTCTATTGGCAAATCCATGGTTCTCTTGTACTTTCCTGTGACTGCACGAGGAACAATCTTGATAGGTAGGGGAGGAGGTAAATGAGCTCGGTCCGGTCTCTCGTTCCGAGGTGCAGTGTGGCCTGAATCACGGAGGACTTCATCGGAAGGCTTCCTGAGTGTCAATGGAAGGGGAACAAGCAGATGGTCTGCTCTACCATCGACAACTCTAGTAACGGTGCCACTGTCTATATCTGGGCAGGAATCACTGTCTGAGATGAACGGATCCTCCTCTTTCCACTGAATGGTTCGGTCAATGATATCTGTGATGCTGGTGACAAGACTGGACACAGTTGATGGGCTTTCTGAGGACTCAGAAGCGGAAGAGGATTCTCCCAGTGAGGGGAGGTTCAGCTCCTCCGAAGAGCGGCTCGATACCGGTATGGGAGAGGGCAGAACGGTGCTACAGATGTCAAACCGATCTAAGGCGCCTTGGAGGAGTGGAACCTTGGTGCCGGAATACTTATGAGCGGCTCGACCCATCTCCTCATAGCAGACTGCGCTGTAGAAGTAGAGGTATGTCTTGTAGACGGGGTGCAGCTGCTGTATATTAGTCTTAGTCCTGTATGGGGCAGAGATACATACAGGTTCTCTAGCTTTCTCGAGCAGCTCCGTAGCCCGAGCAGCACATTGTTTGTACTGGCACTGGATATACAGAAGCTTGACATCGTGAAGAGCGGCTTTCCATTGCTGGGATGATCTAGGAACTGATGGAGACTCAAATAGGGACGACCTGCTAGCGATTGAAGCCATTGTGGGAGCAACTTGGAGGATCCAGCAGGAACATGGAGGACAAAGAAAGGAAGGTCACATTTCTGATGATAAGACAAACAAAGGCTCATAGCCGAGAGGACGTGACGTGACTGGACGTGAAGGCTCTGAACTAATATAGCATGCGTACGTGTATTGACGCCACGGCAACCATATATCATAACATGGCCTTCTTAACAATATAGTAGTTACTAATAGGGGTGATGGAACTGCTCTATGTAACGTCGACTATAGTGAATACATAGGACGACCTTGTCAAGGTCAAAGAAAGAAATGCACATAATTAGGATGTCCGGCTGTACTCTAATACTTAGAGAATACCATCGCATTCTTCTCAACTGCCACAGTCAAATATGCCAGGACATACTACTAACATTCCACACGTTAAACCTGCACATCCCGAGAACCTGATTGGACAGTCCCTTCAGATCACCCCAGAAATTGACTAACCCAAAATATACCCCGATGTCATTTACCCGATAAAAGTATTTAATGGACTACCAAGACATGTCAAGTCATGTTCATCCATTCCTAAACTTCTCCTCCCCCACCAAACATCAGAGCAAAATATCGTCTCCATGGGTCAACGTCCAATCTCCGCCTTCAAGCGCCTCCAAGCGCTAACTACAGAAGGCTTCATCAGCGCCGACATTCCAATCTCACAACCGTACTATAGCTACAACCAAACTACCCAGACATGGAGCCCGGTCCAAACAGACACCACCCGGGGTTCCACAACAAGCATAACTCCCTTGAAACGCCTCACACTAACAACCTGGAACATCGACTTTCAACAGTCCTGCAAAGCAGAACGGACTCAAGCTGCCCTAAACTATCTTTCAAAGGTCCTTATCAAGCCCAATGACGGGAACAATAACAACCTTACCCCAATAAACGTAATATTCCTCCAAGAAATGGTCCCCACCGATCTAACTATCATGCAACAAACAAAATGGATACAGGATCACTTCTTCATCACCGACGTAAACGATGCTCACTGGAGAGGCGCCTACGGGACGACGACTCTGATCGATAAACGGTGCCATGTGCAGCGGGTGTTTAGGGTCCCCTATTCGACGTCCAGAATGCAGAGAGATGGGCTTTTTGTGGACTTGAATTGCTTTCAGGGTCAAAAGGCGAATGGTGGTAGTGAGATTGGTATGGTTCTTTTTTGTCGCGCTCTCTCTCTTAATGTCTTCCTTACATGCTTTTTGAAAGCGGTCTTGTGCTTCGGGAGTCTTTTAGTAGAAATATGCTAAGACAGAATGCAGGAGCCCTTCGTCTTTGCAACACCCACCTTGAAAGTCTCCTCTCCAACCCTCCAATCAGACCCCAACAGCTCCATCTCGCTTCGAAGTTCATGCATGGCTCTGGACCTGGGGAGACAGACTTACTTACTCCGCACGCGGCAATATTAGCCGGTGATCTCAACGCCTTCGCGCCTGAGGATTTCACCGCGCCAAATGAGTGTGGGCTCCGTGATGCATTTCTGGTTCTTGGTGGGAAGGATGGCACGGAGGAGAGCTTCACGTGGGGTCAGCAGATTCCCGACTGGTTGAGGGATAAGTTTGGATGTTCTCGTATGGACAAAATTTTGTTCTGTGGTGGGCTGGAGGTAGAGAGGCTGGAGAGTATTGGAGCTGGGGAAAAGGTTTGGATTGAGTATCCAAAAATGAGTGATGGAGAGAGTGATGATGAGGAGGGGGAGGAAATGTGGATTACGGATCACTTGGGGTTATCTGCTGAGTTTAGGATTACGGGTTTCGAGGGAGAGGAGGCTGTATGATGACTGGTGTCTAGAATATTTAATGCGATGCGATGACTGTACTGACCCATTAATTTGTTTCATTGATTACTATTTCCTTCCTATTTATGACGTATTTCTGATGTTTGTCGTTTTATCTCAGGCCAACAGTCTGTTGTGATCAGACTACACGAATCCGAATAAGATAGCCACCGAGATGTAAATAATTTACAGGGCTCTAGACTGAATCAAACGCAAGCCACTATTGTAGGCAGTTGCGAAATTAAGAAAGATCCATTGTGCAAAAGCAAATGAACAAGTCATAAGTCGTAGACCTCCATGCCTGTCAGGAGAGCATTCACCCGCTAGAAAGAATAACGACTGACCCAAGGCCAGGGACTACTCAGGAATCTCAGGCGTCGAGCTCTTTCCATTCGCGACTTCTGCTCCAAACCTGGTGCGCGATAGCGCCTCACCCGTGGCCGAGAGCGCACTCAACAAATCACCTAGCAGTCGATCCATCTCAGCCGTCACATCACCCTCATCTGCCCCTTCATGCATCACTTCAAGTCGTGGAGGCACAAGATCAGGGAATAGAATAGGCTCCAGTTCATCAAGTGCACTTGTAAGTGGAGCGCGTCGAGCTGTGGGTAATGGCTCGGATGATGGAGAGTCATCCCTTCTGGTAAATGGAGGGTTGGGCTCTAGTTCCTTTGTTGGGATGGCAGGCGGGAAAGGCTCAGACTGCAGAGCCGGATCTGATACGTCGGAATTATCTTGCCAAATGGGGTGGCTCTCCTCATCCGGTCCAGGTCCATCTAATACAGATGACTGATCATCATCCTTGTCATCAGCAGATGCTAGAAGTTCTGGGTAGTCATTCTCCAGGATTTGCCGCTGCTGTGGGATGCCACCCGGTGGAGTGGAAGGCCGGTCAAGTCGGAACGGGTCATAATCAGTATCCGAGCTTATCGACACACTAGCACGAGAATGTGTAGACGCCGACGTGGACGGCCGAGAATCACCAGGCTCCCCAATACTAGTAGGTCGAATCGGCGCCGCAGGCTCAAGATCTAGAACTGGTGCCCTTAAAGTATCATAGCGACTATTATCGATATCATTCTCGTGGCCATCCTGGTCCTCACCTGCAGCCGCCGTCATGACAGGAAAGGTCCAGTCCATCGTCGCGCGCCTTGCTGTGGGTTCAGGCTCCACGGGTGCCGGTTCCTGCGGGGTTTCCGTTTGGGGTTCCTCCTCCTCTGGAGGCTGCATGAAAACCGGGAACTTCCAATCCATTGTTGGGGGTCGCGGGCCACTCTGAGGCTGGTAAGTCAGGTCTTGAGTTTCCCGGTTGCTGACATCACTGCTTGACGAGCGGGAACGACTATCACTAGGATTGCGGACTTGACGACCACTAGATCTGTTCGCCTTGATGGTATCTGCATCTGCAAGTTGAAAAGGTTGCGCTGATGAAGGTCCAGCTGCATAATGCGAGGAATCAAATGAGCCAATGTCAATATCGATAAATGTGGAGGTGACAGAAGAGCGATCGGTTTCGGTGCGAAGAGGTAGGTCCGAAACCGGCTGCTTTTCCTCAATTGGGATAAAATCATTCTTCGTCTCGTACGTATAGCTTGGTTTCTCTTCATTGAAAAGTCCCTCCATAGCTTCGGCGCCTCGTCGGACGCGCTCATCGAAGTTCGCTTGGTCTTCCTTGGTCATTACCCGCTCAGCCGCTTCATCAAGTGATTCTCTTGCAGGCTGCATATTAGTTGTGCTAATTTCGTCCTCCATCTCTGCCAAAGATGCAGCTATCTGGTCAAGGTCAATGACGGAGAATCTTCGTTCAAACCCGTCTGTAGTACTGAAATTCCAGTCGCTATCTGAGTCCATAGTTGTGCCTGGCATTTCCGCGGCCGCTGCGCCTCCGGGGTGGAATAAGGAGATCCGCTGTCCTCCCCGCTGCGACCACTGATAATAGATCCGCACGAGTTCACTCAGAGATGATGTGGGATAGGCCTCCCCAGTATCTGCAATGTACGCATGCGATTGTACGTCTGCCATTGTTGGTCGACTAGACGGGTTTGATTCCAACACGTAAGAGACAATATCTTTAAGCCCATCACTGTACTTTGAATTTTCCAACTTTGGAGCAACGCGGTTGAGTTGCCTTCCTATCTGCATTCGCTCTCGCAAATTTGAATTCGGGGGGTTTCCCGTTGCGATTTCGAACAGCGTACAGCCATATGCCCATACATCGATCTATGCTGGTTAGTATGCCATGCTACATCAGAGATCAGGAGATCTAACCTCGCTACCATATTTGTGCGCTTCGCCGCGCATGGAGAACATCTCGGGTGGCATCCAGTGGGGTGTTCCAATCCAGGTCGACCGTTTGTCTAACTGTGATTGTAGCACTCCAGCCACGCCGAAGTCGCAGATTTGCAGTCGTCCCTCCTCGTGAATCAGGATATTGGCCGCTTTGTGGGAATATTAGCGTCTGTAGGCTTTGGTATTGTTTAAATATTGGCCCTACCTTTTATATCTCGGTGAATGATGCCAGCATCGTGGATCGCACGTAAGCCAGCAGCAAGCTCACGGGCTACAGGGATGAGAAATTTTTCATCTAGTTGATCGCTTGTAGCTCTCATCTGGTATTATCAGCATTTGGAATGATAAGCAAGATTTGGTCCTCTGAACAGTAGATAATCAAAGAAAACGCACGGATGGGCTATAAGGTAGGCAAGGAAGTGCAGACTTACCAATGTCCTGACGCTTCCACCGGGGCAGTACTCACAGACCAACCACAGCTGTGAGTGAATAGAGATAGCTTCGATTATTTCGTTGATGTTCTTTGCTCCTGAATCTTTAACCTGCTTCATGACCTTCGTCTCATGAATAAAGTCCTTTATAGATTCGTCTCGGAAATCCCGAACACTTTTGTAGTCCAACGAATCAATATCCATAACTTTAATAGCAACGACTTTGCGCGAGGGTAGTTGGTGGCCTTTGTACACGCGACCATAGGCACCTTTGCCAATCAGCTCCTCGAATTCGTACGGTGGAGTATCAGTTTTCGCTCTGCGACACATCTCCTGTACCGCGACGCCCTGCTCACGCGCAAGCTTGATAGCTTCTGCTTTGTGCTTCGTAATAGCGGCCATGGCGGACGTCGGGTCCAAGAATTTAGAGCCACGAGGAGGATCCATGGTGGAGACTGGGGGCTTGGGGAAGACTGTCTTGTTTTCACGCAGTTCACAATATCTCAAGGGCTCCGGTGTTGGGGGAAGTAACGAGTCCTGGCTTTTGACTGCTTGCTCTTCAGCCAGGCCTCGAGAATTTAGCTTCTGGATCGGAGCTGTTTCGTCAAAAGGCTCGTCGTGTGGGAAGAGTGAGAAATAGTCGGCGGGGTAGGAAGTTTGTTGGTAGGGTGAGGAATACTGCGACGACTGCGAGATGGGAAATTCACTTTCTCCGGGCCGGGAGTACCACTTCTGCCCAACACTGTCTGTCCTTCTCTGTAAAGGATCGCTAGTTGAGCGCGGTTTCCGCTTCCTGAGGCGCGCTGGAGAAAGTGGGTTTGAGAATTGTCGCGTATGATAGGGTAGCCTTTCACTGTAGGATTGGCAATACCTTTCCCAGAAGTCGCCTTGATCTTTCAAATCGGACTTTTTTCTCCCGTGACCGAAAAGACTTTTGATAGCCGAAGTGAAACTAAGAGGGCCTATCGACTTACTAGCTTTCCTCGATGCGCTCTTGAATGGTTTTACAATGGGCGAGCGGAGGTGCCTCGAAGAACTAGTGTTGAAAGGGTCAAAAGGCGCGTTTGAGCAAATAGAACGAGTCCGATCACAAGGAGAGGCTTCTTTTGGCGCAGGACTGCTACCAGGTGCAAGTAATGTCTTATCTAACGGCTGTCCAAACCTCTCGTGGTGCAGCGCTCTCTGCTTAAGTTCAGATGAGACCCCAAAGCCGAAGCGCGCTGAGCCTTCCGGGTATGCCCTAGGTCTGCATTTGAGGCAAAAGTCAGCGTACGACAGGCCACATGGTCAGAAGAAAGCCAAACCGGCAGGCGCATCTTCGGTCCTCCGCAACCTTTGAGCCACCCATCCTTGAAGGCTTCCAGGGAATGACGGTACCATGGGAAGGTAAACAAGGACGTGGGCGAAGGAATACACGCCTAATCGTCCAGGCTTATCATGTATGGCGGGTGGAAGAAATAGGAAGGAGGGGAAACAGCAGGGAGTGGAAGCAACAACAGAACAGCCACGAGGAGGGGGAAAGGATTGAAAAGTCTGCATACTGACCTGCGCCTCTATCGAAATACAATTTCTTTCTAAGGTGTAGAAAGATTGCTATGAGATGATCTGGAGTTCAATGCCACGCAGCGTTTGCTCTAATACATCAACGACGGAGGATCCCGAACAAGGGAGTCTTGGAACAGCTCTACTTGTTCTATCGATACCAACGACACTTCACAATAAACCAGCACATTCGACGATGGATTAGCTCTGGCGATGTTCCTGCTACGCGGGCTGGGAGGCCTGAAGTTGGTAGCAATGGAATCAAGGCGTCGACGCTTTTCTTGCAAGATTGGCACTCGAAGCGAAGATGATCCCAGCCGCGCTAAGAGCGGGCGCTAACGTTAGCGTGAAACCAATCAATTGCCCGGTCACCGGACTAAAAGGTGGCGGGTTGTCACTGCAATTCACCCTCAGTCACTGTTGGTATACATTGCAGTGATATCCAAATCAGGAGCAGGTGTAGGCGACTCTGGCCAATCGCTGTTACGCTGGAAGGATGTATTCGACCAATAGTTCACCACAATGAAAGAATGCCTGTACGTGACCAGCCAAAAAGATTCGACACCGGTTTATTGTAGTACCAGGCAACATTCAATAACTAATATCCCTAGTATTAGCATGCGAACGTGGAATTAGTTGCCGTATCTTTATTGACACAGGCAATAGAATTAAAGTTAATGTAAGCACGCGTAGGATCATGGTATTGAAGTAGATAGAGAACCAGTTCCTCATTATCCACGTTGTGAATCGAACATCTATCTTGTATTGAAACTCATCCTCATGCCGTAGGGATCAAGGGGGCAAACAGCATTTATAGGTACACCACTTACGGGGTATACAATGGAAAATATGGCAGAAAAGTGTTCCCTGAAATCTTTCAAAATTTTCAATAGACTTACCACACAATTGATCACGGGTATATCCAAATTTCTAATTACTATAGAATTCCACGATCTTCTAATTAATCAATGTGTGTTTAAATAGAAGGAGGTGTAAGGAGAAAAGGAAGAAGATCAGAATCTCTTGAAAATCACACCATAAGCTTTAAAAGAACAAAATGAAACATTATGGCCGAACAAGGTCCTTGATTATCAGAAAATATTGGTTATTGTTAGGTTTCAACTGAAGAAGGACAAGAAACGTCCCATTAAAGTTCCAGGCATGTCACGTTACTGTTGATCCAAGCGGAATATTATTTTTGCCGTGAAGGCAGTGTTTGCCCAGTGTTTTAGTCCACACCGTCGTCCACTGTATCGCTCTCAACAAATGTATATCCACAGACATGTAAACTAATGCTTACAGCTACAGTCACATTTAATTTGCTGGACAGCTCGTATAGATGTAAATCTGTTTTAGGTGTCAATTATTTACAATTTATCGAAGCTTACCCATTATAAAGGAATTTGCGTGTTCTAGATTGCCAGCTTAGTTGAGACCAAACTGTTGCCTCAAAGTGGTACCAAAGCGGGAAATTGCTTCAGCAATAGCATCGGAGCTAGCGGCAGCAAATGTAGCACGGAAGAACAAGTCGTCCTCATTCACGCCCTGAGCTTTGAACCAGCTGCCACGAGAGATCAGAACACCGTTGTTAACTGCGGCCTGGAAAACTTCCTCCTCGATTTCTTCGCGTGTCTTTCCCGACGAAAGCCCAGGGTGTTTCCGCCAGTCGACTTTGATCCAATGCTGTTTCATGTCAGTGCCTTAGTCGTGAGGAATGAAGAATCCAGGAAAGCTCTGAACTTACAAACATCCCTGCTGCAGGGGGGTTCCAATGGGCAAGTTCTCGGGGGAGATACTTCTCGCACGCATGCATCATAGAGTCTCTGCGAGCCGTGTATGACATACGAAGGTTGATCAGCCAGTCTAGGTATCCAGCGTGGCCCCATTGCTCCTCCAACAACTTATAAAGCACAAGCTGTGAGATACCGCTTGGGTTCTGAGAACTGGTCTCGCACGTCCTGGTGAAGCGTTCGATGATTTGCTCGGATCCAACAGCCCAGCCAACCCGGGAACCAGGAGCAAGAACCTTGGAGAACGATTCCAGCCGAAGCACACGACCATCAGTGTCAAGGCTCAGGTAGGAAGGGATAAGAGACTTGATAAATTCTTCGTGGTTGGCGGGCGGTGGAACGGGCTCACCATCAGCTCCAGCGTATGGCTGCATCTGCAAGAAGTAATAGGGTTCGTCCTCCACAATATAAACGTCGTGCTTCTGGGCAACCTTGTAGACTGCCTTGCGTCTCTCCGCCTGTTGAGTAGCGCCCGTAGGGTTCTGTCCTGTAGGGATAGTGTAAAGAACAAAGGGCTTGCGAGCACCCCGAGCGCTTTCATCCCAGTTGCTCAGGACTTCGTCAAGGGACTCGGGCAAAAGGCCCTCTTCGTCCATTTTGATAGCCGCCACCTTCAAGCCCAGAGGGAGGGCAGTTTCCTGTGCGCTAGAGAAGGTATATTCTTCCATCATGATATAATCGCCCCGTTCACAAAAGAGTTTAAGTGCGACATCCCATCCGAAGGTGCTACCACAGTTCAGACAACATTGCCAGTCCGAGTAAGGGGGGTTGTGAATGAGCTGATTCTATTAGCATCGTTCCGGTCCTTCAGATCGCCCAGCGTACCTCTGTGTGCTCTGTGACGTATCTCAGCAGTTGGGGAGAACCCGTAGCTTGACCATAATTAAGAGCAACCTCAAGATCTTCGTCCTGTTAATTCCAAGATCGGATGCGAACAATGTCTGAAAGCCGACTAACCATATAGACTCTTGCCTTCCCGAATATCACTCTTGCCGGCGTGTACAACCGTTCCAGACTCGCGAGTAGCTTCAGGCGTAAATCCTGGTGGAGTGGGGACCTTGATATCGAGCTCCTCGAAAGGAAAGTATTCGGGAGAGGGCAGACCACCACCCAGAGAAATGAGGCCTAAAGAACAAACTTCAGAGGCGAGTATGGCTTGTAAGAGGAATGGAATTACCTGGGTTCTTCAAGTACTTCGCGGCACCTTTCAATGTAGATACCTAACACATAAAGCCGATTAGTCTTTCACTCCAACCCGCTTGAGCAATACCATCACACAAACCTTCCGGGATTTAGCTTCGGTGGAGAGAATGTCTAAAGTCGGTTAGTCGCTGTTTTGTGGTCGAGAATAGTATCGGTTCAGAAGCAGAGGGCTGTTGTCGAGAGACTTACGATCCCAGCGTTTGGCCTTGGGCTTCGTATAACATGCCTGTTGCAATATGATATTCTGATTAGCACATAGCCAAAGCAAGCTTGACCAATTCTAGCACGTAGGATCTTACCGGGCTTTTGAACATATCACTACTGGTCGCAGGTGCAACACCCTTGGGGATCGGGGCACTGTTGGCCCTCAGGGCAGGAATACCCTCCACGGTCAGAGGGGCCGCGGGGGAGCCATTCGCATTGTCCAGAGCGGCGGAGGGGCTCATTTTCTCTATTGTTTGCGATTGAATGGATTCTGTATGATAAAAGCTACCTCTAATAAGCTGACTGCCGTACAAAATCACTTTGGTAGAAGTCTGAATCGAACAACAATCTGAACCTCCCACTGGAAAGACGACAATTGTAGGGAAAAGCGGGAGTACAAGTAGGTATGAATCAGAGAAAGAAAGATAAAGGTCACACACCGATAAGCGCCTTTTTTTCGTCTCCGCTTGGAACGCCGAGCGGACCGGTTTCCGCTCACGCTGGTTTACTGACGCCATTGAGGGATAGCGATAACGCCAAAATCCTTTTGGATTGTCCAGCCCTAATTTTAGCTATATCATTTCCACATCATTGCCCTTTATTGGGTTTCTGTTATCTAATCGATGAAGAGATCCAAGCATCTGAATGGCTCCGGCAAATGCTTAACACGCCTTGGATCACCTGCAGGGCGCGGGGATGGACAGATACGTATGGTAATGTGTGGTATCACAATACAGATTGAATGCGAATACATCCGCATAATCACCCCGCCTGAGCTGCAATACATGGTAATCAGGGTATAACTCCGCGCGCATAGACCAGGCTACCGCCGGGATCGGATACCAATCGATATTATTACTAATTCATCCTGTGTCACGAGCTCTCTTCCCAAAATATGCTGACGCGGAGACCATGGTTATTCACGGCTGTTCGCAAAAAGCATCCTTTAGCCATAACTTCCTATTATTTCACCAAAGCCAATCGTGCAGATATATCCTAGAGTAGGATATTCCTACTGCTCAAATAAACGTCCCTAAGAATATTTGCATCCCAACTGAGATCCATTATCCATTATATACTATCCCGTGAACAGTCGCTATGTTAACCATCTTATCTTTGAAATGCTTAGTTTCCTGTAAGCAAGGATATATAGTTCATGGCCCGGATTCTAAATAGCAAGCTCTCTAATGTCCCGGAATGGTAGTCCCAATACGTGGAACACTACTCTTGTAGTTCGAATTTATATCACTTGACAAAAAAACCTACATATCCTGGAGATATATTCTGCCATCCCCATGCGCAGACTATGTGTGCAGAAAACAATCGGCTCAGCGCTTCGAACCAGTACTTTTGTATAAGATCAACTATAGGGCCTTTGTCCCTACACCTATCCTTATCCAATAAGAAGGTAAATCGATCAAGTGCCCTAAGATCTGCGTCGGCATGATGTTAGGTTCGGCGTACCTCCGAGAGAGGCTATTATCTTATATCATGAAGCCAGGTAGGTAAATTAGGTTACTTAGTCGCTCGTATATTTTAAACAAAATTAATTGTTAGCACCATTAAGTTAACTAGTAAAGCCAGTGATTGTAAAAAGACCACCATAATAAATACTAAGATACTCAGATAATCGAGGATCTATCAGGCTCTGGAGTCGGGCCGTATATGTACTAACTGCTGAGCAAGCAAGCCCTTGTAGGGGAAGGCGGTGAGAAAAAGGTAAACTCGGCCCGACTCAATAGTTGTCTGAGGTCCGACATTCCACCACCTGCGCGAGAGCAAGTATAGGGACTATTGCAAAATGCAAGCACGCTCACCTGCCGCGAATCACACTTTGCAGCACTCTATAACTGCATGTCAGCGGTGTCGAGATCAGAAAGTAAGCTGTTCCTCGTTCTTTTTTGAATCGTCGCCATTTGATGCTGAGCTCTTGAACCACGATGACAGGTCAAATGTAGTCGGGAACGTCCTGCATGCGCTCGGTGTCAGCGGCTACAAGCCGATTGTACCTATCCCAGACCCCCAGTTCGCCGCGGTCGGAAGTTGCGTCGCAGCTCCCAGGGCGTGCGTCGAGTAGCTGAGCAGAGTGCCGAACAACTCGCCACACGCCGTGTTATCGCCAGCACTCTCGGCAGATCCGCTTCTGGCGCTCAAGAGTCTACTGCCCACCCAAGTTCTCGGTCTAATAATTTGACATCTCCTCGTCATTATACGCCGCATAATGAAAATGGTCTCGCTCAAACTGAGAACCATGCACGTAGCGAAGCTGCTAGGTTAACTAGAGGTACCCCACGCTCCGGTGGCTGGCCCAGCTATCTTGCAAATGGTGTTGGTGTCGAGTCAATTAACGTCTCCTCTGAATCATATTCAACTCACCTGAGAAACATGAACAAGACTAGAGAAGGCTTAACTTCTGATGTAGCCTGGCCACCTTTACCACCACGAGCCCTTGGGCTGTCCTTACTGGACATATATTTTACGCGAATCTACAATGCATCTGTGCTCTTCTTCAAACCTATTCTTTTTCAGCAGTATCTTGATGGGAAGATTCCTGAGATCCTGCTCAAGGCTCTTTTTGCGTTAGCTACGCTGTATGTTACCACCTCTACATCTGAACCGGTCAGCTAAGATAATATCGAAGATTTCTCACTCAAGTCAATGAAGATAGCAATGATGAACAATTTAAATGGCCGGAGTTAAAGCTTTTAAGCACATATTCATCCTGTGGTGTTCCATGGGCAAGGTCAGCTCTAAGAGAAGCTATGTCATCGATCTACACAGAACCATCTCTAGCGGTTTTGCAAGCGCTTCATTGTTTGCAACTGTATTGGTTTGGGATTGGTGAGTCAAGAACCGGCCATTTATGTCTTAGTAAGTTTTGTGTTTTTCTCTCCATCTCTGACTAGTTGCGTCTTGTCATAAGCTTGAGGATTTTCCGGTATCATAAAAATTCCGTTAACGTTCCTCTAGCCTTGGCCTACCGTTCGTGTGATCTCCTTGGATACAACAGAAAGGTTGTTGATGGGGTTGAAAAATCCGATTCCTCGCTCGAATCAGAGTCAAGGCGTCGATGCTTCTGGGCTTGCTGGATATCCACAAGCATAGTCATGGAACCAGAACCGTATGCCAGATTAGCCTGGCAAGAGGCTTCCATGATACCACTTCCTGCTGCTATACAAGATTCAGCTTCCGCTCATGAAGTTGCCTTAAATGAGAAGATGGATCATACCTGGCGTTCAAGCTTGGCGGTATCTCAGTGCGAAGGTTCACGCTCCCTTGTGTACGCCGCATTATTGGTTAAAATGGTCGGAGTGTGGTAAGGATCTCAGCCAACCTTGAATTTTATTTTATTTTGGTTTTCAACACTAAATAATTATGCTGTCTCTTTTTCTAGGGTTAAAGCTCAGCTTTTGGTCCGCGATTGGGCATCGTATAGCATTGCTGATAATCTTGATTCGCTGCAAAGACTCTCGCACTTGGCAAGGTCAATCTTTGAGAAAGAAATGTCTAGCGTGGATACAGAGGCCTCTCGGAGCGACCATGGCACGGAGGATACTCCCCTGGTACTCTTCACTAGTGCCCTTTACCACCAATGCCAGATCGCTTTGCATTCAATGGTTGTGCCTTTGTTTTCTGGTACACACCATGGCCCAACGATAGACCCAGAAATCGTGAAGCAAAGCGCAGAGACAGTCACACAACATGCAGAGTTATGCGAAGCTCTATTAGCTCCTTACATGTATGGACCAGGCGATGTTACGCTTCTACCGCCTTTCGTGGGATATGCTGCTTTCATTACGGGTGTTGTGTTCTTGGCTATTGAGGTCTCTTTTCGAGACAAGACATCACGAAGGCCTATCCCCGGAACAGTATCAGAGAGTCGTAGATTGTCGACTGTGAAAGGAACGCTTGGCTTACTCAACAAACTTCGGTTCTATTGGAGAGCTCTGCAGCTTTCTGTGAGTACATATTCCTTAATAGTCGAGAATAGGCGTATCCTAACCACTTGGAATGCAGTGGGAAAAGCTAGACGCTGCGTTGCAGCTACATCTGTCATGCTATAGAACACAGCACGGATTAACCGGCCCACACCCCGTCAGAGCCCCCGAACTTAACCCTTCAACACCTAAGTCACAACTCTCAGATCCTGTACTAGAACAGCCTGTGGACAACGAGCAGTCAAGGCACCGCGAAGCATCGGTCCCACCGATAAGTCCCTCGGACCAACATCTGCATCCACTGGCGAGTGGCCGGAGAACTCTAGAAGTCGATGCAATCCAGCAGACCCCACAGGTAACCATGTCCGGTAACTGTAACTTTGAACAATCGGATATGGAGGCCGCTGATATGTCTTTCACAACACCATCTGGTGTAACCCAGGACAACCCCTGGTACAACCTGTCTTTCGCGGAAGCCGGAATCGAACAGTTTGCAGGCTTCGAGCCCTTACACCTATTCCAGCAGGGATGCGGGTTCTTTAGCTGAGCAATGATCCATTCATCTGTATGTAGGGCGAGATATATCCGAGGATAGGGAGCAGTCGGACTCGGAGGAGTCGGACTCGGGGCATTCGGCTTTACCAGTAGTAGTGTGGGTCTTAAGCCTCGTACTACGTAGTATATAGTACCTACGCTCTGCTATAAATGTCATTGTGGCAACACTGATCGAGTACTTTAATCACTCCGAGTACGTTAATCATTTGCACTATTGGCAATACCGTGGAACCTATTCGCAACAATCAAAATGCCCAATCAATACCGCGATATCCAAACGGTCGACGCAACGAACCATTCGTATATCTTCGCGCAGAATGTGTCAATCCCGTTAAGGACTGGAGGATTCCTTCGCTGTAACGTTTATAAGCCGCGGAAATCATCAGAAGGAAGCAAATATCCCGTTCTTGTCACCTACGGGCCGTACGGCAAGGATGTCCCTTATGAACAGTCAGTGCCCAAAGTCAAGAAATAATCTTTCCCCTCCTTCCTACTATGCTCGCAACTTTATCATAAATACTGGTATTAATCATTGAATCAACAGGTTTAACCCCAAGAGCTTTGCAGAAGTGGACCCAGCTCATCGGACAGAACATTCTGCATGGGAGACGCCTACACCCCAGTACTGGACCGACCACGGCTACGTTGTCGTGCGAGTGGATGAGCCTGGCATCGGGCAGTCTCCAGGCCAGCTTCACGTTATATCTGCGGCTTCCATTGATGGATTCTGCGAGACTATCGAATGGGCTGCTTGTCAGCCTTGGTCCTCCGGGAAGGTCGGGCTCCTCGGAATCAGCTACTACGCCGCCACACAGTGGCAAGTTGCCGCTCGGCAGCCCAAAGGCTTAGCGGCGATAGTACCATGGGAAGGATTTTCTGACGCCTACAATGAGTCATTGCGACATGGCGGCATCCTCTCGAACAAGTTCTTCTCCATGTGGTACGATCGTCAGGTTGCGCCGAATCAGTATGGGCTTCCGGGGCGAGCGGCGCGCAATTGGGGTCCCGATACTGTGGACGGCGACCTCAGCGCAGAGGAATTAGATGCAAACCGTTACAAGACCGTAATGCATGAGCAGCGGCACCGCGACAACAAAGAGATCTCGTCACTGAACTTCAATCTGGAAGATGTTACAGTCCCCCTTCTGAGCGTTGCTAATCTCGGTGGGATTCTTCTGCATCTACGAGGAAATGTGATGGGATATCTTTGGTCTGGATCCGAATTCAAATATCTTCGATTCATTGTAGGACGCCACGATCTGCCATTCTACTACCCTGAAGAAGTAGAGATACAGAGGAGCTTCCTCGATGCTTGGCTGAAAGGGCATGACCGAGAGGGCTGGACGGAGAAAGGGGCTCTTCCACCAGTGGATTTGATTCTACGGAAGGGCAACGCCGGTTACAATAACCCAACAGCGGAGAAACAGTTTCTTCGCCGTAAAGAGAAGGAATGGCCATTGGCTAGGACACAATACACCCCCATTTACTTAACAGCGGACTATGAGCTACAACTCGACCAACCACACCAGCCAGCGCCAAAGAAACTCTCCTACAGCGCTCTGGGTAAGGCAAAAGCTTCTGACATGGTGACTTTTCAATCGGCTCCTTTTGAGAAAGAAACGGAGATCACCGGGCACATTGTGGCTCACCTGAACGTATCCGTCAGCAGAGATCAATGGGGAAATTCGCCCTCGGACTTAGACTTGTTTCTCAGTCTACGTCATATATCACCATCTGGCGATGAGGTATCCTATACAGGCTCTACCGGAGACCCTGTCCCAGTGACCAAGGGTTGGCTCCGTGTTTCTCTCCGCAAGACCGACCCTCAGCACCCGCGCCACCGGCCTTGGTTGCCGTATCGCAACTACTACTCCACGGATGTTCTACCTGTAATTCCCGGCGAGGTATATCCCGTTGACGTGGAACTGTGGCCAACTAATGTAGTCGTCGAAGCTGGGGGCCGGCTTGTGTTGGAGGTAAGTTCCGGGGACACTGCAGGAACTGGGATCTGGGGTCATGACGATCCGATTGACAGGTTTGGCTCTCCTTAATCACGAAGTCATGTCGCAAGGCAAATTTAGGGTGTGTTTGTCTAATTATCATTTAGGTCAGAGGCTGTCTTCAAAGGTCTCAACAATGTCCATTTCGGGCCCAATTATGTTAACTATATCACCCTACCGATCATCCCTTGTAATGAGGAATCATTGTAAAACAATCCTGTTGGGGCTAGCTGCCTTGGTTAGCTACAAACAAAATAGCCCCGGATAATCGTGCTATCTCTATCTAGTTGGGAAGATGCTATACTATACTATTCAGAACCACATTGATATTTCCTCTTTTACATTCTGTCCTGATATCAGTGGCTTCTATACAAAAGGGTATGGCACGGAAGGAAAGGAACCAGTCATTTCTGGAAATTCGTCTATGAGTCTATTATCTATGGGGTGAAGAAACCAAACTATAACCACTTTTGACACAATTTCTCCAAGGATCTTAAACCAACAAGTTGGGCACGATTCAATAGGGCCGATATTTAAATATGAACAACGCACTTTCTTGAAAAGCCTTCTCTTGGGACTCCGAATAACCCTAGCTGGACTGCCTTAGCTAGTTCCGGGTTAGAACAGACATCAAATGTAACCCGACTAAGAGCTAAATCGGCTCTTCTTGCGAATCCGAACTCCGTACCTATAGAAGATGTACCTGTCACACGTAAATTGATCAGTAATGAAAGGCAACTTCGAAGGCAATAGTTAGGGTACAAAAAGACTTACGGGAACGGCACCATCGCCAAAGTAAGAAATGCGAGTAGACACGAAGCCCAATGTAGCCCTAATACGTTGTACACTAAGAAAGAAAGAAAAAACCAATGTAAGTTCTAATCCCATACCAATCATCCATGTTAACGGGAATATAAGCTTACTCTGAGTCCCAAATAATGGAAAGGCTCCTGCGAATGTCGACCTGGTAAAACTGTTCGCTGCTAAGGCGCTGGCCGCGTAACGAGGGTAGGCTTCGACGAGGAATGTGAAAATGCCAGAGTAAACGAGGATTGTCCTGTTGGCTTTTGGTTAACACAATTATTTTTATCAAGGATTACCACTTCAGGGTTAACTTTTGTCCCTGGTGGAAGTTTATTGGCATGGAAGTTGTTGAGTCTACTTACCCAGCTCCGAAAAGCGCACTTCCGATCAATGGCACCACCCAGTGAATGCCCGGGTAAATCGTCCACGAGAATATGAAAAGTCCAATTGTTACTAATGGTGCTCCTGCTATCGCTGCGTGCTCGGGAATTTTCACAAATTACTATATGGTGAAAGAATTAGGAGGCCAGGGAAGGACGGTACCTGGGGGAAGTCTCCATTCCGGGTCGAAACCAGATGCCTCCGGGTTCCGAGTATGATGGTCTCTTTCCAGACGCTGATAGTTCCGACGCCAAAATGGGTCAGAGAGAATGGCCAACACCATCCCGACGAGAAGACCTAGGAAAGTGAGTCCTCGCTGCCATAATTCGAACCCATATACAGACTTGAAAACAGTCTGAAATGCACCAAAGAAAAGATAAAGTATGCCCAGAAGAAGTGCAGAGTATATACACAGATTCAGGCACATAGGCTCCAACGTCAAAAGCTTGACGGGTCGGACGATAGAACGGAGGATAAGTTCCCTCACAGGTACATTACTATTCTCGCTTGGTCCTAACGGCCATGGGTTTCCGGTTTGCTTTCTGACTTTTCGTGCCTTTTGCGTTAGAATTCTAGGGAATTATGTTAGGCATGTTAAACCAATCGAGGAGCAGTTGACCAACGCTGGATGATGGGTTTCGGGCACGAATAAGTATATCGAAATTAGCATCGTGGCGGCCCAGAATAGTAAGGTATAAAACGTCCAGCGCCTGTAACCCTTGTGTCAGAATGCTATTCTTACCCTTGGCTTCAGAGGATCACCTTCTCATACATACCAATTTGTATACTGGTTTATAAAGCCACCCAAGCTGTGAAAGGGGGGGAGTAACATTTCGTAAGTGTATGTCTACCTGGGATGCAAAGTTTCTATGGATACACTTACAGAGGCCCAAGCTCAGGTCCAACAAAAGGACTTGCAGTATATACCATCATAGGAGCAGCCAGTTGATGTCGAGGAAACATATCTCCAACTGCACCTCCAGCAACACTGAGGAAGGCACTACCTGAAAAACCATTGAAGAACCGAGAAATGAGTAGTGTTTGTACATTCCTCGCGACTGCACATGGAATCAGCCAAATGAGGAAGAAAGTGAAGGAGCTCAAAAAGACGACTCTCCGTCCATACAGCTGTCAATTGGTCAGCGTCCTTCATTTGGGAACCAGAAACCACTGTCGTACCTCGGATAAAGGACCTAATATTAGCGGCCCGAACCCTAAGCGGAGGTAATTTCAGTCAGTCCATTGTTCTGAATCGACGAACAGAGAATAATGCATCTGGCTTACCCATGCCGAAAACAAAAAGTGATAGCCCTAGCGTTGCAACCTCTTGTGAACAATGGAACTCATTCAGAAGTTGATCATAGGTCGTAGTATATATGGAAGATGTGCAAGCGCTACCCCGATGTCAGTTCGCCAAATACGGGAGTGTTGCTCAGATTCGGGATTAGTACTGACACACAAAGTGAGCAAAGAGATATAATAACAACAGTCAACCATCTCGTCGTTAAACCTCTCTTGAAAGGATGGGCCGGGTCGTCTTCATCCCATTGGATCGTCTCGACAAAGCCTCTTCCATCGATGCTGTTGCTGGGATCAGAGGCGTGTTCCAGAGATGAACTACGTGGGGCGCAGTCTTCCGCCGGCATGGGGAATTTAAGTCAGCAAGGAGATTTTAGCCTTTCTGGGTCAATCTGTAGACTGTGCAGACTGTTCAAAACAGCAGGATAGAGCGAGAATGTAAGAATACTGTTTCGTACTTTCACAGGCAAGACTGATTCAAACCATAGCGACAAGTCCAGCCAGCCCAATTTTTAACCACAAACTCATGAATCATTGGCTTATAAATCAGCAATTTACAACTAGCACTAATTTCAACCGGTCGTAAAATCTTGCGTTGTAGAGCTGCTAATCGGACCGACTAGGGTGGAGATGCAGGATGAGGATATTCGGCCCGATTTGGTGTCTCTGTGCGACTCGGGACCGGCTTATATCATATGATCAGTTGCTCAAGTTCTTTCCTAGGAATATCTTTTACTATGACTCTTCTCATGTTCCACTGATGTCTCTATATTTATCGCATTATAATAAATCGATTTGTCTACAAGTGGTCGATAATTCTGGCGACGATGCTTATCAATCATTTCTTCAAGTCCAACGCGTGTTTCAGTTATGAAGCCCTGCGGGCCGCAGGATACAGTAATTATGGTGGAGCAGACCTCGGAGAGGTGATAGCTATCATCTCCAAAATCCGAGCTGGAAACGAAGATGACTGGCTAGTTGAATGGAAAAAGGCAGCCGACCGAGCATTTTCCAGCGCTGAGCAATCAGCAACGGTGAACAACACAGTCAGTGCCTATGAGGGATATCTGCGGGCCTCGAATTACTATAGGACCGCTGAGTTTTTCCGTCGCGATAACTATGACGACGACGAAATGGCACAGCTCGTATATGAAAGATCGGAGACGGCTTTTGAGGAGGCGATGAAGCTGTCTGTATATGCCTACGAATCGATCAAGATTCCCTACCAGGGGACAACACTCCCTGGATACTTTGTTAGCTCACCTGGCACGGCCAACCCACGGCGCACCATTATTTTTAATGGCGGCTATGATTCAACTGCAAGCGAAGCCTGGTTTGCGATTGGGGCTGCAGCCCTAGCAAGAGGATACAACTTTCTCGCCTTCGATGGCCCTGGTCAAGGTGCAGCTGTACGACGACAGCACCTCTACTTCCGGCCCGACTGGGAGAACGTACTGACTCCTGTGGTTGACTTCGCCTTGACTCTCAAGGAAGTCGATCCCAATGCCATAGCAATCTTCGGCTGGAGTATGGGCGGATACCTTGTGGCACGAGGAGCCACGCAGGAACATCGAGCCAAGGCCATCATCCTGGACGATGGAGTGTACGACTTCGGGTCTGCATTTCGGGCCAACCAGCCATCCTTTGTGCAAAGGCTAGTCCAAAACGAATATGATGGAGTATCCAATTTTATTTTTAGCTGTGCACAATCTCTAGACACGGGTGTTCGGTGGGCCTTGCGCAACGGTAAATGGACTTTCGGGGTGGCGTCAGAGGCGGAATTGATGCGCACAGTCAATCTCTACACACTAGAAGGCCTAGCTCCGAATATTGTGAGTCCTTGTCTGGTCCTTGACGCAGAAAATGATCACTTCCTTAAGGGTCAGCCCGAGTTGCTTTGCAATCATTTGAAATGCGAGTACGAGTTCGTCAGCTTAGGAGCTGATGAAGGTGGCGACGCACATTGCCATCAAGGTGCCTTCTTTAGGTTGCACCAAGTTATCTTCGATTTTCTGGAAAGGCGCCTGGCGTGACAACATACACGGTTGACTTATCGGTGCACTTGTATATACTTTGGGTCGTACTTGAGATCGTCTGTCTCGGGCGTTCTATGAGAGACTCATTCTGGCCTTTCTAAAGACACGTTGGAGATAGATTGGATAATCCCCTCTTTTAATTCACGTAGTATTATCCAATGGTGTTCTTTCAATTCCTAGCAAAATTCTATTTTGTACCCACTATGCACCATTGATCATCCATTGATCATCATAAAGTAGGAACCGAAGTTCTATAAATTCATCTAGAATTAGATATCGAGTTTCTATGCTAATTCTCCAGTTAATATAGAATAAAAAGTAGATCAGTGGATAGGATACCCCGTTCCCCTCTATTCTATCCCAACAGGAAGCATCAGTTCTTGTTCACATGCTTGCCAACTGTGCCGTCTAACTGAGCCTCCAAGACAGCGGTGGTTCCATTCTGGACGGCTTTGATAGCCTCGGGAAGCATCCTGGCAAGGTCTGAAACAGTTGTTGCAGTGCCAGCCCAGAGCTCTCCCCCTGCAGCAGCCTTCGCAATGCCTGGGTAATCCGGGGTAGGGGCAAATGATATGTTGAGGTCCTCGTTAGTCGCGCGCGAGCCATCACCTTCTGGATGAACGAGGAGCATACTCCGCCTAGGAGCGTTCCAGCCCTTGTTGTTCAGGACGATCGTTAAGACAGGAAGGTTATACCGTCTCGAGATCCAGTAGACGGAGCCCGGCACAGAAAAGAGGTACGTGCCATCACCCACAATCTGGCAGACAAACTTGCCCTTGTTCCTACCGCCGTTTTCATGATCAGTGGCCAACTTGATACCAAGTGCACCCCCGCCGGACCAGCCAAGCCCGCCCCCGCCACAGTTGATCCATGACTTTGGCAAGGTGGCAGCGATTTGATCAGCTACAAATGTAGTGAGAGTTACGGACTCGATAGCCCAGATAGTGTCTGCCGGGCAAGTCTCCCGGATCTGATTGATCAGATAAGACACGTTAAGATCTGCGTTACCACCTCCCGATGGTACAACGGCAAGGTCCGTGATTCCTTGTCGGATCTTCTTGTATTGCTCCTCACGGCGTTTACCAAGAGATGTTTGTTCTTCAGAGTTAAGCGTCTGTTTTAGTGAGTTAGTAGCGGCGACGTACTCATTGATCTGTTTAAATGCTGTTGCCGATTCCGCACGGAAGGTAGCCATGGAAGGGAGATAGAAGACCGGCATTTGTTGCTTGAGTGGATCAACATCTACATGAATGATCTTAGCGGAATCAGACGGTTTGCACTGTGTCGGAATCCATGGCACATCGCAGTCAGCAACAAGGATCACATCTGCAGTTTTGATGGCCTCGTGGATTCCGAATCGCATCCCCAACCACGCTGGGTGGTCGCCAGGAAAGCACATGTCACATCCACCAGTGTCCAGGACCCGGACTCCTTTGAACGTGTCTGCCAGTTTAACGAGCTCTTCCACTCCCCTGGTCTCACGACCGGAATAACCTACAATCACCAGAGGTTCCTTGGCGGCGGCGAGTTCCGATGCAATCAGTTCAACCCCCTCAGCCGGCAATGCAGAAGGTGCGACAGCACCCCAGACATTTTGATTGACTTTATATGGCTTGATCTCCTCTTCCATTACCTCACGAGCACCAGCCAAGTATACCGGGCCTTTGGGGTCGCTCATCGCAAATTGAAGAGCGCGATTGACCATTTGTTTTACATTTTTCCCAGAACGGATCTCACCAGAATAGCGGCAATATTGAGAAACAATCTGCTTCTGATCCGGAACATCTTGAATCCAGTGGATGTACTCTGTGCGAGAGCCACGCATCTCCCCTTCGATGGTGAAAGGGGAGAGGCCAGCAAAGATCAAAACGGGGGCGCGTCCACAGGAGGCATTATGTACGGCTGCTGCTAGTCCTTGTGTACCGACGTCAACATGAACAATGACGCATTGTGGTTTGCCGGTCAGTCGAGCATAACCATCGGCCATGGAAAGTGCTACCATCTGTGGAGTGGGGTAAAAGTGGGGTTAGCCTGAGATGAGGATTCATAGAAACCCACAGTAACTGAGGGGCAACTCAATGCTATTTGTAAGCTTAAGGACTTACCTCATTGGGACAGGTGATGACTCTGGGGAATTCATCGGGCTTCTCTTTCTGGCCCTTGACCATGGCCTCCAAGATGGAGGGATGATCGGATCCTAGATTGGCGAAGACATGGGTGACCCCGGCCTAAAGACTCAGTTAGAATATAGTCAGGTTGGTGAGCGTCAAGTTCATACCTCCCATAGAGCCTCGAAAAAGGCAAAAGATGCAGTATAGACCCTTTTGATTGCAGGTTAGTTGTCAATGCCATACTCAAGCTACAAAGGTCAAGGCGGAGTGGCATTTGATCGGATATACATACATGATTGTATTGTCACCGCAGGGAGGGTAGACTCAATGTAGGTTAGAGATAAGAGAAAGAGGATATGAGGGTGTAAAAGAGATCGATACTTCAGATGCTTGAAGGTGGGTTTCTTATTAAGGGAAAGGAAACCTACTTCCAGACACAGTAGGTATATTCCCGAACCGCATCGGACTTCAGACCGAGGGTTAAGAATAACCGGGACAAGCTTCAAGCCAGCAAGTAGCATTGCAACATCGCAACATTTCCGATGCGGGGTTGGAACATTGGCTTTTCGCATGGCATTTATCTATTAACCTTGGGTCGCGCCATCGGCGAACCTGACCCAAGCGGAGTTTCCGAGGGAGAGGACAAACTGGTATGATTTGTGATTTAAATCTAATCTCCGTACCTGCAGAATCCCTTTTCTTGGCCAAAGAAAATAGACCCTGTCCATATCAAACGTATAATAATAATAATAACTAAGGAATTCTAAGACTTCAAAGCACCATTGGCGTGGATGTTACGTTTGCCCTAATGTCCCAAATCAAGTTCTTCGCTGGTCCTCAGGCACCGATGACGTCGGTCCTCAGGCAACCACATTCGCACGCTTTTCACTCGACAACACTGTCGTCATCTGCCACAACATTGAAATATACTAATTGATATCCATTGAACATGCGGTATTATCTGGCTTCCTGTCTCCACTACTACTTATTCATAGGAACCCGTACCACAAGCATCCAACCCGCCTCTCAGCCTTATGGGGCTTAGTCTACGTCATTGCCGACGAGCATGGCCGGAGAGCATATATCATTTGGTCTTCTTGACCAATCCATGTTTGGGTCATTGGTTAAACTATCCAGTACTCTGGTTTCGGTCTGCTTGGCTTCCATAATAATCTGGTTCACTCGCCAACCGAAGAGTCGCAATCGTACCTGCGCCGACATGCTTCCAGAAAGAGTTTATCAACTATGTCACAGCAGCAAAACTGTGAGCTCCGAACTTGCACGAGACCCGAATCAAGCACCAACCAAGGTATTTCACAATCTTTATAGTGGCTATCATGTCAAAGAAGATGCGTCAAAATCTGAGGACCACGGAGGTGGCCATGACAGTCTACAAAAGGCCCTAGAATGTGGCAATTGGGGCCCAACGAAACCAAGCAATCTATTCCTAAAGGTCAGTTAGAAGTGCTTCAGTTATCAATGAAGCGCACAGTACCTAACCGTGATATAGATATATCATGACGCACTGTGTACCTTGGAGAAAAACTCAATGGCGGGTGTTGTCTCTCCGCCATTAATGGGTAGTCATGGGTTTGCACCTTTGACCATTGTGGCCCCCTTGCCGGATTTGTGCCGGCACATGGCCAATTGTATTGCCCGGGCTGAGACTGAAGTCTTTCTCGGGACAAACTTCTGGATTTATTCTGACGCTTCGACATTGGTGACCAACGCCTTCCGCGAGTTATCCAAACGAGCTGGTGAACGCGGCACAAAGGTAGTGGTGAAGATGATCTATGACCGCGGCGATCCCCGACAAGCATATGAGAATCGGTTGGATGTACCAGAAAAGAAATACACAAGTGAGAAAGTTCAACTCCCTCCAGCTGAGGAAGTTCCCAATATTGATCTGCAGGTTGTCAATTACCACCGTCCTATATTCGGAACGTTCCACGCTAAGTTCATGGTTGTTGATCGGAGGATAGCCCTGCTGCAAAGCAGTAATGTCCAGGATAATGACAACTTGGAGATGATGGTTAGGCTTGAAGGACCTATTGTGGACGCCTTTTATGACACCGCTTTGATCTCATGGGGAAAGCACTTCGATACGCCCTTTCCAATGCTGTCTTCTCCTGCTGCGGGTGCTCCAATTCCCAGCCTTTCCCTCATGGACGTAAGCCACAAAGAGGAATGTCAGGGCTTGTCTTTGCCCGAGCACACCACGGTAGACCAGCACTATGACCTTGACATCAAGAACGAAGCACGGCGGGTCAACGGCACCCTCGAGCCTAGGCCTGGAGAGTCTAAAACTGTTCCGGTCACTCGCCACCTGAGTATGATTCCATTCAAGTTGTTTTCCACTCAGGAAAACGTTGTCTAACAAGTCATACAGACACAACTACTCAAACAAACACAACCGGGGACGCCCCGGACGTTGATCAAGATACCCCAATGACACCGTATATCATATCCCCACCTCATGAAGCATGCCCAATGGCCTTAGTAAATAGGGAGCCCTGGGGTGGTAAGCACCGATTCAAAGATATTCCATGAGCATCTATACTTACAATCTCTAGCTCCGAACCACACCAGCATCTATACCCCTCAAAATGCCGCCTTTCTCTCGGCAATTCAAAATGCGGAACACTCAATCTTCATCCAGACCCCGAATATGAACGCAGAGCCTCTCCTGGAACCATTACTGGAAGCTGTCCGCCGCGGTGTCGTTGTCACATGCTACCTATGTCTGGGCTACAACGATGCCGGACAACTACTTCCCTTTCAAAATGGCACGAATGAGATGATTTCTAACCGATTATATAACTCTCTTGAGAAACAGGGTGAACGAGCACGACTACGTATATATAATTATGTCGGTAAGGACCAGACAAAGCCTATCCATAATAAGTTCAAGCGTCGAAGCTGCCACATCAAGCTTATGATCATCGACGGCAAAGTGGCTATTCAAGGTAGGAAGACTGTGTCCTGTCATTACTCAATTTTAAGCTAACAGAAATTAGGGAATGGGAACCTCGACACTCAGTCGTTCTATCACAGCCAGGAAGTTAACGTCCTTATTGACTCCCCGATCATCTGCCGCTCATGGCTTGAGACGATCAACCGAAACCAGAACACGGCTCTTTACGGTGCGGTAAGTCCAGAAGATGGATGCTGGCATGACGCCTCGACTGGTGAGGTTCCAGAAGGGTCTATTGGTGTCAGCCCAGGACGTTTCAGCTGGGCTAAAGGGGTTGTTGGGGCTGTGCAGAGAGTACGAGGAGCTGGCGGGTTTTAATATCTTGGATGCCATTGTTTCTTCAGATATAAGCTGAGCACATGATCTGATACGAATAAAATAATGAGTTCTACAATAGACCAATTTGACATTCAACCTACTGAGAGCCTACACAACAAAGATGTTAAACAAACTGTCACTTTAATTAATATTTTTTTTAATTTCACCTGCACACAAACAAACATATAACACTTCAATGACCTTACATGGAATCCCAGCCCCTGTGACACCTTTTGGTGGTATTTGATGATTGGTCAGGATAAAGTAGAATTCAAGTTCTCGAACGAGCCCTGCAGCCAAATAAAACTACATCTGTTTCAGGGCCATTTTCTCTAGATCGCAGCAACTCCTGGCTTGCACTGCAGACACAAGCTAAAGGTCTTACCATATTTATCCATGTCATATAAATTATCCTTTATTGTATTAAACATGCATAGTAGGAATAGAATTCCAGACGACATACATATCACGCCGCCCTGTCTAGTAACATCTTCCATAACATTAGCAGCTATGAAGGAAGGACGATACTACAACACGGATCGGAGTGCTTCGTTCTATACCTAAGATGCAAGCTCAAACGAGGGATAGAATAACTATACTGGTACTAGTTCGGTTTGGAGGAAGATATCTCTGTTGAATAATATAGGTAACCCATAATCTCTCTTCTATTAACTCACACCAGAAGGATCGACCTCCCCGGTATACTTGAGCTAGTAATAAAGCAACCACTAGGAGACCCTAAACCGTGGTCCTCAAGTGGGTCATCGGTCCGGAAAGGACAGTCGACAATGGACTCGAAGCATAAGGTTAGCTTTTTATAACCCTAACTGACGGGAAAGTCCTATAGGTACCGACTACAAAGTACTAGTACAAGGGCTTCATTTTCGCACCAGTGAACTGCTCTAACATCCAGTACTAAGAGTCCTTAACGGTAAGCAAAAGCAAAGCCGAAGCCCCCTATTTTAGATTCGTTTTCCCCGAAACCCCACAAGCTTACTATGCCTCTAATCAATAAAAGGCATTGATCTGCTCGAAGATGCCGTCCACTCTTGCAAACGAAGAACCGACTCCGCTACCGTTGTTTCAGACTGATGAAGAACTCGCAAACTGTGGTTAAGCTCTGCCCACCATATTCGGCAAATTTCCCGTTCGAAGGATTGGATTGCCCATGGATTTCCTATTTAAGAATCAAATTAATATATTCGAACCTATCTTCGCTGGTGTGCAGCTTTAGGATCGTCTCCTGATGTGTACAATCGGCCCAGCAGGATAACATAACTACTCTCACAATAGCGCCACTTCGGGATAGCAGACATGGGGCCATGGAGATTCAGAAATATAAGTGACACACGACTTCCTCGGACCACCTTTCCTCCATGGTCAGACAGTTCAATGCTACCTTCATAATGCAAGTGACACTGTTCTATACTCTGGCCCTCTGGGCACCAACTCTTGTGTCAGCTCAGCTGTCTGGGTCTGTCGGGCCTCTTGTGGACTTCCAGACCAAAGCAAAGAATAAAACCTGTGATATCACCGAGTACGGCGCTGTCGCAGACGGTAAAACCGACGTCGGCCCGGCTATTCTCGACGCTTGGGGTAACTGCTCAACTGGAGGTCTCATTTACGTACCCCCCGGTAACTATTCGCTTGCAACAGATCTGGAACTCAAGCACGGTGAATCCACGGCCTTCCAGCTGGACGGTGTATTAACGCGCGGTCATGAGGGCTCCTACCAATTGATTCTTGTACGCGATTGCCATGACTGCGAGTTTTTCAGTGGCAATTCCCAAGGCGCGGTCCAAGGATACGGATACGAATACCTTCAAGATGGAAATTACGGTGAACGACTCTTCCGCTTCCAGGATGTCAGTGACTTCTCGGTCCATGGCTTTGCTGCGATCGATTCCCCCGCGTACTACTTTGTCTTCGATACCGTTTCCAATGGGGAGATCTACAATCTTCTTGTGCGAGGGATCGCTGACCTAGGTATGACGGATGCACTCGATATATGGGGCCAGAACGTATGGGTCCATGATATCGAGGTTACCAATGGCGATGAGTGTGTAACGGTGAAGTCTCCGGCCTCGGACTTTCTAATTGAGAACATCTACTGCAATCTGAGCGGAGGAACTGCCATTGGGTCTCTGGGCACTGGCACCAACATTTCCGACATCTACTACCGAAACCTTTACATGAACCAGGCCGACGCCTGCTATCTGAAAACCCACAACGGTGATGGAATAGTCAAGAACATCGTCTGGGAGAATGTTATCGTGCACGGAGGCCCTTATCCCCTCGCTGTGAATGAAGCCTGGGGAAAGGACGTGGGGTCTACAGGGGTTCAGGTTCAGAATCTGACTTTCCGCGTAAGTGAATGTCAGTCATGAAAACCTAACCACAACGCTGACAGAAATCTACTTACCTAGAACTGGTACGGCGAAAACGTCGCTAACAGCCGGCCGGTCATCCGAATCGAGTGTGACGAGGACGTCCCCTGTTACGACATCACCCTTGACAACGTGAATTTGTGGACCGAGGACGGAGACCATGTGGAATGGTCCTGTGCTAATGCGTACGGCTCGGGTGCTTGTTTACAAGAAGCGAAAGACACCGATGATCTAGCGACCTATACTACGGCTGTTCCCGTGACTGCAACGCCGTACGTCCAATCTAATTACCCTAATGCCTTGAAAGTTCTGCTGACATGGATACTCTCAGGTCTTATTCTGCTGCACGGATGCCCGGTGATTTTACCACGAATCCTCCGTCTACTACTCCCTTTACCATTCCGCCCATGCCCTCCAGTTTCTTCCCCGGGGCAACCCCTATTTCGACTCTGTTGAGTTTGAGCGGTGCAGGGGGTCTGTGAGTGATACAGTGGTGGTTTCCGGGAGATGCGTGGTAATAATGGCAGTCAATATGGACAGATGAACGTCTTGATTATTCGATCAATATATTGTGAAAATTTAATCCATACTTGTTACATACTCTTCTACTCCTCTTTCTTCATCCCGCGTCAGCCGTATATTCATCAATACAACCCCAATCCCAAAGTCACACAACCAACTCACCCCAAGCCCTCCCCTATCACCAAAATACCCCGTCCCTTCATATTCCCCTAGTACACCCCCAACAACTACAACTCTCCTCCACATATACTAACACACATCCCCAACCTCACTCGCCCCAAAAATGACACCCCCCTACGACCCCCCGATCCAATCGCTAACAACCTACCTCTACAACCACACCATCACCAACCCAACAGCCTACACCTCAGCCCGCACAGCCCTGCTCGACGCACTAGGCTGCGCAATCGAAACAGCCTCGAAAAGCCCCGAAGCCCAGAAGCTCCTTGGCCCGCGAGTCCCAGGTACAATCGTTCCCAATGGATTCAGGGTCCCGGGTACGAAATACCAGTTGGATCCGGTGAAGGGGGCGTTCGATTTGGGGGTTCTCATTAGGTATTTGGATCATAATGATGCTCTTGGGGGGAGGGAGTGGGGACATCCTTCTGGTATTTCTTTTTCATTTTCTTTTTCTCTTCCTCTTTTTTTTTTTTTTTTTTTTTTTTTTTTTTTTTGAGAGAGGGGTGAACGGGTGTGGGTGTGTGTGTGGATTGGTTTCTCTTTGTGATTGTGATGATAAAGATAAATGATTATACTGATCATGATGGATTCCCGACAGATAATCTAGCATCTATACTCTCCGTAACAGACTGGCTCTGTCGAACCAACGAACCAACCCGCAAAGGCCCCCCATTGACAATGCATACCCTCCTCACGGCCCTTATAAAGGCCTACGAGATCCAAGGCATCTATGCGCAAAGCATCTCCTTCAACACTCACGGTACAGACCACGTCATCCTCGTCAAGCTCGCCTCGGCAGCCGTCATCTCCTGGCTCCTTGGCTTAACCGAGTCCCAGACAATGGCTACCATCTCGCACGTCTGGATGGACGGTCATCCGAGCCGGGTCTACCGCAGCGCAGAGAATACAATCCCTCGGAAAGGATGGGCGGCGGGGGATGCGTGCATGCGGGCGGTTCATTTGGCGTTGCTGGTTAGGGCTGGGCAAGTTGGTGTGCCTTCTGTGTTGAGTACGGTGCCGTGGGGTTTTTATAAGCGGGATTTCGGTGGGGGGAGGTTTGAATTCACCAGGGAGCTTGGGGATTGGACGGTTATGAATGTCTTGTATAAGGTTATGCCGGTTGAAGGGCATGGGATTGCGGCTGTTGAGGCGGTTTTGGTTCAGCGGGGGCGGCTTTTGAAGATGGGATATGTTGTGGGTGATGTGAGAAGGATTGAAATAAGAACGACTAGGGCGGCGGACCTTATTATTAATAATCGGGGGCCGTTGGGAAATGCGGCGGAGAGGGATCATTGTATACAGTTCGTCGTTGCTTTGGCGTTGTTAAAGGGGGGCGTGCCTGAGGTGGGGGATTATCTGGATGAGAGTTGCTGGGCGAGGAGTCAGGAGTTGGAGAGCTTGCGCGAGAGAGTAGTTGTTGTGCCGGACGATCGGTTGACGGCTGAGTATCTGGATCCGGAGAAGAAGAGTATTGGTTCGGGGTTGACGGTGTGTTTAAATGATCGTACTGTCCTGCCGGAGGTGCTGGTGGAGTATCCAATTGGTCATATCAGGAATCCCGACACTTCGGCTGCTGTGCGAGATAAATTCATGAGAAACATGCGTTTGGTGTTCTCGGATGCACATGTCGCTCGAATTCTGGCTGCTGTGGAGGACGATGAGATGAGTATTTCGGAGTTTGTCAATTTATTCTGGCTCCAAGGGTCGTCAAGCCCCAAGCTTTGAACATGATATAGGTACTGACAGTTGAAGGGTGTAAATGTTTATCTTTTTCACTGTATGAGAAGCTTCAATCTATTTCAGATAACCAGTATCTGCAGCGTGGTCTATTATGTTTGCGAGTTACCGGTACATAGCTAGGCTGGTCAGTGGGCATTGGAAGGCCAAAGACGCTACAATATCCCATCATCTATCATCCGACCTTACCAACTCCTTGCAGAGTCAGATACACGTCAGTGCCCCAACCCCACAGGCTCTGTACGGCGATACTTCCACCAAAGTATTCAGCATAGGCCCTACTTAGTGGCAATCCGTATCCGAGTCCTGCGATGCTACTCAAATGGCCACTGCTGGAGGACATAGCATTCAAGGCATCCATATTCCCATTGTCCGATCCCTGTGAGTCAAGATCAGAGAACGTGGTGAAACTGTAGGACCAAATATTTGGCAGAATCTCGGGAGGAATTCCACCACCCCGATCGCGGATTCTGATCGTAATGCTTTGCGTCGAGGGAGATGAGAACTTGATTGATTCGTTCGCATCTGCGGTTCCCACGACGGTATCCATCTCGAATCCCACGTCCGAGTTGGGATGGGTGGGATATGGTCCCGCCGACACTGAGTATGGCCCACGCACATGGTTTCTCGGAACGTCAGGCGCAGCTGCGATTGTCACCTCAACAGGCTCGCGTTCATTCCCCGCTTCAACCACGGCTCTGAATGCGTTCTTCAAAAGTTCTGTGAGTATGTATTCGACATGTACAGGAACATGCGCAAAGGTGGCATCCGGTTGCCCGCCGATCGTGAGTCGTGGGCGGACCCCATATTTCAATTCGCAAATCTCTCCAACGAAGTCCTCACAGAGCTTGACAATGCGTGCTGGTTGCAGGGCAGTATCGATGACACCGATATAGTTCGATGGAGATGTGCTTTTCGCTGGCTTGCCATCATCGCTAATCGGCTGTGAAGCAAAATGGAGCGCCAAGTGTTGCTCAGCTATCAGCCGAGTGCCGATTCGCGCCCGCAGGTGGGTATCTAAGAACCGAGTCACCTCCGTCGGATCGATATATCGGCGACACTCTAGGAATCCACGCGCAAGAATGGGAATTGTATCTGTATGAGTGTGGACTAGATCCGCCAAAACCTCTGCGAAGTGTTTCTCTTCCTCGAGTGTTGTGATCTGCCGTTGCTGGTAAGGGAGAAGTGTGGACAAAGAATGAAGGTAGTTATTGTAGATCTTCGAAACATGCGGGTTCGAAACAATGATAAAGGGGAGGTTCCGTAGCGCTTCGATTCGAGATGCAAGGCGGGCAGGGAGAAGGGAAAGAGTAAAATTCGCCGATGCGAGGAGAGCATCCTTCGATAACGGCGGACGACCGTGTCTAGAGAGACCGCAATTAGTATATCCTGTGCATATAGGTTAAGACAACCATAACCCCCAGCGCCAAACGTACTTCAGCAAATCTGCAAGAGTCAATGGCCGACGACGGCTGGCCGCAAGACGTGTGACTTCATCATTTGCCCCGTAGGCGAACGGGTGCTGAGTTGATGTCGCAACCTGGGGAGGCGGTGACACAGAAAATTGACGTGCTTTCTGGATAATATGGGTTTGACGAATCCTATATCGGACGCTGAAGCTCGCTGTCCGTGCGAGAGCGTTGGTTAAGGCCATCTTTAGCAATAGCCATTCTGTGACTCGCTCAGCATCAATTCACGCCATGTATCAGTGACTTTCGTCATGTCATCATACCACTCAAAAGGGTAATCCTCACGTGGGGTGACGCTAATACAATTCAGGCAAAGTGAATGGAGTGCCCAGGTGGGAGGTTGCTTAGTCAAATGTGCCGTGTCAACTATGAGAAGAAGAAAATAACATTCTATGTCCTTTTTCCGTCCCTTCACTGCTCGAAGGATCTTCAAAGGCATATACGGTAGTCAAAATAGATAAAGAGAGTGGTAATCCATGAACTATCGAGAAAACAGGCAACGGGTGCGGACTGCAGACCCTTCCTTCATTCAGTCCAATAAGACTGCGTCAGAACGTGCATGAGCGAGTCCTACTCCGTACATGACACGCCTCTCGCGGCTCATTGATCTTACAGCTTATCGTATGTATGTACTATGTATGTATACTTGGCTTGCCTTGGTTGGTCGCTTTCCTGTATGGTGAAGTCATCATTCCTTGAGTATATCTTCGAAGCCTGGTCAGTAGACAGAAAATGGCACACCGTGTTGGGAACAAAGAACAGCCATTACAAAATGATCTGAAAATTCGATGTGATTTTAAGTCATAAATGAGCAGGAGAATAGTCTCCGATGAGTCCAGATTTCCGCACAGCAGACCCGGCACTCATGAGGAACATTCTCTTGAAACGCTAGACTAGAATATTCGTAATTCGTACAGCCACCATTGAACCGCAACTTCCCCGTCAATATCGACGTTTGCTTATGTGGCTCGCTGTGCTGTTTGTCGCCAACAGTGAGCCATCGCAATATGTCCTGGGCTCGACGCGTATTTCCATTACTGGGTCGTGATTTCGCCATCCTGTTCAACGTGGATATGATCACTCGACTCAAGAGTACTAACATGGTCTGCGGGGTACTCGACACTAGTGACCGTCAGTTCCGCTGGTTGGTGCTGTTGTGGGGCAGCGTTATGATGGATGGCTGCCTTACGTGAAACCCTTGATCAGGCTGTACTCATGTTTGATGGTTCCTCCTTGTTCTTTGACCTTCTGCTTGGCTCTTCGAACGAGGGTGCTGTGTCAGCAGTTATTCTTTCTAGAAACTAGACCATAGGGCAACTCACTTATCCAACTCTTCAACGGGAGAGTCCTTCTTGAGTGTGACCTAAAGAGATAGACTAATGAGCATCGAGAAACCACAAGACGGTAGGACAGGTATAACGAACGTTGAAGAGCGGCATTTTTACGTGAAAGGTGGAGTAAATATTTCAATGATCAAGAGTTCGAAGTGGACAGATACGGTGGTGTGTTTGGGGGTTTGTCAGTTGAAGGGTAATAGGAGAAAACAAGCCGTGGACAGGGTGGGACACCGGGAGACTTTATACCACCTTGCGGGGGTTTGAGTCAATATCACCACTGATAAGGGGAGAAATGTGACTTTCGCCCGATAGCGCGGAAAGGCAAACTGTTGCCTCAGTCCGCAGGTTTCGCAGTTCCCTGGAATCGCGCCATTTGGGCCATTCCCCTC